GAATGCAGATTTTGTTATCTCACTAGTCCCTATAGTGTACTCCATGAAATCCACAAGGGGTTTTTAAAGACTAACCTTGTTTTAATAAAGGTCTAAAAGGTTTGGAAAATTACCTGTTGTAGGAATATTTTACTATCAACTATAGTGGTTTATATTACCCTGTTACTGTCCAAAACGATCCTTTGTAGTTTGCTAGATTGCCAAGTCTTTGGCTAGAGAACTAGAGAACTCTACCACGAGGAATATAATGAGGACTTGACATTTTTCTGACCTGATGATGTGCTTCTTAAGAAGCACAAAACAGCTGTTAGTTTTAGATTTGGTCAATAACATGGTAATATAAACCACCATAGTTAATTCAGAAGATCCAGAGGCCAATCCCATCATGAAATTTTACTTTCAACTGTTTGGTTGGAGATCAATAGTCATTCAGACTGATTTAAGTAGTTTATAAAAAGAGCCCAGCTGAATGACTAGACTATTGTTTTACTGTACTCTTTGTCATGAAGATAAAATGGAGAAGCTAATACCAATAGGTTTCTATTAAAATTATAGAATTTACGGGATTGATGGTATACTATAACGGTAAGCAGTGTATGAATTACATCAACTATGTGTCTTACTGGAGACAAGTTTCTCATGGAGTCTTACAAAATTCAATACCGTACTTGGTCTTCTCTTTATTTTTTCCTCTGATTACATCAGGTTGTGGGGTTTAATGTTGTCCTCATTTTCAGATTACATCACTAAGTGTATCGTCTAAAGGTCTGAGCGTCTCAGTGTGCAAGGACAACCAACTTTTAGTTTGGGATTTCAATCAAGGAGAACTAAAGGTACCTAACGGTGGCGATAACCATATATTATCTAAGTGAAGATGAAATTGTAGACCCTCATTAGGATAGTATAAAAATAATAAATAAATAAATAATCATACTGTAGCCAAAAGAGAAAGTTTAGCACACCGTTTTCTTATTTTAAAACATTACTGAACTAAACCTATCACATCGGGGGAGCGAGTTGGTCCAGTGGTTAGAGCGCGGGACTTTGGTTGCAGAGGTCCCGGGTTTAAATCCCGCCAAATCACCAATGGATTTTATCCATGTGATAATGCCGCAACCCCTAGGTCTAGCCTGAAGCAATGTGAATAGCAATTCCGAGCTCGTGCCCAACGTCCTAGGACAAAAAAAAACCTATCACATCGTCAAGGTAGTCAAATTGTTAAAGATCTCACCGTCAAACATGAAGTTTACTAATTCAATTCCATGTTCCGGATGCAGATCCTATTTGTCATTGGGCTGTCTATAATTTTATTAATGAGGCTGTCTATAATTGTATTAATGAGGCTGTCTAAGAAAAGGTTGATGTAAGATAGTTACAAGACCAGGGGTAGTACCGTTTCCTTACAAAAAACAATCTACAAGGTAAAGGTTAGGCCTACTGTATTTTTATCAATGTCTAAAAATGTCGTTTGGATCACCTCAACAGAACCCCATTTCAGGATGCTCCAGTGATAGATAAGTTAGTCATTAGATAAGTAATTATACATTTTTACGCAATTAGCATTTGTACCTAATTATTATTTTTACCATACAGTATCACAGAAAGTTACTGTTGACAGTGCACATTGTCGGGCCACGTTGGGGATGTATACAAGTGCAAGTTCTTCCCGAGCGGGGTCGTGGTGCTGTCTGGTGGCGCAGACATGCAACTCAAGGTGTGGTGTGCGATGACTGGAAAATGTCCAGTAACTCTCACAGGGCACACCATGGCTGTCACCGACTTTGACTTTATAGACAAGGGAAAGAATATTCTGTCTGTCAGCAAGTAAGTGGCTTTAGTTCTAGTAACGTGTCTGTCCGAGTACATCTTTCTTCGTGCTTACTGCTATGGCCACTAATACCCTAGCTGGTAGCCTACTTGGCCTCGCAAACATGTTGTCGCCGATTCTCTCAGTCTCCCGAATCTTCCTCTACAAATCTCATTGTTTCCATATCTTTCTTCATATTAGTTGGTAGTAAATAAAAATGTAAATTTTAATTGATGATGAAGTAGATTTCCTTTTGTTGGTCTGAGTGTGATGAACTACCATACCACATTGTTGTAATTTCTAACCACATTTTTATAATCTAAGTAAACAAACGTCTTTTTTAGCAAATTTTCCATATAGGGAATAAGTTAATTTTTGGTTTAAGGTTTTTTAGATTTTAGGGAAACTTTCTGTAGAAACCTGTCTGAATAAGGTGGTAATAGAAAATATGAAATAGTCCTCTACTGTGACTAACACACTTTGATGGACAGTTCCGAAATAGTGATATTGTCACAGTAAGTTATTTCAGATTACTGTAATAATAAGCATGGCATTTGACAGTAGCTTTTATGAAGTTTTTAGCTGTACATTTTGACCAATAATAATCTGCTGCCAGGTTGATCACCCCCCTCCCCCACCAATAATTGTAGATGTATAATGCTAACACAAGGTAATTTGACAGCAAATTATTACTGTATTTTATAGAAACACCTAGGTGATATCCTTGATGATTGAGATTTTAAGAAACAGCTGATCTTAGTCAGAAATCACCTTGCTCCATTATTCCAAGGCAGCACTAAATAAACAGGCTGTAATGCTCCTCTGGCATGACGTCATCATAGGTTTGTGATCAGCTGCTTGTTTTCTTGGAAAACAAAAATATAACTTTAATCAGAAAAACGGCAAACATTAAGTCATTGCCGTCGCCTATGATAATGTCATGCCAGAGTTGAGCATTACGGCCTGTTTATTTAGTGTTACAATGATTATTCCGTGCGATCATATCCAATTTAAAATATGTACTCAAAGTAAGTATTTCATGGCCTTAGTGAAGTGTTTATGTGATGTGTACTTATGGACTTGGATCAGCTTTAGGCATAGACTTTTCTCCCTTTCATTTTAGTCACAGTTTACTGTTTTGTCACAGGGACGGGACAGCCAAGTTATGGAGTTGTAGTGCCGCGTGTTGCATTGCAGACATTGCCAAGCTGAGCTCCACAATCAACTGTTGCCACGTGTTTTCTGCTCCGTTCTTGTCTCTCGGAGAACCTTCGGATCCACCCAGTGAGTATTTTCATGCAACTACAATGAGTACACACCTTAAAATCCTTATAGTTATCGTGACTAGAATGTGTGATTCACAATTATGATATCTTGGACGAATATTATAAATAAATACTTCGATGAGAAAATTCCATAGTAACTAGAATATGTAAACCTTATTCATAAAAAAAACTAAAATTAATTTTTAACAGAAACATGTGACTTTTAGACAAATATCTTAACAGTCATAGCCTCCTCTAATACCATGGCGAGACCAAAAAGGGGACAGGTCCTGGCCTACTGAAACAGCTGTTGCACTAATTCGTAATGGAGCGTCTGCCCAATGTTTATGTTTACACATTTGTTATTATATTGATGTGTGTAAAAAATTATAGGTTGTACAACGGTGGGGCACACGGAAGATTTCTAAGGTGCCGTTTGACGTCACTAACTGCTGACGTCACTAACTGCTGCGTCTGAAGAAACAGACAATTTTATAATTTTCTATTATTAAATTAAACTGTCATAACCTAACCAAACGTGCTGATAATGGAAAAATCGAATAAAGGTTTACTAATCTAAAAAATAGTTTTGTTCATAAAATAAAATTATAATTGTCTAAAATTCAATTTTATAATCTTTTAATTATAAAATTAAACTGTCATAACCTAACCAAACCAACCAAACTTGCTGATATGAAAAAATTGTTGATAAAAAGTTAGTGCCGCCGGCGGGATTTGAACCCGGATCATTCGCATTATCAGTCCGCAACGCTATCCACTACACCACCGAGGGCCGATGGCTGATACCGTATCGTTGCGGTATTGGTGTTCCCTCAAAGTGACGTCAGCAGTTAGTGACGTCAAACGGCACCTGAGAAATCTTCCGTGTGCCGTTTCGGGTTGTACAATATCATCTGTCTTTAATTTACAATAAATGAAGGTCCAAAAATGTTTAAATTATAGATTGGAATCAGTTATCTTCAGTTTCCATAACCAATGTTAGTACAATTTTTACATTAGGATTTACCGTGCATCTTTTAACTGTAGAATAGGCTCTAATTGGCTAAAAAGATTGTATTAATCTGTAATTAGCTATGTGTCCAAGCACCTTTTACCTTTAAGTTCTCCTCTACTATAGAGGGATAGGCTCATAGAATTAGCCAGTGAATTTGTACCAAACATAATTCAAAATAAATTTTTACAGGCGAAGAAGAGGTTGAAACAAAAGACAAAGCAGTGCTCCTCGGCTGTGAAGACGGAAAAGTTCATTGCGTCGCAGTCTACAGCCGAAAAAAACTATTTTCTTTCAACTGCAGTACGGCAGTAAACACCGTAACTACACTGTCAACCTCCTATTTCATCGTCGGATGCCACAGTGGTGAAGTGTTCTTGTTCGACATAAAAGACGCAAAAGCTCCAATCAAAACGTGGTTTGAATCAAACAGTGCGGTTCTGTGTGTTGTGGCTTTCAAAGAGGAAGGATTCTTCTGTTCCCACGCAGACGGGTTGACTGTTTATCGGAATGTGAGACTGGACGATAAAAGGGTAGTTTTAACCGGACCCGACTGCGATCCTGTATACGATATATGTACGGACAATCAGTTTGTCTACACGTGCAGTAGAGATGCATTGATCAGGAGATATAATGTAGAACGGATCATCCAGCAATTCGTTAATGAGTGATTAAACTAGTTAAGAAGTTATTCGTTGTATTTCTTATTATTTATCCTTTATTTGATTTGATTTGGAGACTAAAAATACTGATTTAGCCTGCTCTAGCTTTATAAAAATAATGTAATCTTCCAACACTGCAATAAAAATGGTAATTAGCTACAAATAGAAGAGAATAATAAGGTGAAATGGAAATATTCTACATCAATGGGATCAACAGTTCTATGAGTTGAGGGTAAAAACTAAATCGCTAAAAGTAAATATAATACATCTTTTATTGTCATCGTCATTAACAAAAGACCTTATTAGTTTGTTCGTTTGTACAAATAGTTTAGTTCTTATTAAAACATAACATTTAAATTACAGCACAATATTTTTATGCTAACAAACATTTACAATGGCGGTAATCTATAATAGTACAACAGTTATAGCTAAAACATAACATTACAAGAAGAGTACAGAAAAGAGATAAAAAATCTTGTTTCCACAACTAGGTTAAAAATATAATCTATATAAATATCTGTAAATTGCTCGTACTAAATACTACCCAGTAACAGCTTCAGTCCTACAACCTGTAAACCCGCATGAATGAAACAGTCATGGAAATAAGATTTTTTAACGGAATAAAGCGTACAAAAAATAAATCGTCATTTGTCTGCGATTGATAATACTTACAAAAACAACTCTAACCTAAAGTTTGAACAAATATTTATAGTGTAAAAAACAGACTTTGTGTCTGCGAATATTAAAAAAGTAACGCTAAAATCAAGTAAATGGAAAATAAGAATGTCTTAAGTGATCTTCAAACTTAAGTAAGAACTGAACACAATTGACTAAATTAGGTTATGCTTCCTTGGATTCATAAATATGAAATTTAAGCAGCAGGAAAACAAATGTTTGTGTGATTTAATCTTCTCTTAGACAAACCTTATACCTTGGATCCACACAAAACCCAAGTCAGGTCCCAAAGTTTCTTTAGGAATGGAAAGAAAATGATTATTCCACACAAACAGCGCACTCTGCAACGTAAAAAATCCTAAACTTAAAGATCACTAAATTGTGGCAAAGACACTAAATTGGCAGTACTGGAAGCCAAGGGACAACTCTTTGGAATACATCTAATGGTTAAGATTAATTATTTTTATGGCACGAAGCGGTTAGTAACAATTACGTGAGGCAGTTCAATACTTTTAAATTCATTGTTTCTATGTCCATATCGCTTTCTACGGTATATAAGTAAATTACTAGTCAACAAAATGTAATAAATTAAACAATATGGATAAAAAAACAATAAACTATAAAAGGACCCTACACAAATAATGAACACAAATTGACTCGGAGGTTGATGATTATTTTCTAAAGCGTGACTCGCTTTTATTTTCCAACATCTCCTCTTCCAGCATCTTCTTCGTCTTCGTAATCGTCCGAACTGAGGACATAAATATGTTAAAAGTTTACTAATGAAAATAAACAAAATATAAATAATAATTACAAATAATACAACTGAAATAGCAATATTTTACAACTAATAAACAATATTATAAAAATATGTGTTATTTTAGTTATCTGTATAGCTTGAATATTAACAATTTCTAACATTTGCACCAATCCCCTGAACCAACAGCAATATACAGTCAAACGTTATAGTTCGGCAGCTTAGAAAACGACCTGCGCGCTAATGCTAAACTGCTGGAGGTCACTTTCTAAGCGGCCGAACTATAGTTAAATATCAAACAAAGAGAACCCTGTTGTAAAAATGACAAGAGAGTAAACAAAGGCAGAAAAAGATACGACTCTTGACATCTGATATTTCTTTTGGGTTTTTTTACACTACTAAATATTTGCTTCAATACTAAACCATTGCTTTTAAAAACTCCCAAGAAAAATTGTATAGTTAAAATAGATGTTAAAATATTTTATGGCATTCAGCACAAGGTAGGCCTAACTGGGGCATTATTTTTACCCATTCTCAACTGAATAAAATAGCCTAACACATAGTTGTAACAAATATTATGAACTAGCCTAAACGTAGTCAATATAAAAAAATGGGCGACTTTATTCCAAATATCACGCAAAGAAACAAAACAAATAAATTGGTTGTAAAATATATACATCGGACTTGTTTAGTTTGCACTTTCAAATTCAAATTCCAAACTATCTAGAGTTAGTGTAAGATAAAAGCAATTAAATCTCCAGAATTAAAAAGTTACATTCACTTATTTGGGGTATTTACTAATTCCCTATCACATACTTTGACAGTATATTTATTGCTTTTATATAACAGAATTACCATATCTGGTTTGTTAATCTACTTACCTTAACATGTTGGTCATACTTCCAACATAATATAATTCTATTTATTAAGTCAATATTCATTATAAACTATGAGTTCCAATAAAACTTGCAATAAAATGTTAAGCAGATTTTATTTTATTTCTGTTTACGGGTCATTTGTACTTACCAGACCAAGCAAATAGGCATAGTCTCTTAAGCAATAAAATAAAATAACCAAGTGACCCATGGAATATTATAAATTAGCGACTAACTAAGGACTACGAAAATAACTGAGAGTACTTAACGTTGTAACCTGTATTAGTCGCCAATTAAGAATATTTTTATGGATTACAAAGTTTTTCATTCTTATGGTGTTTAAGATAAGTTGTTTATGTTATGAGTAAAGTCGTATTAATTAAACATTAACTTAAATTTACTGTCATAGAAATGACTAAGAGGAAATAGATAAGGACGTTACTAAACGAGGAATGACTTTGGACACTTTTGTTTTGAGAACCCATAGCCATTGTGGTAATGAGGTGTTTGTTTAGGTGATGAGTTGTGTGGGTAGTTTTGTTGTGGCGAGTTTTAGCAAAAACTAAAGAAGACGGAACCCATTTTGTAGGTTTTACTATCACTCGACGCTTCCTGTTTGTCCAAGAGTAAGCATAAGGAACAAAATAAATATGTTAGTAAAGTGAATGAATGCTCTTTGCTGGTAGCACCTGAATTATTTAAAATATCACTCTTAAAACATATAAAACACATAAATGTTTTATTCAAAATACAAAAAATATTCACACTTAATTGCGTTTGGACATTAAGCCATGTTTACAATGGAGTTTACAGTACTTGTTTTAAACAAAAATAAATCTATAGAAAACCAGTTTTTAGTGGAAACAGAAAACATGTCAACGATTTAACATTTTTTCGGTGTTTACAACAGCAATTTGGCTTTCCAAAATTAAAGGAGTTTTCAGTTTTGTGAGTTGGAGTATGCTTGAACTAGACCATTGCGACTCTTTAGCGAAACTTCTTCCCCAACATATGCAATTACGATAATAAGGATCCTTAGTGAAAATTTTTCGTACATTTTGTTGAACAGTCATAACACCTCTAGTTCGAAGAATCCCCGACAAACATAAAGCATTTTCTAGTAGTAGCCCATTAAGAAAATCTGTCCCAATCAATCAAGTAAGGCTACTTGATTGATTGGGACAGATTTTCTAACATAGCCACATAAACACCAACTTGCTTCACCCTATATTGGCATTAAGAGATGTTTTAATCAGGGCAAATAGAAAATCCAACTGTTTAGTTCTGCACTAATACTTTTTCAACATGGTATATTTTGGCAATGGTTAATCTTGAACTAGACTGGCTATTTTGAAATTCACAAGGACATTACTAACTTGGGCTTCTACCAAGCAATGTCACTTTTCCACTTTTGGTCATCTCTGGTAGGCTGTTACTGTGACCATGCAGCCATACAGTTCTCAAAGGCCTAGGCTTTATTGGTTGGTTAAATGTTTACCTGGGACATGGTAATGCATTAACAGAGCTGATCGCTTTCTCTGCAAAGTTGATGACCCCGGAGTCTTCGATCTGCAGAGAGTGTATGCAGCCGACAAAGTTGGTTATGTTGCTGTTAGGCGCCATGTGCTCTATGTTGGGTAGACCACCTGCAAGACATTATTTTTGGTAAGAATAGAAAAGAAAAAAGGAGATCAATTGATTACTATTACTAGAAGTTAAACCGTGTGGAACTTTTGAGTGGCTCATTTATTTAACAAAGTATTTGAATTAAAAATTAGCTTCAGCTCCATACAGATGAGTATATTTGTCTACAATAGAAAAGTCAATGGTTAGGAAAAGTGGTTCCACTGACCGACATAGATGTTTCCGGCGGTATTGAGTTGCGTCAGCAGTCCGCCGCTCTCGCCAAACACTTGACTCTCTCGATCGAGTACCAACAAGCCGTCCTTGCCTTGCCGCTTGATGACTACGGAATGTCTTTCTCCATCGTCGACTCGCTGTGTGGACCTGATCACTGCAGGCCTGGAGCCCAGTTCATAACTGAGCTGTAAGTAGCCGTCCACCACTGTAACATGTGATGCAAAAGTGTTTATTGTACCACTAAATGTTTCATTAAAATACATTGGCTAGTCAAATTATTTCTTAAATTAATCAAAGTCTAAAGGAGTTGAGCCCTCTATGGAGTACAATGGCTGATTACAAAGAAATTTATTCATTTCCATCTTAAAATCTTCATTCCTTTAATCCTAGTAATCTAAGTAGTAATGGTAACTTGTTATATGATGTAAATTTATTTTACGTTACAACTTAGTGTCATGACTGTACATCTCTGCTGTTTTCTATGTTATAAAATTGTGATCTTACATATAAAAGGCATTGCTCAATAAATTGGTAAAACAAAAAGTGTGAAGTAGTTTGACATTTATACGACAGGTAAGATAAAAATTGTTACTCAATTAAAAACTATTTGGTACATTAACATTCATCAATGAACACTGCAAATGAAGTGTGACGGCAACAGCTAAGTTACTCACTGGCGACTGACAAATAGTCTTGTCCTGTTCCATCCATTTCCGGTGTCTGGCCGTGCCATAGCAGCAGTCCGTTCGCTTGTGATGTTGTAAACTCTATATTGATCTGTTCTGCTTTATCCGGATCGGTATGCGGAAGCAAGTCTTTGCTCAGTTCTATGTAGCCATCCCCGTTGAATTGAACCTCTGTTCTGAACTCAATTCCTAAAAAGTAATTTTTATCTGATTAATGTTAAGAATTTGTAAATTGCAGATCGGAAGGCCAGCTCTTATGTTAGTGATAGTTAAGCCAGCTTGAATGAGAAAACTAGAGTAGAGAAGTAGAGTTAGGAAACTGAGGCTAAGGCCCCTTCCTACAAGGGCAACATTCTTACCAATGTAAAAAGAAGCACAACAGGTGTTGTCTGCAATTCTTACAAAGCTTACTAATGCCGTCAACTTCCACCCAAGCTGGACAGTGTGAAGTCGGGCCCTCCACTTTAGCTAAGTCACACATTAGCAAGATCAATATGGATTGCACATGTACGGGTTCAAATTTGAGCATGGAGAAAGACCTCAACGCTACACTCGTCAGTGCAAATTCTAGGCCAACTAAGCATGCCATCGTCAGCCGAACGATTGCCTCGATTGGTCGTTTGCCACAATGAGCACGCAAATTTCAAGAGGTTGGCGACCTCCTCTTGAAGGTTTGATTCAACATACTTACTAGAGGGCTAGAGCGTTAGCAGTACGACTATCTCGCAGGAAAATGCTGTGACGAGCTACACATGTAAGTTGTCGGAACAGATTACTTACTCTCTGTACATGTAGGGCCTGCGTATCCGAAGGGGCAGTCACACTTGTACGAGCTTGGTGTTCCGACGCAAGATCCCCCATTTTGGCAAGGCTGTAGTACTGCACACATGTCTTGTTCAGTCTCGCAGTCCTCACCTCTATAAAATGAGAAAATAAGTGTGATAGTAAATATTTACATTGGATGATCTGTCAACAGTAATGGGTAAAAACTTAAATTAAAATCTGAAAACCATTTAAAATCTGGAATAGTTTCAAATTAAAAATTTATTTGCTGAGTTTCAAAAAATCAAGAGAAGGGCCAAAATTGAACGTTCCTGTCTTTAATAGAGAAGAGACATTTTAAGAACGGAGGGATTTTTTACTATTTAGGCATGTAAATGTAGTACAATGCATTTAAGATGTTGTGGACACATGCCAATGCATGTATATTTTTTACTGACAATAGAATAAAGAGTGATTACTATATTTTTCTGGAAACCCTGCCCTTGGTTGAATCTTTACTATTATTACATCGAAAGTATTTTCAAAGTAGCCTAATTTGAAACATTTTGTATACATTCTGTCAGTCTCTGTGAGTTTTCTTTTAACTCTGTGAGTTTTCTTTTAACTGTTTGATTTTTCAGGACCTTAACCAGACAAGTAAATATGGTTTCAGAGTGTAAATTTGAGTTTTAAACATTAGATCAAATTAACAATTTTCAAATGTAACTTACGTGTATCCAGTGGGACAGCTGCATTGGTAACTCTTGCCGTCGGGTAGAGTGTAGCAGACACCGTTGTTCTGACAGGGTCTAAACTGACACGGATCTCCGTAGCCACTGGAGCATTGCTCTATGTTGGCCGAGTCAACCACTGACCGAATCAGATCCAGATTGAGACCAGAAACTTGTACCTGTCGGATACATAAAGAAATTTTACAAAAATTCTAATAATTTCTTTACAACCAAATGCTGTACCACATGCTTCAAATATAAAATAAGATCTGATAATATGTCATTAAATATACTAGCATGCTAGACCCTAGAAAAAACGTTCTGCACATTACTTCAGGCTAAGCCTAGAGGGTTGGGGTCAGTAAGCTATAGCCATTAACAATTGGCCGAATTTTAACCCCGGACCTTAGGGATCGAACCCAACACTTCAGTACTAAACCAGCTTGCCCTTTTCTCATTAAATATTAGTAAGCCTGATAATCACTTTTAATGTTGAAATCCTCCCAAAAAATTTTGCCTTGAATGTTCTAAATTTGTATAACATGCATTCCAGACTTGATTACTGTAACTTAGAAAAGTTTACTGATGTTTTAATTAACATTTAATATTCAATCTTTCTTGACACAAAACTACATCCCCAGTAACACCCATGATAAATCATTGGACGGTATACCTACGGTGTTTACTGACACTATAGCAAAGTTTAAAAAGCTATAAAGATCACTCGGGATGGAGTAAAGTTTTATCAACAATCCATGTGTGATAAAGTGGGATTTTTCAATATATTAAAGCGGGATACAATAAAATCTTCTCAACCTGGGAAGAAGCTGTTTTGATTGTGAAGTAACAAAGTAATGAAGTAAGTACTATTTGGACCATTCCCTTAAAAACCGTAGAAAATTGCATCAGTTAAACGCATTTAAAATAAAAATCCAAAAAGAATTGTCACCTCAGCAATGCATCCGTGGAATCCCTGGCGGACGCCGACTCCAACGGCCGGTCTTATTCTTGACTTGTCAAAGCCTCCAATATACAACGGAGTCGTAAACTTGAACACTCCTGCGGACACACCCTTGGACACCGGCAAGTCTCCAGTCACAGACAGCTGCGCGTCCAAACCTGATAACCCTGCGTTAACCGTCACCCACTGACCAGGCACTATTTCTCGGATACTCTGCAGCGTGTTCACTCCTGCAATTGTAACAATGTTTGTACATTCAAATTTATAAATACAAGGTTGGTTTATGGAGGAATGAACAGAAGCAGGAATAAATTGATGGAAAAATATCAATAACATTGTTAGTTGTGGTTGAATTTGAAATCGATTTAAACTTAGTTTTTTACTTTTATTTACTCATATTTTAGCGTGAATTTGACATTGTGCAATTTAATCTTTACCACCAGAAGCAGAAGACATACAAATAGCTTAAAAAAACATTTGATGATAAAAGTTTAAAAAATGATGTAACATTAAATAAATAGTACGTTACATGAACATAAATATACATTCAGCTCATATAAAATTAATTGATAAGATAGTATATTCAATCTATGCTGATACTTAGAAGCACTCTTTCTTACTTTCTGAAAACTACCTGCAATTTGATGGAAGTTCAAATTTGAAGTCTCTTACGATAACCATTCTAGAAGATGAAATCAGTATATACCTGAACCAGAATCAAACTTGAACTCAAGTCGTCTGTCTCGGATGGAGAGGGAGGCAAAGTCACCGACTCCATCGTCATTTTCAGAACAGTACAGCAGTAGTCCGTTGGAATCGTCTGTCGGGTTGAATTTGAGACTTATTTTGATCCTGAGAACAAACAATTTTGTTGTAAAAATCAAAGCTTCAAATCCAGTTCTAGTTATAAGTTTGAAAATAATATATAATTTGATGTTGAGTTGCATTTTTTTTGTAACCTACTTTTAATTTTTGTTGGATAAAATATAATTTTAGAAGGATTTTGGAATATTACACTTAACGAATAATACAATTATATTGTAATACTTAAAAGTGAAGGCAGCCATCCAATAAAGCGAAACGGGATCCGAACCACTATGTCAACAATAATAAAATGTTAAAAAGCCTCAGGTATCAGCTGGATTTTACCTGAGCCACCCAGACAATAGTATAACCCCTAGCAACACCCCACAATGAACATATTGATGTTTTAGGCCAAAACTCAGTTACGATAAGATTTTGGCCCAAAGCATTACACAACATTTGAAAACATTTAACAAAGATTGCACAAGTTCTATCAAAGTCCTAAGTAGTCAACCCAATCCATTTTTCGGCTCCTAAAGCTAACCTAACTTAACATTAGTTTACACAATTACTTACTTGTTTAGAGTCTTTGGCGTAGGGTATGCAAGGAAGGAGTTCTTGGCAAAGGCTGGCTCAGTGATGGAGACATCACGTTCACAGCGATCACCTGCCTTGCCCATGCCGCAGTAACACTCGAGTCCGTCGTCCGTATCAATGCAGCGTCCTGAGCCGCAAGCACCTGGGTAGCACGGCTCACCCTCGTGAGAGCAGTTCAATCCACTAAATCCTCTCGGACACAGGCAAGTGTATCCAGACTGTGGTAGTAAAATAAAATCAGTACACAAATTAAACTAATTTCACATATACAAAAAAAGCATAATGTAGTCTTCAGACAATAAAAATGGCTACATTTTCATAAGAACCTAAATTAAATGTCTACAATTGGGACACTACATGTAATAAATGTGGGGAGTCCAAGGAGATTGCTAATCTTTTACTTCACTGCTTATCTGTGAATGAGGTTATGAAGGAGACAATGGACAGGAAAAGCAAGCTTAACCTAAACATCGCAGACATCCCATTTCACAAAAGTAACAAAATAGAAAACAAAAAAAAGGATCAATTTGAATATTTCAAGCCCACTGTCCCCCTTTTCAACGTTGGGACTTTGGGACTTGGGAGTCACTATATTCTGGATGACTTCCTTGTTTTTCCTTTGGGTTTTTTTTGTGTTACTTTTGTGAAGTGGTATGTCTACAAATTTTAAGGTAAAGCTGCTTATCCTGTCCTTTGACACCTTCATTGTCAGGGAATAAGCCTCTTCTAATCAAATCTGAATGAGATAAGAAATACAGGGACAAACTTTTGCCTCAGGAAGAGCAATCGTAAAAGAAACTCATGCCTTTGACACCCTTGGAAGTGGTCCGCCCCAATCAATCAATCGTACAACCAACACTTGCATCAAGAGCTCACCCTCTCTAAATATATTGTTTACAACGTTACATTGGATTCACCTTGGTAGGAGCCTCTTGACACACGCCAGAGTTGACGCATGGGTTGACTGCACAAGTCTCACAAGTCGTAACTCCTTCTGCATCCTTCTTCTCCTGCGTTATGTCAATCTCTTCCTTGTCGTTTATGACAAGTCGGCTGATACAACCTGATAACAATGAATATATAAGTTTGAGAGAGGTGAAAAGTTGATCAACGAAAACATTTTTGTTGCAAGACCCAAAAGACCCTGCAATAACTATGGCTTTCTACATATTATGTTTATTTACCGGAATTTCATTAATAATGAAATAAGGCACATGAAATAAGGTTCATTAATGTAATGAATGTGAAATTCTATTAGAGGCTCATGCAACTGTATTCTGGGAGTAAAAATTTGATACAGCTGGTCCGTGTAGTGAGTGCTATTTATTGGGAGAGCAAGGTATCATGTCCTCCGAGATACTGGGCTTAAATCCCACCAATCACCTATGCATTTAGCTTTGTGATAAGTAGTCCTTTAGGCCTAGCCGTTGCGTGAAACGTTTCAGGCTAGAGCCTAACGTCCTTGGATGTGAAAATAGGAACCTATCTAAGAATATAAGTGCTATTACTAACCAACAAATCCTGTGTCGAAGCCGTTCTGACTGTGTATTCTAGTGAAGTCAGGCACTCCACCCAAGTACAACGGCTGAGTGAGATCCAAGCCTTGCATGCGGCCCACTGACTTGCCTGTGTAGTACTGGTTCTCATCCACATACATGGTTCCTGCAAACACACATCATAAGATCAAACTTACAGGTTAAAAACGGACATCTGAATTTTTCTAAGGTAATAAAAGGTTCCTGTAGGCAATTCTATTTCTGAATATAAGCGTTTTGTGTAGGAATGGAAAATTTTGGGAAAAAATATTCCCCATCATTGATTGGGTTTGGATAAAATTTGAATCGGGATGTTCTCGGGATGGGCCGATCATTAACAATTTCACTGCGTCCCAAGTTATGATGAAGACGTTTTCTGCTGTCCCAAAAGCTGTTGCTGGTAGGGTGGTTGAAGATGATTATGTTTCTGTAGTTGCAAGACAGACTTTAAATTAGAGAATTATAGAATTTTTTAAAAATTAGTAAATTAGTTAAATAAATTTAATTTTTGCTTAACGTGTTCTTGATGTGTTAAATATGTATATTTATATTAGATTAAGAAATTTCATTGTATTTTTATTTATTTATATTTAAGTTTGTCAGGTTAAGTGTAAGAGCCATGTGGCCCTAACTTTGCCTGGTAAAATAAAGAATTTTTCATTTCATTTTTCATTTTATTTTATTTCATAAATTGACAAAAATAGTTTTTGGTTTGTGCGAAATGTCAAACTACATAGATAAATATAAATAATATAAACAATTGCCTACAAAAATATTAAACATAAATTTTTTTTATCTTTAGACAGTTATTCAAGGGTTTAAAATTTACAATGAGAGTTATCTACCAAAATACAGTCCTACAGCTTATCTACTACAGTCTGAAGTTCAACTGACCATCTTTCTTGAACCGACTCAGTTGCACAGTGTGCCACTCTCCGAGAGACAGTTTCTGAGAGCCTTGGATGATTCCTGGTCCAGAACCGACGTCAAACCGGAACTCAGGAATTCCGTCTCGTAAACCGAACGAGATGAAATCGCCTTTACCATCTGGGTGTTGACCGTTGTACAGGATCAGACCTGTCAAACAATAAAACAAAAAATCAGCGTGATAATAATGAAAATAATACTTTTACTACAGATGACTTTATCGGTCCCTTTCTGTAAATGACTTTCTAATCTACAAAGAATACAGAAAAAGGCACTGTGGTGATTGGTGAAAAATAATTTTAATAAATGAAAATTAAAAAGCTTAATTAATATCGATATTTAACATTCAAAGTAGACCTAACCACTTACCATTAGGATTCTCCGGTTTGAACGTGATCTCCAGGCTAACGGAAAGGTAGGTGTTGGGTAGCGTCGGCAGCGCCAGGTAAGAGTTGGGCGCCTGAGCAAAGAACGGCACAGCACCGTGAACCAGGGTGATCATGGGAATGTCTACGGTGATGTTGCCATTGCTGGCCGTACAGATGTAGAGTCCTGCATCCTTGTATGTCACTGACGGGATGGTCAGGTGTTTCTGCAAGTAGACAAGACAACCAGGGTATTATACACAGAGCAATTAGTTAGAAAGGCAACTACTTTTAATTTCCCTGTCGTCTAATCAGCCATTACATCAGCTATGTGGTTATTTATAAGTTACTCAGCTGATCCTCAAAACACTAAATATGTGAGAGGTCTTATTAAATCGCCTAGGTCATTGGATAAGTAAACTTAAAGATTACTCCAAGTCAATTTTGTTCATCAAGCATAGAGAACTTGATGTTATTAGTGTTGTAAATATAGCCTACTATGGGACAGGAAGGAGAGAATATGTAGGTCTTGCTTGAAAAATGTGTACTGATAGCAAAAGGTATGTTGCCAGCAAAAGGTGTGATGTTGGCAAAAAGTATGTTGCTATCAAAAGTTTGAAAGGTCTACTGGGTAGCATCTAAAACTTAGGTACGAGAATAATGAGTTTGATATTCCTCGCTAGTTTAAGTGGCAATTGTAAAACTTTAAAATAAAATAACCTTGTCACCTTGTTTGAAATATCCCATCATTCTAAAACAAACCTTTATAATGGATTATGAGTGGATGTAATAGTATACTAACCCCAGATATCTGAGCGTTTGACGGCAACACGCCTCCATGCTTGGTCCAGGTGTGAGTGATGGGACCCTCCAGATCAATGTTACACACAAGGTCCACTGTCTGTCCGTAATTAGCTGTCACTGTCTCGGCTGAGGCGGCATCGTGGGTCGGCCGATCATCTACACACAAATCAAATTGACTTAATTCAATGTATGCAAGATCAAACAGTTTAAGATGAGCTATGTGACTGAAGAATCTGCTGGTAAATTGATGAGATGAGGTTTGTGTTTGCAAAAAACTCATCTTTAAAATCTATAACCAGATCTGTGAATGGTGAATTTGTTATAAATTGGTTTAAAGTGGACCTGAACTGAGGTTAGTCAACAAAAAGAACTCTTGGATTAAGTAGCTTCTCCAGCAGTTAAGTGTAAGATACTAAATTGTTACAATAATATTTACAATTAATTTGTATTAACTTACCAAATTCAATTGAAGCAGGAGCATGTAAAATAATCATACAATCTTAGTTCAAACTTAAAAATTAATATCCCTCAAAGATTGTTCTAACACAATATACTTAAATATGTACATATTGAGTTAAGATATCAAAAGTCTACGATTATGTTCAAATGAATGGTAAATTTAGTTTTCACCTTTGTTTTAACACTTATAATTAATATTAAACAAATACATAATTAGCCATAGAAAGACTAAAAGTATGTTCAAATAAATGATAAATTTAGTTTTCACTTTTTTTTAAAGAGGTTGGCAGCCTCTTTTAACCTTGCAAATGCCCGTCCACATAGACTAACCGCCCGTGCAGTTGCTAACGTTTACTGTAAAGCAAGGAGTGAGCCGGTACAGTACAAAGGTGAACTGTACTGATAAAATTTAGTGGCAGTGACCAGGATCTGAACCTACGACATCGCTGCCTTGGGCCCAAAGTCCGCGACGCTACCAACTGAGCCACCGACTCACTAAATTCTCACTTTTAATTCTATACATTTAGTCTTCTGATTGTGCTTGGGAAGACAACTTAAATCTCTCCACCAAATAAAGTACTTACCAAATACAGAGAGTGAATAGTCCTTGTCGTAACGGTTGTTGTTTAGATAAGCAGTACATCTGTACGTTCCGTTGTTCTCAGATGTAGCTTGGGTTATTCTGAAAAGATAGAAAAATATTTGAAGACATCTGAACACAAAATATAAAAGTTCAGTTCACTCCTTACTTTATTCAGACAATGGTGTACCTTACATTTAGTCAATCGTTGACAAAAAAAAAAAAGAAAACAATCAACATAGTTCACTAGATTAAAGATTTGTTATATTCTATATTGTTGGTACCGTAACTGAAATAATCTTTTCTTGGTAAAGCTAAATTAAGGGGGTGGAAAACTGTGTTTTGATAGATAGAAATCAATATAGGACACAAATACTGAATTGCACAACACCGAAAACTTTTTACTTAATCCTCTGACTTGACATTTTAGCACCGCTTTCTCTTATGAGCGTTAGTAACACACACACTGCAATACAGGATTGTTTGGCTAAATCACAGGTACTTTAAATTTGATAGTTTTTTTATGTTACCTAAGTACTTGGCCGCTCTGCCGAGCATTGGAAGGCAGACTTCGTCCGTCACTAAGAGACCAATATTGCTTGACGTTGGACGGTCCGAGCACAGTACATCTTAAGTCAACTGTATCTCCATAATGCACCTCTCGCTTGCTTGCCTCGATTTGCAGCTCAACCTCATTCAAACCTGCCAAAGTGACAACATATGTTTATCTAAAAATCTTGACAATATTTACATTAATTGTTACAAAGTATAAACTTTTTATAAAGTTAATTATTTAGAATGAAATATTGATGTGTTGATTTACAAGTTAGGTTCAGGAACTGTAGATAAAATTAGTTGACGTTATATTATTATTTGAAATAGAAACACACAATTATGTAAAATATTATTTTGACCACAATGATATCCAAAGAGAAATACAGTAATTGAACTGTGTTATGAACGCGTAGGAAACATTAAAAAGATTAAGTGAATTGGTAGTCACAAATATGCGTTTATGTAATTTTCATTTTACAGGAGTACAATTTGAAACTATGTTAACTGATGATTTGTTAAGGATAAAACATAGAGATGGAGAATTGCTACAGTGACGCATCTTAAGAGTTTCATCACATATGAAAGTGGTGAGTACAATGACCATTATAATTGCACAAAGATTATTTACATCTGAAACAAAATAACATGAAAAAGAAACCAACATTTTCCCCATGCAATTTAGTGAAACATTTTATATTATTAGGTCCACAACCACAATTTAGATTGGTTAAAAATTGCTTTACTGGTTATTAATCATGCAGATACTTGGAGTTGGTTATAGAGTTGGTTTTTAAGAGTTTTACTGTAGATGTAGACACTGAACAAGTTGTAATAACTATTTTAACATCGTTTACAGTGAATTGGCAATTTAGTCACAATTACTGTACTTGAATTATCCAGCCACAATAAGTTTAAGGCTGAAATTGCACCTTTTAAATAAAACCATTATTCGACCAACTCCAAGGGTAAAATTTCCCCATACACTCCATAAGTTATATAATCATGCAATTAAAAATAATATAAGGTGATAAATTCATGCATGGATTTTAAGTAAATATAATCCAAATTGGTGGAATCATACCTATAGAAGAATTCTGTGACGTCCTGGCTAAAAGTATGGCACATAGAACACACTAATAGACTAGTTTTAATTGATCAGAAATGATATTTTTATTATATGAAAACGAGAAAGGAGTAGAGAAAAATCAACAGATAATGCTATAACAAATAAGAAAAGAAAATGTTTAAGCTGCACATTTTTAGAGTTATTTACAGGATTTTTATATCAGGAACTGATTAGAATAGAAGAGAATAGGAGAGATAGTTATTAACAGTGATCATGATATGATACCACTAAGATGTTAATTATTTAAAAATTGAGTGATGTGAATTAATTGCAATTTAGTTTTTGCAGTATTTGTCTACTAAAGTCGGGACCACATAAGTTTGCGGTTGAGGGAGGAGCCAATTTACCATATGGTTTTGTTGAATGAACCAATGAGAACGGTGCGGTGTTGCCAAATCTAATAGTACCAGCTGATTTGAAAATATTGCTTTGTATATTTTAATTTGTGTTGTCAATGGGCGATGTGGGCACGAGCCTTGTCTTGTGATTGGCTGCCACCAACTGCAAACTTATGTGGTCCCGACTTTAAACATAATTTTGAACATAAAAACATACATTTTCAACACAAATTTCTTTTAATGAAAAAAATTTAATAAAACAACATTTTAAATTTAAGTTGATGGATATTTTGAATAAAAAGTTAAAATGTTTATTTTATTTTATTTCATACGTTTAATCATGTAAAAATCACATACAAATTTATAAGCTAAAGGGAAGAAGTTCAGTTGTAAATAAATTCTAAGTAGGCCTACTAAATATTTTGAACTGCTTAAAAAAAATAAATTTCATTTAAAAATGAAAATGTGTAAGCACTTAATAAATTTTATCAGTTCTATAAAGCCTACAAAATAAGACAAATCTTCACTTATTGTTTTAGTTTTAATACTTCCTATGGGAGTAAATTATGATTTTTTAAATAATCTCTCAGCATAACAATTCTTTCCCTTGTACATAGCACAATAGTAGCAGCCAATTATTTTCCCGTTTACTTCTGTGCGATGCAGTACACAATACAAGTCCCGCTCATTCAAACCCCACTAATTTGCGCCCCACTAATCTGAACTGGTGGTGCTGATAACCTCGCCTCTATCGTACTAACAATTTACCACTTAATCACTGGCGACCACTATAGTGCCCATGTGCAAGGGGTTTTACAAGTAACTGTTATCCAAATCCAAACCAACCACGTCCAGGTCGTATCTGACATGAAGCCTCGTCCGAGCCGTCGGAACAGTCTGCTCGTCCGTCGCACACTCTAATCAGAGGGATGCACAGCGGCATGCGATTCTTACATGTTTGCTCGTCTGGCGAGCACGGGCTCTCTGGCAGGCAGCAAATCAATCAAACCAAATCAATACGTGCACCACTCTACTTAGAATAGACGGCAAAGGACTTGTTTTGATCAGGTCAAAGTGAAAAGTGAAATAATAGTAGTTGTACAACCTAATTCACCTATTATTGTACCATTTTAGTTGTTATTAGATGTTTTTGATAGGTACGATGAACCAATCACTTATCTACATGTCTAAAGGGTTTTCTTCTAAAAAATCAATGACTTTCACAGTGACCGGGTTGAAGTCTTTGAAAATATGTACTGATTTTGTTGAATTGGGAAACAGTTTAGAAGAGTCGGCTTACCCATTTTTTTTACATTTCAAGTTCGGGCCTTCAAGGCCCCTGTAGACTGGCAAATGCATGGTTCCAAAGACTGTTACACACTCTTAAAAAGAAACAATATTATTTAAACTTTGTAAGCCACAAGTTGATAACAAAATAAAATATGAAAGTGTGTTGATTCTTCAAAGAATTTTATGTTTATGACTAAATACATAATTTATATGCTATCTGATCTTTTTTCAATTTTTCCTTCTAATTTTGATAGATGAAAATATGAAAATTGTTCAACTACTTATTTTTGTCCCCAAATAAAAATTAATTGATCGGATTAGTTTTAAATTGAAATCAGGGAATATTCAGTGACTTCCTTACTTAGTGACCTGTAGGTACTCTATTGTGCATAATGATGTCCTTTGCCGTTGTTATTCTAGGTATCGTGGTTCACACTACGAGCACTTAATGCAAAAAGTAAAGTGTTAGAAAGATTTTAATTTGTTAATGCTATTGACCAAAGGGTTACCCCAAATAAGGTCAAAATTCTATAGCGTTTTAAATCATAAATTTATCTATTTCTTTGCTGTAGGATATCTTCAGATAAAATTAGATTTTAGTACTTTTTATATTTATATTTTGCTGTAAATCTTAGAAAAATAAATAAATTCTACAAATTTGGTTTTAGAACCACATTGGTATTTGTAGAAGTTTTTTTTTGCAAAGTAAACTTTTCACTAAAACTTTGGCTACCTATTAAGTATTACATTAAAACTCATAAAAAAAAGTAAATTAACCTGCTTGATATTTAACAAGTTCTTGATGTACTTGGTTTCAATAAAAGAGTTGTAAAATATTAAATACTTGAATCTTGAAAGTACTTTACAATGGAATAACTTTTCACTATTATTGAGCTCCAATATATACAATTATTTCAATAACTATTCTAATTTTAGAAATATTAATGCCTTCAGTAAAAAGTATTGTCAAAAACCCCCGAGACATTCAACATTTCAAACTGTAAAAACAATACAACTTCAAAGTTTTTTTCCTTGAATAAATTAAAATATTGACTAAAATTTGAATCTTACAAAAAAGTTTGAGTATCAACAGAGAAAAGAAGATCTTACAAAAATATTTTCCAAAATAACATCCCCCCGGGCTGTTCAACAAGCAATATTCTACGTCATGCTTCCAAGCAATCATTCTCGTTGGCGTCATGCTTCGCCCCAAGCGTCCTACTCACGTTCTACTCTCAGATCGATGTAGTCCTGGGCCGTAGAGCCGTACGCTGTGGTTCGACAGATGTATCGCCCTGCGTCCTCCATTTGAAGGTTGTCAATTCGCAGGATCGGACCTTCTATCGTCGCTCGAGAAGGTAACGGCTGATAATCTCTGGTCCATGATATCTACGAATAGAGAAATAGATTTCGAATCTCTATACTCCTTATAAAACCGCTAAAAAGTACATCTCGAGTTTGTTCGGGATGGTTAATGTTTGAAATACAGTGTGTGAACCTAAACATCAGTTTAACTTTTTAGTGAATTTTATAAGTTTTGTGATACTTCCAAGAGATTAGACAGGCAACACCTAATGATCAGTCTATCAGTTAATTCATTGAATTAGGTTATAGTATCTTATGTAAAATGTAAGTTATTTTTAACCATTCAGTTTTGTGACTTAACAGTTTGATGTATTGTCATAAAATTTAAGTGGTAGAGCTCGTGCATTTCCTGGTGAAGCCTGGGGGTAGGTGGTTAGAGTAGCTCAGGACCGGTTTTGTACGGGCTTCAACCCTACCCCCAGGCTTCACCAGGGAATGCACGAGCTCTAGAGAGTACTTACAAGCCTTAACTTCAGCTCAGAAATACAGCTATTCATTAAATTGTATTCCAATTTTAAAACTAATCATATCTCAAATCTAATGTTTTCTTAAACAACTGAAGAAGTTGTTGTTTGCAGCCGATTTTTATAAAATAACATATTACAAATAAATTGAGTCTATTCACTAGCTGTGGTTACCTCTTGGTATTGTGATGTGTCACAGCGTAGTTGGATGCTTGATCCCTCCATGGCCGTTGGATTCCGGTCCAATGCTCTCACCGATGTCACTCGGGAATTGTCTACAAAAAATTCACAAATTTTGTCACGAGAATTTTTGTATTTGGGTGGAAAACAAATGTAATAGTAAACTTGTAGGATTTAAAGTGATTTGCAAATCTCACCATTGACGATAACATCTGCGGTGGCCTCTAGAATTCCTCGAGCGTTGGACGCTTTACACACATATCTTCCAGCATCACTCTCACGTATTCCTACAAACTGTTGACAAACAATCAAATATTAACAATTGAACATCAATTTTAAGCCAAAGCATGGATTAGACTTGCTCCCTTATACAGGGTGTTCAAAAAGGTCGGGACATAATTTACATAGTGACTTTTAAATTTTAAGTTGAATCAAGATGAACCCTTTTTTCTAAAATGGGTCTTTTGTACCTTAACATACATATCAAGTTTCATAAAGATTGGTTGCAAAAATTCCAGGATAAAAATATTTATGTAAGAAATACAAAAAGGCGGATATCTGGTTAACGAAATGATTTTGGAAAAATGTTATTCTCCATTTTCTCTTTATTTTGACCCAAGAAATCACTAAGTAAAATATGTCCCCACCTTTTTGGAACACCATGTATATTTATCACCCATCTGGATTAAAAAATAATATAGGGTAAACTTAAATGTTTGTGTGATTTGGTGTGTTCTGTTGATTTCTTGTTCAAATTTCAAAATCATTATGACCGACTAGAATGATTTACTGAGATTATGCAAAGGCTTTCAGCTGATCCTATGTACATTAAAACGTAAATGGAATTTTTCCCGAAGATTCTGAATCAACTATTTGACAAATTATCATGATTTTTCATTTGAAGTTGAAGGAATAATAATTCTGTGAGAAAAGGAATGCTCGGCTCTTACCTCAATGACTCCGCCGCTCACCCTCACAGAGCGAGGCAGTGGCTGGTTGTCCGCCGAGTGCCAGCTGATGTCTATTGGTTGTTCTCCCGTCGCTGTACACGTGATCATCGCGTGATCGCCAGGTCTCACCACCTGTCTCTCCGGGTCTAGTCGGATCTTCATTGGCTCTGAGAAACGTAAAGCAAAATCAGTGGTAAACTCAGACCATACAAACCTTACTGATTGTTTTGTTTACGTTTACAAAATAATTCTTATATGTCCCTTGTAATCGGTGTTCATTGTGTTTTTAACGTTCTCGGGGACTAATGTTTTTGCAATGAAGCTCCAAAATTAGTCTATAAATCGTGGATTGATGACAACAAAGGAAGACAAAGAAAGATAGTGTAGTAAATGCTTAGTGGATGCTGCCATTTTCCTGTGGCTTTCCCTCAAAATTCATATAATGATTCATAATACACAGAAACAGATACTTTTCCATCAGTATTGATAGGCTGGAAACTGGAAAGTCACCCTTTACCGTGCCTAAACACGTAAAAGTAACGTTATGTACTATTAAAGTGAACTAAATTAAAGAGAAGCTATTAGTTTTAATTTAAATTGGTCCAATAGTAAAATTATTGTGTGATAAAAGATATCGTAGTGATGGGGAAAGATGATGTTTGGATTAGACATATTTGAACAGTAAAAGTAATCATATTTCTAAGAAAAAATAATTTCATAGAGCTATTTACAAGATCCACAAAAAAGGGTGATGGTAAAAATTCCCAACAGATTAAAACACAACAATTTTGCAAAGTTTATAACTGATCTTGCAAATATGTAGAGAAAAAACGAAAAACAAAAAATGTGCAACATCCTAAAAAAAGTTTGTTTATAATCTTCTCTGTATTTTTTTCCAGCATCACTATAGTTTTATAGAGAAAGGGGCTCATTTTAATTGGGATAGAAGACCAGAAAATTATAAAAAATAAATAACATTATAGTACAAAGAAAAAGAAACAATAATACATCAAATATAAAGTGCATAAGAAAATCTAAGTTAGGTTACTGTGCAATAAATACTGAGGAGATGAGAAAGTTTTGATACCCTGAACAGTTAAGAATCAGAGAAAATATAAGAAAATGGGTTGATTTTAGCTTTTTGAAAAAAATTTAATTTTTAAGCATGTTCAAAACTTTCCCAAAATGGTGCAAAGTAACGACAACAATATCATGTTTAAGTATCAAACATTACCTTTAGGACAGTATTGTTCCTTTTCTGTGAGCAAAAATAAACAAATGCTAGTGGTTTAAAATATTTTGAATAAACTCCTTAAATTGGGTAGCATAAAACATTTTTAATATAGTTTGAAGTAACTGAAGTTTGTGTTGTCAACATTATAATTTTACAAGTTGAAAAACAACTCATCATCAAGTTGAAAATGGCTTCGGTAATTAAACATTAGGATGATTCAATTGAACTTGTGTCAAGGTGTTTCTTAAGATATGAGCGTTGTAAACAATCACCTAATAGTGAACCACATTAAACTGTCATGAGAAATCATTAGTTTCTGCAGTCATTTCACCTCACCTAATATTTGTTAAGTATACATACATTTTATTAGAAGAATAAGTTCTTAAACATTAATGCTGTGAAAATTCTAAAACTATACTTCTACAAAATGAAACAATAATAAAGAAATTTGAAATCAAACTCACCGATTACTCTGATGTGTGCGATGGCTGTGAACAGAGGTTCGCCGCGAGCGTCGAGTCCTTGGCAAGAGTAATCACCTGCATCGGAGTACTGCACGTCGCGTATGTAGAGTTCTCCGTTGCGCTCATACGCTTGTGGGCTGAGCGGCTGTCCGTCGCGGCGCACCCACTGTATAATGATTTGCTGGGGACCTGCACAACAAAACTGTACGATTAGACAGAACCACACAGCTGGAAAACAGATAAGGAAACAAAAAAGTAGAGAGGATAAAGTATATTGTGACATAAACAATAACATACAGGGTGTTTGAAAAATATCTGTGTCTTTCTACGTTAAAAAAAGGTACAGTTATGTATTTTATGTGAATGAGTTACTCAGTTTATTCTCAAAAAGCATTATTTCAAAGCAAACAGACAGTAGAATGATACACAATTCATCTTGATGGTTTGCATATATAAGAAAAGGTAAACATGGAGCTATACAACAGAAGAATACATTAAAACTAAAGTAAACACATGCATTCATAACAGTAAGATTTTAGAAAATCTATAGATAATTTGTGAAATTAAGTAAATACAGATATTTTTTTAATGAACGGTCAAAAAAAGAAGTTTTGAATATTGGAATATTTTTGGCGTCAGGTTTTAAAAAGTTATAATTCTTTATAACGTCAATGTTTTAGATAAACTTGCTCATTAAATTTGTTTGATTGAAATATACTAATACTGTATTTAAATTTAACAATAAGGTTGTTTTTAGCAATCAGAATATATATTTTTTAATTGCTTATCACATTGAGCGCTGAAAACCTTTAAACAGGCACTCGCCAATGGCGGCGAGGCCCGGGCGGAACCCCGACTGAATCAGCGATTGCTATTGGCATTGAAATATCTCAGTAAGACGAATCACAAAAGAGCAGCCAGTGGTGATTGTTCTGCGTTACCCCGATAGTGGACGTAGTTCACTGAAACACCCAAAGGTAGCAGCACTGCCTGGATCAATAACCAGAGTCTTTGTAATATGGCTCGAATAGAGAAAATCTCCGAAAACGGGACAAAAGCATTGCCAGACGGGATTTTACGGGCAATTTTAGTACCAACCTACACCAGAATAAAGCTCACATTCTAAGCTACGGTAATGATTACAACCTTCCCCATTGCGTAGCTCACATTGAAACATGGTTGTTGCTATGCTAACATGACGGGCGCGCCCGCCAGACGCTTGGTGTGCCAACTGCGCATGGCAGGCCGGCCCGTCACTCGCGCTCAATGTGTTATTCTAAAAATACCAGACAATTTTGACTAAACTTCTGTGATGTGAGAGACCATAAGCAACTCAATATAATGCAAAATCAGAATAAGAAGCAGAAAAAAACTAAGAGAATGAAGAGAGAGAAAGAGAAATTCTAATCGGGGTACCACCCACCTTTACATTTATGAGAAGTCCTCCAAGCATCCATGATATGATAAAGAAAATACCCCCGCTGCAGCAAACCTGCCGACTAAGCGAATTTCCATTTGTCTGAATTGATTTTCAGTTAAATATATTTTAATAACATTAGGTTTAGCGAGTACCTAGGTTTGCTGCTACAAGGAAACTAATAAAGTGTGTTTTTGAGTAAAATATTGATAGCTTAGTACAAAATAAATAAATTTGCCAAGTTTGATCAAAATATATTCATAAACAAGCAAACTACAACATTTGACAATATTCTCCATAAGAATAACATGGGAATTTTAAATTTACAATTTTTTTAATGTTCTCCGTTACTAATAATCGAACAAAAATACTTTTATATACTAAATTATTTGTTTTTTTAAGCTCTTTAAAAAGATCTAAAGAGAAATCGGGAAATTTTGTGTTTTGAGGGTCAAAAGTGAGAAAAACCAATTTTTACCCCATAAAACCCCCTGTAAAGCCCCGTTCCCATGGTCCGATCGTGCTGGTTCGCGAACTCATTCAAGTTTATCCCGCTTTACACCTTTAAACCAAATTTCATCAAAATCGGACAAAAATTACTCAAGTTATCGCGTTCACGGACGTATATATATATATATATATATATAAGTCTATATATATATATATATATATATATATACATATATAAAAATTTGAACGAATAGTGTTTTTGGCCTCTGGGGACATCAAAATGAAAAAGTAAATCGGTCCCGGGTCTAGGTCTTACCGTGCCACCTACGGTAATAGCTACTTCCCTATAGGGAAATTCGCTAAAAGTCAATGATAAGTACAACTTATTAAAGATGAAAATTAATATTCTTGTGAGAAGCAGCAAACGAAAACTTTTGCATAATGTGAATCACAAATTGTACACAGTAAATACACCATAACGATTGAAAAAAAGATTGATAGTTGTGTCCCTTAGCCAAAAATACTGCCAATAAATTATACTTAAACTTAATATTTTAATTAACGTTCTAAAAAAATAATTTTGTGTCCTTCTAACAAGACTTAAATGGTAAACTGTGAAACATGTCCATTTACGGTTTTTATACCTAATTCAACCACAGACATTAAATAATTTATTGCAACTAAAACCTATTGAATTTCCTGAGCTTTGAAGGTAAACAAATGACAAAGTTTTACTACTATTTTACCAAAGAATGTGAACTAGTTTTTTTTTACAAATGTAATTTGTCAAATCAAAGCGATGTTCAAAATTTAAATTTAAATGCCTAAGTATTTTTCAAAGTTTAAAAAGTGTCTAGCTTAATGCACCTAAAACGCAATATAAATATATTCATATTTCCAATGAAAATATTTGTTTTGAGAATGGAAAGTGTAAAACCCAAGTAACTCGTACAACTTTGTTTACCATCCAAAGCCTAAGCGGAAGGTTAGTTTGTAAGCTCTAGTTTTTATATATATTTGCTTTAGTTCTTTGATACAACTACTGATTATATACAATAGATTATCCTAGTTGATATGTTTTAAATTTTTAGCCAACACTAAGAATAGCAAAATGTATACTATGTGTAACAAAGCAATAAATATTTAAAACAAACAACGACATTATTGCTTTTTGGGAGGTACATTATCAGGAAAGACGATTCACACGAAGCTTGTCAAATCATTTACATTAAAGCTCTATATTTTGGTGAAAACATCTCATAGTATTTAGGAAATGAAAACTAATCACGTTTCAGTCATGTTTAAAAAGTAATAGACTAAAAATATTGCGTCACTCAAACTTACAAAACGTTCCATTAGGTTTCGACACTATTGTTTTGAGTAATACATTGCACTGCATTCAAACACTAGATTACAGGAGTATAAAGCGTTCACCATTTTGAAAATATTCATTAATACTGACAAGAATACATTTTAAGTATACAAACTACATACAAGTTTCCATGTTCGAATGCCACCGTTACAAATGTATATACACTTACTGAGCAGATATTACAAAAAATTACACAACTTATATTACAATCAAAACTATTTACAACACACCTATTTACAATACTGTACACTTTACAATAGCACCGACTCTTAACTACATAACATTTGTACGAGGGTTAAAGCTCAGTCTTGTTTCACACTGGTCTACTAAGTATACGTGGACATTTTTGGTCCTTCCGAACCGGATTTTTACACAACCATACTAATACTGATATTATAATGATATAAACGTAACAATGAAGCCAATGATGAAGACCTTACCCTGTGCTATACAGCGGGCGGTAACGTGTCCGCCGAGGGGAACAGTAAAGTCGTCGTCAGGAATGTACACTCCACTGCTGCCTGTGCTTGGGATGTCACCTCGGCTTGGTCCGCTCGTCGTCTGCTCATCGCTCACAATGAGATGTATCCTCTCCTCTACCTCCCCAGCGGCATTGCGAGCAGTACACGTGTAACTTCCCTCGTCATCCTGTGTAGCTCCCTTGATCTCGTACACTGCTCCTTGTGCCGTTTCCGGTGTAATAGACTTGGGCTCACTGAAATTCATGAATACGTACAGTTGTTGGTTAGTTACAAAATTTTATCAAGTTTAAACATTCATCCTAGATACACTTTTGTATTTATTACGCTTGGGATTATTTTTTTAATTAGATACCTGACAATAAAAATAATAAAAAAATGTTTTGTATTGGCTAAGATTTGATAAAAAAAATTGGGGACAACTTTCCTTCAGTTTCACATATTTACAAAATATAATCGTTGGATTGACAATAAAAAATTAAATTTAAAACTTTGCTCAATAATTCACATAGCTTATTAGATTCATATCCATAATGGAGAAATAAGCCGTTTTTAAAATCCAAGATAAGGTTACGGTATAAGAATAAGAAACTTTGATAGTTCCCACTTTATCTTATATTGAGTCAAATAAATATTCAAACAAATTTAACAACTCAACGGAAAGATTAACATTCACCTACTTATGTACGACTACTGGAAATTCAAGGTTCACAAGCAATACTGACTAGAACTGTAGACCCGGTTGGTGTTTGGACCAGACGACGGTGGGTGCGGGGTGACCGTAGGCACGACAGTCTAGTCTGAACCGTTGACCCGGCGACACCTTCACGCTCTGACCCGGCGGGGTGATGGTGATCAAAGGCATAGAGTGGACGACCAGCTCGGCTACGGTCGTAGCACTACCCTCGGGGTTGTCCGCTGTACACAGGTACTGGCCTTCATCTGCTCTTGTGGCCGAGTTGAACCTGCAACCGACCAGTCCAGTTGGTTATTGTCTTTGGAATACTAACAATTCAAGTAAAAGCCTTTTTCACAACATTCTACACTCATCCTTCACTCATATTCGGGTTTAAATATGCAACCAGGTGGCATCCCCATTTCATAATTCTATTCATATGCTCTATTCTTGGACCTGTACTCTTTATTTTGTAAATAAATGACTTGTCTAAAAATGTCTCTAAAAACCTTATTTTTTATGCCGACGATACAACTGCAGTTGTCAAATCTAAAAATTATTCAGAATTATTGCTCAAAGTTAAACCAGCCCTATCGGAACTGGAACAGTGGTTCAACATTAACAGTCTAAAAATGAATCAAGATAAAACCCAATTGGTAAAGTTTTGTATTGCTCAGGCAAGAGAGTTTGGATACCTAAATTTAGCTGTTCATGATGATGCAAAATTTCTTGGTTTGTATGTAGATTCAAATTTAAATTGGAACAAAAGTACTGAAAATATCATTAGTAGACAGAATTCGGCATTTTACCAAATTATACGTTTAAGAAACTCAATTGACTTAAAAACTTGGTTGATGTTATATAATGCATACTTCTATTCAATTCTTTAATATGGAATTTAATTCTGGGGTTTTGCATCAAACTTTGATTTTATTTATAAGATCCAGAAATTGTTTAAAGAATAATGACATTTGCACCATTGAGAACATCATGTACACAATATTAGCATTAGATAGAGATAAGACCGGGGAACAAGCTGGTCTAGAGTGCAGGGCTTTGGTATTTGAAGTTCTGGGTTTGAATCCTACTAATCACCAATGAATTTTGCTGTGATAATACCACAGCCCTCTAGGCCTAGCCTGAAGTAATATGTAAAAAAATCTGGACTCCAGCTTAGCATCATAGGATGTGACGGTAGAACATAATAAAATAGTAACAAGGCCAAGGTTTGGACCTTTACTAGTAAAAAAATTAAGAAATGTTTGTGGTGTAGATACACAAAAATTAATTAAATTCCATGTTGGTGGCCCCTGGATTACTATCTATGACTATAATTAAGGTACAATACCTCGTCAAGTAATCCAAATGTCGATTGTCAGGTTACGCCGTAAATGCGGCATCCTCAGGGCTACAAAACATGATAAGACATCGATGTCACACGCACACAATAAATACATGACACACGAACATTTAATTAAAATTGATAAGCCTATCACACGCACACAACACGGACGGTCCCGGCGCAGGTAGTAGACAGGTAGTAGGTTCTATTATCAATGTTAATTAAATGTTCATGTTCGTGTATTTATTGTGTGCGTGTGACATCGATGTCTTATGATGTTTTGTAACCCTGACGATGCCGCATTTACGGCGAAACATGTAGGTTGTTAACCTGACAATCGACATTTGGATTACTTGACGAGGTATTGTACCATAATTATAGTCAATCAATTAAAAACTACATAAATGGAAATGGACATCCTTTAGTGTAAGGACAGTGATTCTTTGATCACTCTCACCGCAGTACTCCGCCTGGCAGCTGTTCCACCTGGCGAGACAGTGGAGTCCCGTCCACTCTGCTCCAGTGAAGCGTCGGTTCCGGAATTCCCTTAGTGACCCGACACTGGAACAAAGCGCTTCCGCCCTCGTTGACAGTCTGGGACGCCCTTGGGTACAGCTCAATCTCTGGAATCTCCCGGCCTGAAAAAAAAACAAACAAAAAACGTAGGATTACAATCTTGTTACATAACAAGTAGGGGTGTGCGAGTATTCGAACATCGAGCTTTTTCGAGCCGAATAGGACGCTATTCGGCTCGGCTCGTGATTTCAAAAAGTTCGAAATGTTTGAGCCGAATACTTATTGAACTAGCAAATAAAAATTAAATTAATAAATAAGGAACTAACTTTCATTTAAATTTACTCTCCTCCGTTTCATAATTGTGTCTTGATAAGCACGAACCTCAGCTCAGTCAAGACGCAATGAAATGATTATCGATCGTAATTTTGAGGAAACTACCACCTATCGCGTTGTCTTTCTAACACAATTATTCGTATCGTAATATGCAACGCAGTACGAGTGCGTGATTGGCTAAGTCGCTATGACGACACACGGTTGCCGTGGCAACCTACAGTGCGCACTGAGCACTGCGCCTTGTGTGGGAGGGGAGATTATACCAACAAACTATTTCAGGAATTCTATTTTGGGACGGATGAAAGATAAGGAAGAAACAAAAAGTGGTCACGTGTGCAAATGTAGTGGGCGAGACAATAAGGCTGTAAACGAGTATCGTCGTGTCGTTGTTCCTTGTTTGTTTACTTTTTCAGATTCCTTATCAAACTCCTTATCATCAAACTTCCTTATCTGCTATCTCCCTTTCTCTCTCTCTCTAACAATGTACTGATTAAACAGATTGTGTTTGACAACTTTTCTACTTATAAGTTTCCCTGCGGTTATTTTAGTTCAATCAATCCCATAACCTTTCTAATGTTTATCAAAATAATTAATTAATATGTTTTGTATTTTATTTCCTTTAAACCAACCCCTATTTACCATCTGTATTTTATAGAATAAAATGTTTGTTTAGGCCTATAAAGTTTGACTGGCCACACAATTTTGTACCTATTTTATTTTTTATAAAGTAACAGTTACTTTGAGGATTATATATATATATATATCAATAAGTGGCGCGTGCTGTAATGAGTGCTTTTTATTATAAAAATAAGTAATGAGTTATTAATTTTTGATAGTACATGGGTCATTGAATACCATAATGTGATGTAGTTTCCTATTTGTATCTTGCAAATAAATAATAATTGATAGTTAATTCTGGAAATGAAAAATAGTGATCACATTCATAAACCTGTTGTCAAAACAGCAACGAGGGTGTAAGGGTTTATTGTTTCAGACGCAAGGGTGTTTCAAGGACAAAGTGTTGGGCCACCCTGATTGGGGGGGAGGGGGGCGGTGAGACTGTGTGAAGGGGAGGAAACTGGTTTTGGCTATTTATTGATTAGTTCGCCGACCCTTCTAGATAACAAAATTGAGTGACAGTGTTAAATCATCGTGTTCTGCATTTCATTTCTTGTTTACTTTGTGTGTTATTCTATTAATTCTAGTGCTTTGGTCTATTTCCTCTATATGTCAATTATATATTTTTTAATATATAAGTAAAACTTGTCTCTCCACCTTTTTGGATCCGAACCAACCATGTTCTTTTTTGATTAATAGGATTCATAAAACAAAAATATTTTGTGCATGGAAAACAACAAGAATAATCACGTGTTTTTAAATTTATTTTGTATTTATTTATACAAAATAGAATTAAATATTCATAGTAGTTACAATATACATATGTAATCGACTTGCTAGTTGTTTTGTCGTCATTCAAGGTCGCGTTGCTGTTCTGTTATGAAAGACAATCTGATTGTCTCAGTCTGCACTGCATATCTCTTCAGGCCTTCAATCGATATCCTTTTATTTCTTGCATCTTCATTTAGTTCAGTTCAGTTCTTATCGTGATTATCTACTATTTGATGTCTTGACAATTCTCAATGTTTTTAAACATATTAAAATAACATTGTGTTTATTTAAAAATTGACTGAACATTATTATTATTATGCACTTTTTTAAGAAAAAAAGTTTAATAATTAAGATAAGGTTCCGCTAGTAAAAGCTCGGCTCGAAAAAGCTCGAGCTCGAACATTTTTTAAAAAGCTCGGCTCGGCTCGGCTTGAGGTTGAAAATCACTATTCGCACACCCCTAATAACAAGTACATCTATTGGACTTTACTACACGAGTACCGGATCAGATTCTATATTCTGAAACACGGTAAAAACTTTTAAATCATGAATTATAGTAAAAACCTTGTTTATTTATTACTAATTGTTATGTAAAATACCTTCTATTAACATAAACTCACCATCAGCAACAATGTTGGTGTGACAAAGCTGATATAGTCACATCGATAGTCGTAAGTGGAAGTTTGGTTATCTTGCATCCGATATTTCGGACATTCGAGCTCAAAGTGTTAAAAATCTAGGTATATACTTACGTTCTACTTCCAGAATGCTGGTTATTCTGTTGAGTCCTCCAGGTCCATCAACTTGGCACACGTAAACTCCTCGGTCTCTAACTTGGACGTTCTCTATACGCAGAATCATTCCGTCAACCTACAAACAAAACCGATAACTAGATAAAGAGCATGTAATATTTTAAACGAGCAACGTTAAATAATTTTTAGTGAAATCTTAGTTAGCGAATAGCATCCGTATTAGACTGATAGGAGTTTTGGATGTTCCACTGTAAGAATCTTTTTTAGTCAATATTTTCTCTTTAACCATGACTACACCCCAATAACGTAGAGTGGTAGTAACCAAGGTTAAGATAGCAGACTAGTAGTTAGGAAAAAGATCTAAGGACACTGGAAGGTGGAGTAAAATACGAGCAGGACGTCAAAGGAGACAAATTACCGTTGGGCATTAGCAAGTAATTAAACTAAAAATTAATAGACTAGTATGGGCAGTATACAAAAATGTTAATTAATTAGGTAACTTTTGGACTGGAATAGTTTAGTGTATATACTTCAAACTTTTATTGATTCAATTATAGCTACTCATTTCGGACAAAAGAAGAGAGATTTTGTAGAGATTTGGGTTCCACGTTCTTTATCATTTTATTTTAACCTCTAAATGTGAATGAGTACTTTTTAGCTGCAAGAACAACAATCATACCCAACAGATTTCAATTTCATAGATTAGCATCTTGATAAAAAGTGATTAACAAAACAATAAAACATCTTATTTTTAATGTGGATGTCAATGTTGACACTGTTTAATTTTATTTATCTCTTAGCTGTGATGAGTTCTGTGAGTAGTTGATTACATTTGTAAATAAATAGGAACATTTAGTGTATTGATTCATCAAGTTTCGCAATGGATAGTGTACAAGTAGCTATTTTATTTATTATAACTTTAAACAGTTACAATTAATACAAATGTTTTTGTTGTAAGAAATTTGACAACCATAACTATATGCTGTATAAAATATTCATTATAATCTATCCAAATAAATAATTTCTTTATAAAAAAAAATTAGACAGGTTAAGAGTGCATTAGATAGACAGAAAGTAGCTAATGGCTAAGTCGCAGTTGTTATGTTTCAATTTTTTTAGTATTGGGTATTATAAAAAAAAACTGTTTAACACTTGTTTTTTATGAAAATAAAGTATTCACAAAACACTAGAAAATTATGGTTACTAAAGATAACTTAAGGAAAAAGACCCATTATACAATAGGTAAGGATTGATTCAAATCCAAAGATCATTTTTCAGTAAAGAAATTTATTCCACATAATTTTCTTAAAATTTGTTCTTTTAGGCCAAAGTTATATCAGAACACAGTAAATTTGAAGAAGTATTGAGCTCTGATGCTTTCCTAGACAAAACAATGATGATTGAAGTGTTGTTTAACCAGCCTAGACCCCACATTGTTGTGAAAACTCCGAACAAATTTGGGAAGACAACAAACCTCGATATGATCAAAAGGTTTTTTGAAGTTCAAGTTTACCAAAATGGAAGTACCATCACTCCTATATTGACAGATAATTACAAGATATTTTCAAAGCCATACAACAAAACTGAAGGTTTTGATTTCTTGAATATATTTAAGAGGAAGAAGTTTGTTCAAGATCATTTTGGACAGTATCCTACAATATATTTAGGCTTTAAAGGACTTGTTGGGGACGAAGGGTTTCACTTTACAAAAAGATTGATTGAGTTAATCAAACAATTATTTTCTAACCACAAATACTTGTTACAAAGTGAACGACTGAGTGAGAAAGATAAATTAGCTTTTGAACACAACTATAAATTTCTACCGAACATGTCTTACTTGCTCGACCATCCATTATGGCATCAAGAGAGATTGAGAAATTTGGCAAAGCTCTTGGTGAAACATTTTGGAAGGAAAGTAATCTTATTGGTAGATAACTACGATTCTCCTACTCAAGACATAATGTTTGAGAGGAAATCACGTTGGCACTGGGTTCCAGAGAAGATAGGAGAACATCTTGAGGAAATGATCCAAGTACTTATAGATTATTGGGATTCAGAATCAGACTTGATAGAAATTACCCTTATAAATGCTTCAATACCACCAGTGTATGCGTTCGGTCATTTTGACTCAGAAATAAAACATTTATCCTTCACAAGCAAACATGTTTTCAATGAGTTTTACGGTCTTCAAGAAAGTGAACTGTTAATATTAGCAAGGAGATTTGGGATTCCAAATAGTAGACTCAGTGAGATAAAAAATTGGTATGGTGGATATAAAGTTGCAAACAGTAGTCAAGAGATATTTAACATTTATTCAGTTCTTAAGTACTTGAAATCAAATAAATTTAGTACCTATTGGGTTGAACAACTGAACATTAGCATAATAAAACAAACATTAAAATCTAAACACTACCCATTAATCCGTGAGAAATTCAAAACACTTTGTGATGGAGGAAACATTACAATACCGAATAAAATAACTGGCAATCATATTTACCAGGTTAGGTATATTGTCAACGACATCAGCGATTTCTCAATGGAACCAACAAGTTACCTTTTGTTCTTTAACTTATTGGTAGACCTAGGTTTTTGCTCTATTGTGCAGCAGATAAATTCAGTTTTAACAATAAAACTTGTGAACGAAGAGGTTAAAAATGAATTCATAAAAATACTAGACGAAATCAAAAGAGAAAATAATACAAATACAGGCTGATTTTAAACAAAGCATCTGTTAAGAATAAGACAGTGTAAACAATAATAGTTGGTGTATTTTAATAAAATAAATGGTTTCAGAATCTAATGGGAAAATTGTTCATGATGTGCCTGGAAGAAGAATTTTGCTCGTCTCGTTTTAGTAGTAGTCGCAATTTTTACATTTTTACAAGAGAACGGTTCTAATCTTATTGTCCTTGTCCAAATGACATTCTGTTTTTGTTTTTGGAAAGCATACATATTTAAAAGCCTGTCAAGAGAAAGCCATTATCAGGAACAAACCAGCATCCTTAGGATTTTTAACGATTATTTCGATCCTGTAGTCTACAGTATGGTTAAAGTTTTTACTATAGACAATTCTGACTGGAAACTCTGGCTATCACTTAACACTCATCAGCAAATCACATGAATTTTAAATTTTCAAACCTTGTTCGATGCTAATAAAGAAATAATGTCAATACAACCAAACATACTCACCTTAGCATTAGGAGGCATTGTGTCTCCAGCCTTTGACCATTGTATGGGTCCACTGGCCACACACCTCAGTTCCGCTACTGACCCTTGCGAAACTGTCTGTCTGGGAGGGCTGATACTGATCGTAGGCTGCGGCCTGTAGAATACAAAGTAGATTGTAATTACTAGACTTTAGCACCAGATTGAAGGATATATATAAGGGTTTGTATAGCATTCTTAACAAATCAGGGGACTTTTGGGAACTTTATTTAAACATAAACATTTTTTAGACATAGGCTACTTTATGAGTGAAATTATGCAATACTTGAGCAACAGCAGTAAATTTGATTGTTTCCTCACGTCACTATGATCATAGACTAACCATCTCAAGTGGCTCTCTCATCCTATTGTAAAGGTTGAAGCTGGATTTTCTTCTCTATTTCACATTGGTGACACTGGGCGTTAGTGTTGACAACATTTTGTTTCTATTATCAAAAGGTTGATAAATTTAATGATTTGTGCTTTACTGTTTGCTAATATAACTAGAGAACAAGTAATTATTTAGGATTGAATTGTTTTATTCGATTATTAAACAAGGTTTTAAATAACTGAGTTACAGTAACAAAAACCAACTTGTAAACAAAAATACCATCCCAGCGGCACTGGACGGAACCATAGATAAAACATAGTTCCTTAGTAGATTTCCCATCTTTATAGAACAGCTGAAGCCAATTTTATTGTTAGTTCTGTCCGGTTTTCTGTAGATGTCGTGTTTTGTTTACAATTTGTTTCTATTATTTTAGGGTTAGTTTCTCATTATTTGTGTCTCACTGTTTGGTTATATAGCTAGTGGACGAGTTATTGTTTATGATTAGATAGTTTTATTTGGTTAAACGAGGTTTTAAATTACTGAAATAACAAGAAACAAATTGTTAACAAAACACGACATCTACAGAAAACCGGACAGAACTAACAAATTAAATTGCCTTCAGCTGTTCCATAAGGATCGGAAATCTACTAAGGGACTATGTTTTATCTATGACGGAACTAACAATACAATCTTCAGCTGATCCATGAGGATGAAATATCTTCTAAGGGAGTATGTTTAACCTATGCTATAATGTATACAATATTTAAACAATACCACAACATCGTTGACTAATGTATGGAATGTCTACTTCAGCATTATAAACTAAGTAAACAAGACACACACGTTTAGCATGAAACAGATCATTGAGAAGTTTCATGATATACATAGTGAAACTCTCATATAAGCCTATAACAGAGTTTATTGACTGAGAAGGAAGAGAACATATTTGACCAATATTACACTGACCTCTGAGGCTGGTTGATGTTGACCCTGGCTCTGGTCTCACGCAGTGGAGTGCCGGTAGACCTGTCCACTGCGGCACAAATGTAGATTCCGCTGTCACTTGGCTGAGGGTTGTAGATGGTGAAGATGCCGTCAGCGTCTCTGGCGTTGGCCGACAACTCACCGTCCTGCCTGGACCACTGTAGCCTACGAGCGAATGTGAATTGTAAAACTAGTGTAACCAAGAGTCATGTGAAATTTGTCAAACTAAACTATTTGTTAAACTATTTAACTATTTAACTGTTTAACTATTTGTTAAACTTTAACAAAAAAACTATTTAATTTTTAATAAAAAAACATTTTTCTAAGGAACTGTGTAAATTATCTAATGAGATTTAGTTACTAACACACATTTACTTTATTTACTTTAGCTCTAAGAAATTTTATTTTTTTTTAATGAAGAATTTATTGTGTTAGCGTTAGTAGTATTACAAGGTAAACAGGTTCAATAATCAAACTGTATTTAATACATGGACTTATCTAAAAGCATATGAATTAAATCTTAAAAATTTCACAGCGCGACAATTTCTTACTTTAAACTTTTAAATTTTTTCAATTTGCGAAACATTTTTTTTTTTAAACGGTACCTACTCAACATTATTTTTATTTCTACTTTTCTCTAGCCAGTATTACTAATTGGAAGTCCTTAAAAAAAGAAGACAACTGGATCCAGATTTAAAAAATTAAAAGCAAAACAACTTGTCTTCAGATTAAAGATTTGTTCAGGCTAGACATACTAAAGCAATCCACTTTTTTATTCAGCTAATATTTTTCAGCTTTTAGTTTTTTTATTTTAATTGTTGGGGACTGTGAGATTCTTAGTGAAAACGAATTGTAGTGGAAAATGTTACATCATTGACAGTGGTTTTCTTTAATCATGTGAGTTTATAAATTTGTCATTACCGTAACACAATAAAACATAAAAAATTGGAAATCACCTTATGTTGCGAGGGTTGGAAGCAGTACATTCTAGCCGCACAGTTTCCCCGGTTGACCCGCTGTAGTCACTAGGCTGAATACTCAAACGGACTTCTGGCATCGGTGGAAGAGTGGGGGGAGCACCTACAAAAAGTAATTATGAGACAATTAATAACGTTTATAAACAAATGTTAACTAAAGTGATTTGCTTTACAAGAATGCAAGCAATGGTGCATTTCTATTTCTATAGATATAGTAACTAAAAACCTTAATTAAGATCAATAATTGGTGAATCTTTATTACATTCACTTTTAAAATAGTTTAATATTGCTATTATAGCCTTTGAATCCCCTATCAACATTGATAATGGCGTATACACCTGTTTTTGGTAACAAACAGGTTGTAAATTTGAAAATGACAATTTCTATTGATAGGCCTATTACTTGGTTTGGTTGGTAAACACCAATTAATTATAACTTCTCTAATGTAAACTTACATAATCAGCAAAAATATTATTTTTTAAAGAAAAGGAATGTGGCTGATTACAATTTTTCGAAGGGATAGAATTCAACTAGCTTAAATGAAAAATTCCAGTTCTTTGCTAAGAAATAGGTACATAATAAATATGCCACAAAAACATACTGATATTCTCAGGATTTTTCAGAGAGAAGATTAGCTAGAAAAAATACCAGTTTTATGTATTTTTGCCTTTTTTGTGTCCATTATTCCCTTGACTCTCTTTTATCAACCTTCGCTCTACTTTATTCGTTTAAAAATAAATTCTCAACTGCCAACAACTTTGAATTATTTTGACTTACTTCTAACATACAAAGACACAGTTTCAGAGTCATCTCCTTCAGAATTGATAGCCGTACAGGTGTAAGTGCCTTCGTCTTGCAGGGAGGCATATGGAATACGGAACACGCCACTGGCGAATGATGACTGGAGAAAACAAACAATGTTAAAAATATCACCATTGTTTGATAATTTATTAGATAACTGCTACATGAGAATAAAATACCATACGAAATGGGAATACAAAGTTTAGTGAGACTAAACAATATCTTCGTGAAAAGTCATTAGAATAATTTAATTTTGCTAATTAAATTGAGTTACCTTTGAATACTACTGAGTGACAAGTTTTATCAAGTTTTAAAGCATTGGTAATATCAAGTTTTACTGTAACAATTGGTAACAGGTAATGTCAAAATAAGGAACAGTAAAAGTATTTGGTAGCTAAAAATAAAACGAGATTGAAACATGGCGTCAAAAGAGAAATTACAGCATACAAACCTTTTAGGAAATGTAATCCATAGTAAAGAGTTTGAATTAAATTATAACAACAAAGCTTCAAAATGACATCTTGTTGACATAAGTACAAAAAAGTCAAGTTTGGATGAGAAACAAAGTGACAGAAAAATATTAAAAAATCACACTAACAAGAAATGGTTGGCTTGGTCATGAAAAAAAAAATGGCTGTAGAAAGAGTGGCAAAAAATCTGGTCTAAAGAGAAATTTGCAGAAAATGGAGAATTGAAAAAAGCGAGATATCATAAAAGAGGAATTGCTGATAGGGAAAACTCTACTGTAAGTGAATAGGAGAAGCTCTCGTCAAGGACAAGGAATTATCACAGACAAACACTGGAGGATGAAGAGAAACGGATACTACAACATGGCCAACATTCTCTAAAAACTGTGTACACAACGTTGTTTCAAATCAAATGTTTTTAAATTGTTTTTCATCTACCTGAGGTGGCAGCCTGCTAGAGCGATCTCCGACCCACTGCAGTGTTGGGGCTGGCACTCCTGTAGCGTCACAACGGAACTCTACTGGCTCACCTTCCCTTACATCCAGCACTGAGGGGGACACAGTCACCACGGGGCGTACTGGCTGCGAACCTACACAAAGACAATTGTTATGGTAGTAGAATGCAAGACTCACTAGCGTTAAGTGACCAAGTTGGCAATACCATTGCTTAAGGTTGATTTACACTCATCAGTTCCACATCAGCTGCTTTACAGTCAAAAATGTATTCTTTAATGGGTTTCCCGTTGTGCTAACTACACTCATCTGGCGCAGTTCCGACCCAGGTCCGTCAGTCGCTCCACCGGCATCTGTCATTCAGTTTGAGATTTATTCCCACCAATACTTTAGGATATTTCAGATGTTGTTCTTCCACTTATATTCAGATTAAAATACACGCCTAGGTGGCGATGCTGCCTCAAAAGACAAAAATGATAACAGAGTTAAGTATCCTATACAACAAATTTCTTTCATACATCAACGTTGTTCTTCAACTTTTTGTTCATACTTTCCCTCCATAGCTGATAACAATAAGCCAATGACAACGAATTGGATGTAAAAAATTTTCCTAAAGTTTAATTTGTTCATAGTCATACATGTTAAAAATTTTTGAATATTTTACCATGTTCTACTATTTAACAATAAAATAAAATTCTTAAATGAACCAAACTGAAAAGAATTACGATAAACAAATGTCACCAACCTTTGCGAACAACCAACTCCTTAAAATGATCTCCTTCAGGAAAGCAATAAAGGTAAAATTTTATTAACATTAGTCAATAAACATCTATTTACACTCACAGTTTAAAATTTAAATTTACAGAATCATTCTGAAATAGCAATAGGTTCTTGGTGAAGTGTTTATTTGTGCAAACCTAAGAGATTTAATTATCTCCCATCTGCTTAACAAAGAGACTTGGAGTTTAAGACCCTGGACTTAGTATTTACAGTTAATGTAGCTATGCTCTATCCCTTTACAAAAAGTTATTATTTAAAAGTATTTGGACATGAAAAACGTGTCACACCAAGTTTCAGATTTTACAATAATAAAATGAGAGGGACTAGTGTTTCAAATTAAATGACAAATTCTACTCCAAAAGCTCACCTCCAACATTGAGAACTGCTCTCTCGCTGACATACTTGAACCCATCAAAAGCTGTACAGAGGTAAGTTCCAGAGTCAGAAGCCTGGACCGACTTGATCAGTAACAGACCCTTCTTGTCATCATAAGCTCGTCCTTGTGGTAAATATCCGTTCTCTTTGCTCCACGACAACACCACAGGCTCCTGGGGATTTAGATACTTGCATTAAAATGCTGAAAGTTTTAAAATTGTAAATTCATGTAAAATGTCTTTAAAATATTATTGTAGCAGACATGCATGTAGCTAGGTCTATAAAGAAAACAAAATTTAATTGTGCAATCTCTAGGAGTGAAAAATGAGCCAATTGATAAAGTACTGAACCAATAATGTTTAAAGAAGCAGAAGACATAGATAGAAGGCAAGGAATTATTCGTGGGAGCTTCCCTTCTTGGGTCTAATCGCAGGAGTAAGAGGCAACAGTAAACGACAAAAACATTATTCAGGTATTGTCACCACAAAAGTCCCTTAATAGTGGGAGACTATGAGGTAAACTAACACTGTAAAATCCATTGAACATAAGATAAATTCTCAAACTGTACCTTCTTTTCTGGACGTACATGCATTCTCTATTTTCACGAAGAGTATTAAACTAGTGAAAGAATGAACAAAAAGGCCAAAAGGGATGGTTTTTGTAAAATGAAATTTAATTTGGTATTTAGGAATTTACAGATTATACTTTTCAATGAGATTGTACCTATTCCTGATGAACGTTGCATTATAAAAAGTTCACTATTTTCAAAAAGTCAGAAATTTCATAATGAAAAAAATAGAAGTTCGGTTTTTAAATACAAAACTTAGACTCAATGTTTAATATTACTAAATCCACATGGGAACAGATATTTCGGAAAGGTGAAAACAATAAGTAACACTAATTATAAGAAATATTGGATTCAGATAACATTTTTATCCAAAAATGGAATTTCCCTGAATTTACATTAAAAGTGTATTTACTATCGTAAATATTGGTAGACTTACTGAGGACACGAGGGATCTGCCAGCGCAGCGGAATTTAACGTCGTTTCCAGCCTCGATGACAATCACTGTAGGTTCTATAACACTGATGGAGATCCTCGGCTGTTCTGGGGTTGGTCTAGGGGAACCACCACCTATCACACATACTTGGATTAAAACCATCTCAACGTGAATTGCAAACAGTTAAGATACATACTCAGAGAAGATCTTGGATTTTAAGAATTAGCTGAGCTATAACAATTTTGTTAGGTGCTTTGTGCATTTTAGTTGTAAGTAAACCATGAGGAGACTGCTGAAAAAATAACATTTGAATTCATTTTTTCCCCTGAAGAACTAACTGTATTTGTGAATCAATAAACATGTTGACTATGGAAATAAATAAATTGTAATTTGTCTGTAAAATGTAATGGGAAAATATAGAAAATTAAATTTTTTTTTAGTTATTTTTGTTTTCTCTGAAGAAAATGCATTGCTGTGCATGGATGATAAAACATCATAAAATATGCAGAGGTTCTATTTAAAAGCACAACTATAGGAAAGGCAAATCAAAATCTACTTGAAATGCTAAACTAAACTCAAACACAGCTTCTAACTACTTTAACTAATTAAGTGTACACCCTAGTTTCAACTCTACTAGCAACAATGATGTGATACCTATTACAGCTCCCACAGATATTACATAAAGAATGACAGCAAAATAAAAGATGAGATGGTAGATGGTACAGTATTGATTTTTATTATTTGCCACACATGGGTTGGTAGTTTTTGAGACTAAAATTGCAGAAAGTTCTCAGAATTGAACTGGTGATCATCTAAACACTAGGCGAGCAGTAGATCCACTCTGATATTAGCTATACCAGCTTTTAACAACTCAATACATATTTACATATAGTTTATTTTGTTGTCATTGGGGATTACAGGTTTATCAACTATTACAACTTTTGAATGTATTCATAATCATTAATACCCAGGAAGGTGATTTTATTCTATAGAACGTTTAAACGTTCAAACAAACAATGTTATAAGAAACCTTGAAAAAAATAAAGTTAACCAAATAATTTTGATTATTTGATTATAAGACTAAAATAATTTATTTTATTTAGTGTTAATTGATAAAAATACCAACCATGAAGAAATCTACACCAAAAACAAAGCAAGTGTAATCAAATATTGGAAAAACAAAAGTAGCCAATTAAACTACTTAGATTTTTCAACTTTCAAACCAAACACACACAAGTCTAAAAACTGTAAAAAACTATTAACAACTTGAAGTGCAATACTGCAAGTATGCAGGTTAAAAGAAGCAAGTGAAGAGTGTAGCATAAATGAAAGAAAGATGGTAAAGCAAGAGAAAGAAATAAACAATTTGGAAGATGAAAGAGAGTAAGAAATAAAACCAAGAGAAATCACAGGAGACAGAAGAATTAATAAAAGCTGGATGATTCAAGAGCTTGTTAACAAAATTAAGCTTAATGATGTGACAACACAATCAATTGACTGATGATTTTAAAAATCCTGGCCTAACAGTGATTTAAAAAATCAATAGTTCTTTCACTATTCTACTATTATTGTTCCTAGACTAATTATAGGAGAGTTTTGTGAGTAGATAACACAGAAAAATATGATATTTTTTAACAGATGAAGAACACCAACATAAATAAATACCATGTTTGAAAAGAGAAAAGAATATATACACAACACAGAATTGAAGTCATTACTGATGATCAAATGCTGTAAACTGTCTCTTAACATGAGTTATGTTTTATGTTTTGAAAAATAATTTAATTTGACTTGATTATGAAACAGATTTAATTAATATTATTTATATGCAACACCAAACCATAAATAGTACTATGTAAAAGCTTTGAAAAACAAAACCAATGCAAGTATACAGCACAACTTTCAACAAATAATGAAATTCATGAATGGCAAAAACATCATCAGTAATGCATGAACCGTTGAGGAATCGTGAAACTTGACAGCACCGAAGCACCCGAAAGTGAACATCGTTACTTGCTTGAGGCGATGTCGATCATGGAAGACAAAGATCCGAGGACTCTTCCATTTTCACTTCGCACTCGACAAGAAATCATTTTGAGGTTAGGTCTAATCTGAGTAACCAGCTGTTCTTCTAGACCCCAGTCGTGAGCTATCCTAGAGGTTTCTAGGTCTCCACTCATGAAATTCATCGGATAAACCGAGGGATCGAACGTTTCATCAAACTCTATTCTCAACTTCTCGCTACTTTTGTACGAGCAGATGAAAGTGACGTAGTCGCCGACAGAGGCCGTCACCTTTTCTGGGTACAACTTCATCATGATTGAGTCTAGATTGGATATGAAACAGGCACAATGAGTAAACATGCATTAGGCATAAGGGGAGAAAATTACTGATTTTTTACTTTACGAGCAAATAAATAATACCATGCAAATTAATAAGCTAGAGAATTATTAGGCTATGTTTTATCAGAAAAGTATTAAAAGTATCAAATTGTATAAATAAATAGGCCTACTAATATTTCTGTTTCCTCCAAAACTGATTCTTACAATATTAAAATACCGTATAGATTTCTAATTTATATCTTCAGCTTTATAGTGTCAACAGGACAAATTAGATTTTGGAAGTTTATCTACTGAGTGCAAAGTTAATAGTTTTGACATCATAAGATGTGGAATTGCCCCTGAACTGGTTTATAACTAATATAATGGTTTAATTACCTTCAGTCTCGACATTATTATAAAAGATATTATACTCGAACATTCTCGACTGGAAGCCTGATGATAGCACAACGTCGTGCTGAAACCTAGGTCGCAATAGACTTACTTTGAACTGGAGACTGAAGGTAATTAAACCATTATATTAGCAAAGTTAATACCAGCATTCACCTACTGGCTGGTAAGCATTAGCATATTCTTTAATTGTTTCTTTGTTTATATATTGCCTTTGTGTATGTAACTAAAATTGTTTGAACATAACAATAAACATGTAAGTAAAAAAAAATCAACTCATAAAAGACTGAAAAAAAGTCTTTATAAAACTTTAAAAAGGTGGATTCAAACATAAATCCTTGAAATTAGAACTGAAAATTAACAATACGCAAATTATTTTCAAAAGAGAACAAGAGAATAACCAACAATAATGCGGGTAGCTTTGGAATAACATGCTATTATAATGTGCAACAGGTAACTCACTGATGATCCTGTCACAGTATATTCCACCGTAGGGCGACCTGCATGTACAGACGACCTGTTGTTGAGGGCCAAGGGCGCAATGTTCTTCATTGTTGTTGCAGGGACACTTCTTACAAGTGTTGTCAAAGTCTTGATAGTAGCCGGTGCTGCAGGTCTGAAAATATAACAAATACATATTTTTGGTAAGAATCTGTGAAGGAAGGAATGCTGGGCTATCTAGGTGGTCAGTCCCTGCAATCCAAGAGGTGTAGGTGTCTGCAGGTCTTCGATTTTTTCTGGTCAGGTCAGACAGTTGGTCTTGAGGGAATGTTTTATGCCGGGAACAATTTTCGGGACAAACTCAGGTCACTTCAGACTAAGCTGAGGTTTTATTTTCCCAATCCGACAAAGATCCACATTTCAAAATTGAAAATTGGCAAAACCGTAAACATCACACACAATTATGATGATAATGATGTTGCCGTGAACACATATGTTCACAAGTCTGCCGTGACTGCAGAAGATGTTCTTGATTTTGGAATGACCTAGGAAAACATTCAAGATTTCACTTTGACCACAGAAGATGTCACTGCAATAAAGGATATATTATGCGCAATATTATGTATAAATAAACCAAATGAAATGTCCAGATATGATAAAAAAAAGACCTAGTTTATACTTAAACGCTGACGGCCTTCCATTACAAATTAATCCTGAGAGATAAATTTGATCTGAGATATCTGAATATATTTACGAGCTCACCTCACAACTTGTGCCTCTGTAGCCAGGCGGACATCTGCAGACCTCCACCTCCGCAGCCACCGGACCTCCAGTACGCTGAGGGACAGCTGTGTCTAGACTGACATCACTGAGGTAGCTCTGCTGTGTGTGTGTGCTGCAAACAAACTCAGTTGAAGGGAAACAAGGATAATTTGGAGGGAAAACTCCAATAAATTCGGTTCTTTCTTGAGAGGCCTCTATTTGAACAACCTTGAAGGTATGCTTCTACAGTCAGACCGTTGAATATCCCTCTGCAGGAGATGACTGCGTTGTTGAATTGGCTAAGATAGTGGCTGACGTTTCGATTGCGTTGCAGCAATACATCTATGGAGCAAACTATACATCAACCAAACTGTATTGAATTGTTGAACTGTAGCTTGCCCACAAGATGGATTGCTACAGTGCATTTGAATTCAGCCACAATCTTTACCCATTAATTCAACAATACGGTAATCGCCTAAATACCATGACTTGACAGTATGTGTGATCAACTCATAGGTGGTTCCAAAGCTTTAGTTGGGGCTCAAAACAGCTGGTTACTGAGTTATTACATGGACAATTTTTATTTTAAAACCTGACCCACCAAGACTATATTATTTTCTCAAACTTTAAACATTATCATGAAATATCAGTCGCCCTCCCAGCTAAACAAAATTCTTTATAGAGATACCAATACTTGTTTGTCTTTTAAGGTTTTATATTTTTATACTGAACTAAACACCATTAATTTTTCACCCCAATAAGGGCAACAACAACAACTATTAAATCACAATTCACATCCATATTGATAAATTGTCATTCAATTATTCAATTTCTAGTAATGTGGAAAGAACATACATTCTAATCCTAGGTAGCAACAACCGTTTTGAAACTTAACTGTGATCAATTCATCGCTGTGATCGTATTCCAAGCATATCAGTTTTTTAAGTAGCACATTTAGTATAAAATTACAATACCTGTGCGTTGCTCGGATCAGTATGGCTTGAACGTTGGACAAGACACGCATCATCTCTGCGCGAGAGGCAGGTCGCTGACCTACAGTCTGGTCTAAACGTCTCCACTTGTTCTCTTTTAGAGTGATGGATGTAGACTGAAACAGCCACACACCAATGTGTCACATAGGAATTTGCTAGACAGTAACTTCATATGGCAAACAGATAATAAGCTGTAGAAAGACTAAACTAACATTAAAAGAGCAGTAAAACTAACCATGAAGCAGTCCTTTTGGTTTACATGTTTTGCTAATAGTTCACTAGTATCACTAGGATAAAAATTCTTTGAAAAATATTAAGAAAGAAAAAATAGTTAATATCATCGTTGAAATCAAGTCCTTGACAAGTGCTAGAACAAACTCTGGCTACTTAAAAAAATGAATACTAACCCTAGTTACATCAGGCCTCAGTACTTCTTCATCAGTCCAATAGATGGACAGACTCGGACCCACGATGATCACGTCTGTGTCAAATGACGGAGGATGACTAGGTAGTGCGGAATATCTCTGGGTGAAGTTGAGGTTACCTCCGTAGGAAAGAACCTGAAAATATTGTTTTAGGTTAGTAATCATTTCCAAATTCTTGACTTGGTAAATTACATGATGCTACTCTAATGTATACTTATATATATCATCATTTTTGCATAGGCTACATCATAAACGGAATTTAAAATGTCCGAAGAGAATACCGGTACACTTAAAACTAAAATACCTTGTTTCCAGTGAAGTCTGGTGGTAGGGACCAGAACAACCTCTGCTGTCGCTGGTTGTTGGCAAAGTCGTATCCAATCTCGTTCATGGCTGGGTTCAAAATGAAGTCTTCTTGAATTACAACTTGTCTATTCCTATAACGTAAATTTGACATTGAATAATTCTGAGAGGTACAACAACATGTTTATAGGGGATTAAATATCTGAATGAAATCAGCCAACAATACAACATTTTACAGGATGAATTCAAATAAAACCATATCTGATAAATTTCTCTTTTCCCACCCAACTAATAATAAAATGTTCAAAATAAAAAATAAAAAATTATGGCACTAGGTTTAATAGATTTCCCATGTCATTATTAATGTCTAATCCATTTGCAGTAAAAAAAAGTTCTCCTGAGATTCCTCAAAAATATTGAAAGAGCATCAACTTGAATTCACCTTTATGGTTTACCATTATTAATACAGGAAATAAAATTCTTTACTGAAACACTAAATTAGCAAAAAAATTGACAAATTAAGGTTACTTGTGTTACTTTTGAAGTATGGTTTTACTACGGCTGTTTCCATGCTGCAGAAATTCGAGCACATCAGGTCATAACGTCAAGCTAATTGAAAACCTCTTATGAACGTCCCACAGTTCCACGATCTAATCCTAAGATGTGCTCCAATCTCCGGCACCAAATAGCTGTTCTTAAATCAAACTGATCCACCCGTCAGTAGAAAGCCAAAACATTCATTTCTTAACTCTGACAATCAACAGGCCAATATATAATGAGCAATTGAAGATAGGGAACAACTCACGGATCGGTAAGTGTGAATAGATGGGTTTTGTCAACAATCTGCATGGGGATAGCCTCCCGCAGCATGTTTGACGATTGACAATCGTTGGACACTCCGGAGCAGTAACACTCGATACAGCCGTCCAAGTTGGACTCGGACAGGTCGAATGTTCCGGGCCTGCACTCGCTGCATGACTGGCCTATCACGTTAGTCTGGAAAAACACATTTGATTTATTGAAAGTGAAGAGATTAATTATAGTATGGTTTTTAATGGGAAATACTTAAGTACATATTCAAATCTCCCAGAGATTAATGCAACTTTTATGAGATGGTTTAATTTAGTTACCAAACCATAGGCCTACTGATCAAGGTAAAATTATGACTGACAAGGCTGGGAAGTTCTAAAAACACAAATTAAAATTCATTGATGTCAGGGATACAACTCTTAAATAAAAACAAAATTCTCATCAAACTAATATTCAAAAAAGATCTGTATTGGAAAGAAATATCGGGCTAAGGGGTTGTGTAAAATCTTTTTGTTTCTAAAAGCCCCTGAAATGAAATTTTCTAGGTAAGCTAACTGAACTACTGTACATCTTTCTAAACTTCCCTTATCAACCACACTCACTTTCCTTAACGGAAATTGTGATATAAATCACTGAACCACATGCTACAGAGAATGAAATTTTAGGTCTAGGTAAAATGATTTTTTGAAGGCTAGACCACATGCTTCTCAGTGCTACATAGATCTATTAGGGATGAACATTTTTATTGTTATTCTTGTACACTAGGATTAGCTGTAAAAATATAGCAACATAAACAATAATTCCCTAGTGTTGAAATATCTCCAGAAACAATCAAAGTGCTATCATTGTAGCTTCCCATTTCATAATTGGCCGTAAGCAGGAGAGTAGAGTTCAAATGTTCTAAGGTCTACGCCTCGTTATCCATAAAAATCTGCAATTTTGATCAAAGAACTTGGCTATGTTGTTATACGAGGATTTGAAAATCTAAATAATTTTCACATATTATTATGCAATGTCAAAATAACTCAGTATTCCAGATTTTATTTGTTAAATCAGAATTAAACCCGACTAATTCCCTCTAATCCGAACGCAGTCCAGTCCCAATATTTACAGAATAGAAGGACTCTACTATATATCAAATTCACTACAAACCCTCAATAACTTTACAGACAAAAGTAAACTTACCTTGCAAGTGCACTGATTGGCTTGCTCACAAGTCAAGCTAGCACTGCCTCTAGGATCACAGTAGCAGCCGTACTCCTTAGTGCAGGGAACACCAGAGGCAGGATTGCCAACATAGCCGTTGATGCAGCGGTCGCATCTGTTGCCTTGCGTGTTACCCCTGCAGTTCTGTCAACAAAAGTCTTCATTATTGTCTTATGTAAGAGGCAATTTGTCTCAGACTATACACATTTTAAAAGAAATTATAGTAATGGATTATTTTAATTAAAAAATACAGTACTAAACTTGCACATTTTCCCTTTTTACATGGGATACTATTATTTTTAATATGGTAGCTGGAAGGGATGATCTATCATCTATCAATGTAAACTATATTCAAAACATTTAACAAACTAAACCCTTCCAAATTTAATGTCTTTGGTAAAAAAAGATTCTGCACCAACTCACATTTACGAGAGTTAGAATATACAAATAATAATGAATTAATGAAATAATGATTTATTCCACCATAATTACATAAATACAAATGAAATAAAAACTCGGAATTACGTTGCCACAGCATCCAGTTAATGTGACAACAAGGTATCTTGGCACTTGTACAGCCAACTAACATTCATTAACTAAGGCGATTATGTTCCTCATGTTAAATAATCAACCAACAAGAGTGAGTAGACTGCAGACAATGATACTAGCAACTGTTTGTATTTGTTATTGTATTCAATCAAAATTTTACATTGTGTCAATTCATGCTGTCTACTCAAGTAACAGGTACAACCTAAGAGGCCAACATTATACAACATCACACAAACAATCTTAATTTCAAAGTCACTCACCAAGCAGTCGCCGGTGACTGGGTCGCACTCGCTGGAGAAACCGTTGCAGCTGCATGGTTCACAAGCTCCGAGGTACAGTCCCTTTTCCATGCGGGCGTATCCAGCGTCACACTGTTGACAGCTGGTGCCTCGGTAGCCAGGCGGACACTGACATTGCTCCACCTCCACCGCACGAGCCTGCCCAGTGTTGCGGTCGTCAGTAGCCGTGTCCAACGAGACGGAGATCAGACTGCGGTTCAAAGTTTTTGTAAAAGGAGTTAATATTTAAGAGTCACTTTTGAAAAAAGAAGTTTTTGTTATTTGCTTGGATATACAGTATTCATTTTCAAATTTAGGATTGATATAATGACTATAGGTTAAATATTTTTCTTTATTGTAAAATCCACTACCTTTTGTTAAATGACTATATTTGAAGCATTACAACTCAAATCTCATAATCGTCAAAATTGTTCAAAAGACAACGTTGTCATAAGAAACATTCAAACACATAAAGAAGGGACACTATAATTTAACTCCGTTAAATGTGTGTGTGTGGCAATATATGTCATTGACGATTCCTACGATCTTGAGAGATTTAAAATTGGAGCTATAATATGCTACTAAACTAGTCATTTAGATAGTGGATTGAAGACCACAAAACTTGTGTAACCTTTCATGCTCATTTGCTTGGAGGTCTACAGTATTTATCGTCACTCAAATTAGTCAAATTATTCACTTAAAACTTTCTATGTGTTGTGAATAAGCTACAATGTAACTGGACAACTCCGTTTTGTGTCTTTAATAAATAAACGATTAATCAAGTAAACACATAAAGTAGTTTTAAAAACTACAAAGTACACTCACGCAGCCTCCTGAGTGTTGGTGGTGTAGGTGGCCTTGATTAGAATATTACTGAGCCCCGCCAGCCCCATCAGCAGCTGTTCTCTGTTGGCTGGGGCTCCGTCCACTCTCTCCCAGTACTGCTCTAGCAGTGGAACAGTCATGGTCACCGGCCTGTTGGGTTCCGGTTGGGGCTGATTGCGGTTGTAGTACACCAGACGCACTTCACTGTCCTGTGTGCCAGAAGTACAATTTACTTACTACTTTCATTTTGTCATGTGTACCAGATCCTTAATTTACTTACTACTAATGATGGGAGAGATTGATGTTGGTTTATAATAAGAGTATCCTCTTTCTGTTACAATTTATTAACAATACTGCCTGGTGTATCTGGTCATGCATTCACTGACTACAATTAATTAATGTGTAAGACAGATATGATTTCAATTCTAGCTTGGGAGCATTCAATAGTAGGTCTGGAAAAATATATTAATGAGTAAAAAAGTCATACAACCGGTTCTAATTAGGGGTCTGCAGTACAGAAAATTTAAGGTCGGTACGGTTCGGTATGGTACAATATTTTGTACCTCGGTTCTCGGTACAAAATCGGTACGGTACGCGGCTACCCGTGTTTTTGTGGTTTTCTGCTCAGAACTGTATTTAAACCATTATTTTTAACTTTAATACATTGACATAACTATGAAAATGGATAGTATCCTACATTCATGGTTTTCTAACAACAATTACTGTACCACACATTATTAAAACAAAACCTTTTACTACTACGAGGATTGTGCTAAGAAAAATCACAGTTAAGATAAAGGCTTTACCTATTTTACTCTGAGATACTTTGAATAGCCATGATAAAAGTGGTTTTAAAAATATGATAAGAGTTTTTAGGAACAAACATGTTTGAAACATTTATTGACAAGATAATTAAACACAAATGGTAAATTATTTCCAACCAACACAATGTCTAGTTGTTTTTAAAATTTTTTAAAACATACAGGCCTAAAAGCATTCAGTACGATGACAGTGTAGTTGCCAGCTGTTCACTAGAGATTATGATGAAGTAATGGCTAAGAGCATATTTTTGTATCAGCTTCAAAACTAGTTATAAAACTCTTAAAAAGTTTTTTTTCTAAAACTAAAATTTGGATTATCACAGAGTAAGATTATTGTCTTTTCATTTACAAAGTTAACATCCACAATATCAATCAAATCAATCATAGGTTTATCTTAGGCTCAATCAAATTTTCTTAGTATATTTTAAAGCTCTTCCAAAGAATCAAAAGACCCAGGCCTAGACCTAATATTTAGGAGGACCTATATATAAATTGATTAGGTTACAATGAGGGTAGCAAAATCACTATCTAGGTTATAAGATTTAGATTGCATAAAGTACCTTCAACACAACACAAAAATACAGGAAACTAAAAAACATTTTAAGCCTTAAACAGCCACATCTAACAATATAAGACAAGATACAGAACATGTAATGACATAATTTGAGACCGAGTAGGCTTGAATAACGAAAACAAAAATTATGCAAACAACAACTATGCTTGTGGTTGTCAATAGAAAGATAAAATATCTATAACAAATATTTTAACTAATAAAATAAGATTGTAGATTAGTTACAAGTTAAATATGTAGCCATAAACAGTTTTATGGCAGTAGGCAATGGCCAGCTGCAAATTGAATATCTACGAAAATACTGACTGAATTAGAGATAACATTTAACAGTCATCATAAAATTATTATTTTTATGATAAAATAGATTTGGAGAAAGTCGTAAAGAAATAAAAGTGATAAAACTCAACAGTTCTTTGAAGTACTTGAATACAACAATTATTGTCGTGATAAAAGGTTATTAGATTTGGAACTACTAATGGGGTTATTATTGCATCATCACCCTAGTAATAAATTATGAAGATCGTAAACAAACATCTGATCAGACTTTTATGTGCTCCGAACCAACTGTCGTTGACTACGATAGTAAACTGAAAGTAATTTATTATTATAATTAGGCTGTACTGAACCGAATTTGTACCGTGTAAAATGCTGTACCGAACCGTTGACAGTAATTAAGCTTGTACCGTACCGTACCGACTTTTTCGGTGCACCGCAGACCCCTAGTTCTAATAATAATGGCACTACTAAGAAATTGGGTTTGAAACTGACTATCATCAGTTACACCAATAGCACAACCAACAATCTACTTTTGAACTTCAGCAATCCCCAAAGCTAAAAATAGTAAAAGGTCCTTCAAATAATTGGAAATATTGGACCACTGTCATTCAGTTAAGTTCATTTATCCTGTTTCTAAATAAGATTTATGAAATTAAAAAAAATTCCAAACAAATATATTCTCAGATATGCAGATACTCACACTAATAATCTCAACATCTGGAGCGCTGTTCTTGGACCTCTGGCCGCTGGGGCCGGGAATGTAGCGTAGAGTATAGCGCAGATTGCCACCGTAAGATGTCACCTTGTCAAAGAGGAACTTGCTTGGGAGCATCCAGTAGTAGGTCTGGGGAAAAAACATGGACCAATGAGTCAACAGCTCATACAAACCGAGGTCAGTTACATTGGAGAAAGGGCTCAAGCATTGCAGCATTTATAACATGCTAGCTGGCCCGACAGACGTCGTCCTGTCCTAATGTGGTTGTATGTTAAATGCTCGTTCATTTTCAAGATGAGCGCGTTCGCTGCGCTCACTTGCCTTCCGGTTAGCTCGTTCGCTACGCTACCTAGCCTCCAGGTTGAAGTTCGCTCGCTACGCTCATCCACCTTTTGGTTGCAAATTAGCTGTTGTCATAGATTTAAAAAAATGATAGTGCTGCACCCTGTTTGTAAACCTATTAACTTTTTAATGCTATTTAACATCACAGAATCAAATTGTTTAGTTGAACCAGCTGTTAAGATTATTTAATTCCATTTAAATATTAGTACTCATAAAGTTAAAATGGAAAACTCCAGAGCCACTGCGGCGGAGCCCTTTTGACGGATCTGCACCAAACTTCACACAAACCATCCTTGAATAATGCTTAATAATGCCTGCAAGTTTCATTACAATCTGTCGAGCGGTTTCGGAGTCCATAAAGGACAAACAAACAAACATACCGTACCATTGGATTTTATATATATAGATTAGCATTGTCTTCACAACAGTCTGTATTATTATTTCCACAGTGTTAGAGTAATCCATGCTATTCCTACCTCCTAACGAACTATTATGAAATTGATGCAGGCTATAAACTTATAGCTAAATCTTTTGTTTCTTAGCGGTACAAAAGAAGGTCAACATTTTAGTTACAATCTACTATTAGATGCAAAATAAAAAAGTAATAACTTAAGATGCTATAACTATTTAGTATTTATGTATAGGTAGTATGAGATAGATTGAATAAACTTACCCCTGGGTTGAACTGTTGGAAGTAAATCTCTTGTGCGGACGGGTTCACTTGAATGTCTGTAATCGGTTCGTTGAGATGGTTGGCTTCAGCAAGCTTGAATCCCTGATTGTCCCTTGTAAAAGCAGCAACAATCTGTGAACAAAATAATTGATATCCGTTAAAATAGAATATAATAATAAAAAGTCAAGATATGAAACAGTTTTTACAAATATTTCAAATTCAAATATATTTATTATAGAAATTACAACAGCTTGGCCTCACCAAGTTTTAAAAAAAACTTGTCGGCGAGGTCCAATTGATGCATAAAGCTAACAAGCAAAATTTTAACATTTATTCCCTTTTTACTAGAACAAAGATTCATAAATTTACTTTAAATTTTTTGTGATTTCTTTCAACAACAATGTTTTTACCTGACCTTTATGCATTATAAAATGCTATCGATAAAAATTAAAAGTTATATATTGTATGATTTATGATTTTGTTTTTAAAGAAAACAGAAGGAACTGTTTTACATACAGAAATTATTACAACCAGTAAGAAATCATTGGCTACAATGTTAATTAACAGTCCTTTTACTGAGGAACTGGGGAGGGAGACAGAAAGAAAAATGGTAATAAAAATTAAATAAATGCTTAACTAGATTACCTGTGTTCTGTAGAGGTCAGAACTGCCGCACGTAGTGTTGATGCCCATACAGAAACAGCTGATGCAGCCAAACTGGTTGCCGGATGCCAAGTTGAATGTGTTCGGCTTACATTGGTTACACGTACGTCCAGTAGCGTATTCCTATGATAAACAACAAAATTATTTAACTATCTATATCATGTAATATGACCAAATTTTATATGTCACAAAAAAAACTTGTCAAAAGTCTAAATTTGTGAAAACTTAAATAAAAAAAAAACTCATCCAAAATCAATTCAACCAAACCATCAAATTTAACTTTTTCAATAGTAGCTAAAATGAGCAAATTGCAAAGCCAAATGGCAAGTTAGAGATGCACAGAAGTTTTATCATTAAAAGTTTGCAAACTCTTTATAGTTTATTAGATAAAACCAGTTACTTACAAAATGATCCAGGAGAAAAGCATGAGAAACAGACAAAGTTGAGTTTGTATCAGGATTTCAGGACAAACATCAATATAACTAACTATATATAAATTTCAAGAAAAATCCATTAGGCTAATTAGATAGTTTTAAAAGGCACACATTTTTCATCTCGACAATCTAAGAAAATAAATTGTTAATAAGATTAAAATTAATTCTAAAAACAATGATTTATCATGTATAATTTATTTTAAACGGGTGGATGCCTGATTTACTATATTTAATACCTCCTATCAGGGTTATTTTCTTCATTAAATGAACTGCACAAAGTAATAAAAAATAAAAGGCATAAAAATACACTACTAATGACACTACATTAACTGACAATACTGACAAACATCAACACATTAAATAAAAATAATTCAAATGTGGCACATTGAGGCCCCCGTTCTAGATTAAATTATTACACTACCAACAGTAGCAATTTTTAGACTCTCATAACCTTCTTTATAACCTCATTTTAATTCCGCACGCAGTTGGCACTGCTGAAATAACAAAAACAGCACCACTGACCACAAACCACTACACACGTACTCATTGTTAAGTGTGGTGTTGAGTGGACTGACACTTCTAGGTATCAAATGAGGTGACTCATAATTATGATATTATGATTTTCAAAGTATGGAAAAGTATGAGGAGTATCCATGTAGCCTACCTTGCACAAGCACTGGCCGGTGTAGGGGTCTGGTTGGGATGATCTTGATCCGGCTGCATCACACTCAGATTCAGCTGCAAGATAAAAATCGGAGTCAGTAATCTATATAAATGGAGGGAAAAACTTGTAACATTCTGTAATTTTGCAACAGAGCTCACACATGATGTGAATACTTCAGAAATAGAATTTTCTTAGTTTCCGATGTTTCAGCATATTATTTTGTTAGAAATAAAATAATGAATACAAATATTCAATTCTTTACCTTCTTCGCATTATATAATTCTTTTAGTACAGTAAAACATTCTCTCTGATAAATTTTGGTTTTGCCATTGACAGTCATGCTATAATAGTCTAGGCATATTAGGAAAGTTAGCAGAAAGTTTAGGTACAGTCCTAATCATCACTTTTCTTTATGTTTTTTGGGTCGCTGAACACGAATATGAGGTTTGCTGACAGATATTTTGCCCGGAACATTGGTTATTTTGTGAAAAACCTTAAAATTTGGGCACTTTTTTTGGTTTTTCGGGCAAATCTCGGTAAGTATGGGTTTTTGAGAAAATCCTGCTTTGTAAAGTTAAAGATGACAAAATTTACTACAAGTTTCCTATATAATGTTTGTTTCTACGACGAACCGTTTCGCCACTAGAGCACACTAAAAAAGGCCAGAACTACAAAAAACTAAAAACATTGCTAAATGCTGCCGTTTTACATTACGTTTCCATGGAAACAACCCATGTTACACAAACTGAAACACACTTAAAAATACCCCCGCCGCAGCAAACCTACAGACTAAGCGAATTTACATTTCCCTGATTGGATTTACACTAAAATGTCTCCTTAGAAATATCACATTTATTCCCTATTTAAATAAATGTTTAACGAGATTTGCTGCAACAGGGAGGGTAAAAAGGTGTTTTTTTTTTTTTAAAGGAAATAATTTAGTATGAAATGAATGCATTTTCCAAATTTGATCAAAATATGTTCATAAACATAAACAAGCAAACTACAACAGTTTACTTAGTATCCATAAGAATAACATGGGCATTTTAAATTTACAGATTTTTGGAATTTTGTCCGTAACCATTAGGCGCATAACAACGCTTAAATATACTAAACTATTTGTTTGTTTAAGCTCTACAAAATGGTATGGAAAGAAATCGCTAAATTTTAAGTTTATATGGTAAAAAATAGGAAAAACCAATTTTTACCCCATAAAACCCCCCATAAATCCCTGTTCCCATAGTCCGATCATGCTGGGCAAAACCAAAAATGAAAATAAACCCTAATCGTTTTACAAAGGTTTTACATTGGGTTTCCATGGAAACAACCCATGTTACGATAATTTGAACTATTTATTCATGATAATGAACTGAAACACACTTGATAAATCTATGCCAAGATGTATGACTGACTGCTGGAACATTTCCCGTTCCCACAAAACACCCATTTATTTTCTCAGCACAGAGATGTGTCTGGCCACAGGGTTGACTGCTATAGTGGTTGAGAAAAAAGGATGAAATACATTAAAAGAGTTGTAGATAACTTTTAACTTTGGTAAGGTCAAACTCAGACGAGCAGACCGTGTCCAGCCACTTGCCATAGTGAATAACGCGATGAAAGTAGAGAATTCTTACCCGTAAACCCCAACACATTGTTTCAACGTATCAGCAACGCTAAGAATTCTGATGAAGAACTAAAACACTTCTTGTCCTTCTGACAGAGAAAATTCCAAACTGTAAATTTAAAATGCCCATGTTATTCTTATGGAGACTAATAAACGTTTGTAGTTTGCTTGTTTATGAACATATTTTGATCAAATTTGGAAAATGCATTCATTTCATACTAAATTATTACATTTTACTAAAAACACCTTTTTACCCTCCCTGTTGCAGCAAACCTAAGTACTCGTTAAACTTTTATTTAAATAGGGAATAAATGTGATATTTCTAAGGAGACATTTTAGTGTAAATCCAATCAGGGTAATGGAAATTCGCTTAGTCTGCAGGTTTGCTGCTTCGGGGGTATTTTTAAGTGTGTTTCAGTTTGTTATCAAGAATAAATAGTTAAAATTATCGTAATATGGGTTGTTTCCATGGAAACGTAATGTAAAACGGCAGCATTTAGCAATGTTTTTAATTTTTTGTAGTTCTGGCCTTTTTTAGTGTGCTCTAGTGGTGAAACGGTTCGTCGTAGAAACAAACATTATATAGGAAACTTGTAGTAAATTTTGTCATCTTTAACTTTACAAAGCAGGATTTTCTCAAAAACCCATACTTACCGAGATTTGCCCGAAAAAACCAAAAAAAGTGCCCAAATTTTAAGGTTTTTCACAAAATAACCAATGTTCCGGGCAAAATATCTGTCAGCAAACCTCATATTCGTGTTCAGCGACCCAAAAAATCTAAAGAAAAGTGATGATTAGGACTGTACCTAAACTTTCCGCTAACTGCCACTTATATTCCTAATATGCCTAGCCTATAAACAGCATGGTATCTATTAAAGCTATTGGCAACAAGTTGCCATATGCTATAGACAATTTTCCATAGTATGTAAAAATTTTCCAATGTAGTTCCGAGTACTCACGAGGTCTGCGGACGCAAGCCTGTCCCTGCAGTGGGTTCCCAACATAGTACGGCTCTGAGCACTTTTCACAGCGCCGTCCTTCATAGCCCGGCGGACACGAACAGGTAATGTTGTTGTCTGACGCCAAAATGCACGACGTGCCAAACCTGCGCCACAATCAAACCGTTAAGACTTACTCGAGCTAAAGGACTACAGCTACCAATACAGTAGACTACACCTTGATTTTGTACGTTTTAACGGATACTAATAAAAGTTTTATTAGTATCCGTTTGATTCAGACCATCTGTGTATTTCTCTTACAGTTAGTTGCATACATACACTACTTTTTTCACACCCATGAAAATAAACAAGTCACAACCTTTTTGCCTTGCTCATATCATACTCAGATATTTGATGTATCCTTTATTATTATTATTATTTTTTTCCCCAAAGAGGTGGTCCCTTTTAACCTTGCATTTGCCCGTCCACATAGACTACAGATCTGTGCGTGGAACATATCCAGCAAAGCAAGGGGTGAGCCAGTACAGTAATAAGGTGAACTGTACTGATTAAATGTTTGTGGCAGTGACCAGGATCTGAACCCACGACATCACTGCCTTGGGCCCGAAGTCCGGGATGATAACAAATGAGCCACCGACTCACCTTACACGGGTCTATAGCATTTAGTATAGTGCAGTAGTATACAAACTATGTGCACAGAGTGTGAGCTTTTAAAACCTATCCATTGTATTATTGTGAACTTTTTGTACTTTATTGAGTACTTGTGCATTTTTTATAGTTTTTGGTTCAGTCAAGGTCCAATCCTAAATATCTGTACAATATTTCAATAGTCTAGAAAGATTATTGAATCTTTGAATCAGTCTACCTGAGTTGACCTGTTGATGACTTAAGAGTCCTTGGGGGCTAGCGGCCATCTTGGATAATTTCAAACAGCTGCTGAAGACTTAATTATCATCCCAAAATAGTTTTTCAAACACCAAACTGATTATAATGTAAAGATCTAGTATACTGTGAGATTAGAAATGTCGTTTGCTATTTTGAATGTCTTCCAAGGGAGTTCATGGAAGCTAACGGCCATCTTGGATTTGCCCGCCATAAGAGCAATGTTAATTTTGTTATTTTCAAACAGCTGCTAAAGAGTTATTTACCACCTCACAATATTTTTTCACACCAAAGTGGTTGTAATTTAAGTATCTAGTATACTGTGGGATTAGAAATTTGCTTCGTAGTTTTTTAATTGTTTCATGAGTTAGAACGTCTACGCTCCATGGACTATTAATTGAACTTGCAAAAATACAGACCATATGGATGAGTTACGGCAAATCATCTAGAGCAAGCTAAAACTCAACACAGCTACAACCAAGTTAAATTTTAACTTACACCGGAGATGGATTGCTGTAACATTGAACATCTGCCAAAACCTTTGTCAGCTCAACAACGCAGTATCTCTTGTAATCCATGATTTGACAGTCTATGACCATGGAAGCATACCTCTAAATTTGAGTAAGAGTAGGTAATAAATACTGGCGTGCATCTCAAATTGTTCCCATTATATTCCTTACACTAGTTACACTACAACGAATTAACAAACCGTACAACTTAACAAAATATTGAAAACACATTTGAACCGAAAACTAAACATCGGTAGACTTACTGGTGTGAGTCAGTGTGAGGACACGGACACGGCTGGCAACGGTTGTCCCTGTGATCCTTGTAATACTTGGGCGGACAGTCAACCTGTTGTTCACATCTGCCAAGCCATGGTCCGTTCTGGGTGTGCATGAAACCTCGGTCACAACTCTGCAACATATTATCAATGACAGGTAAGCAACTATGTGTATTTAATCCAAACATAGAGTGTTGAATAGAGTGAGATCCGAGAAGATATATGTATGTTTTTATTGACTAAAACCATCTGTTTCTTTAGTCAGGATTGCTTATTAGAAACCCTATGGCGTGTTTGGAAACTTTCCATCTTTTGTATTATAAATTAGTAAACTCATAAGAGTACAGGTTGCAGTCATAAATATTAACATTGCAAAAACAGAACTTCTTGAAAAATACAGAGCCTTAGCCTACATAAAAAAATTCATGGAGGACTTGTACCTTTTTAGGCAACTTATTACAAGTTTTACAACAGTTTATAAATTTAGAAGAGACTATTTTATGCAGCCTATCTTTCGGTAAATTTAACAAATGTTTAGATCAAGTTTTGTATGTACACAAAAAAGATCCAAATTTTCCTTTTCATAAATTAAACCAAGATATATACAAACAAAGAAAGGGGTATTTTGAGGTCCTTAAAAATATACCTTCAATTTTCATCAAAGGATAGTGGCCCAACTACTCAAACCTTTTAGGGACTTCTTCTTAAATATGCTTAGCTTTAAGGTTCTGTTTTTATTTCTAAACTTGATTTGAAATTACAACAGTAAACCATCTGGCTAGCAACGCACTTCATGCTATTATGGGCAGCTAACAGAATTTGACTGAATTTCAGTTGTACAAACAGCAGTAGTACTTACATCACAAGAGAGCCCAGAGTAGCCGACGGGACACTCACAGTTCTCTACGTAAGCTGCCTGACCTTGACCACTGTTACTGTAGGCTGCAGAGTCCATGTTGATGTCTGTGATGGTCGTCTCCAGACCATCACTGAAATATTGCGTCCTGGGCAACAAGTAGAAAGGTTTTAGGTTTAGACAAGGTCAAAAGAAGCAAAAGAACAGAAGACAACCCAATATTAAGCAGCAAAAAAAAAAGGCGTGAACACAATGAGAACTGTCAAAGTAGGATTGTTTACAGTTATGTTTATGTTTTTAATTTAATAAATAGTTTATGATATTGTGCTAATGTTTGATATTGATAATTTACTTTTTTCTAATGTTTAGGTCCAGTGGTGGAACATTATGGCTATGGTAGATGTGTTATAAATTAGCATAATCGTTTTGGAAATTAATTATGTACTCTTATTGGAAGCATGACGGCAAAATGAGAAAGAAAAAAATACTAAAATTGTAGGCCTACTCATTGAAATCCGTTGATTGTCTGTGTGAACCATTTTTTTTTTGTTAGTCTGATAAGATAGATATTCAATACCGACTAATTTGGCTCCGCTACTCATGGAAAAAAGCTATATCCTTAGCAATATGGGAGTGCCCCTGAACATATGTAATTTACCTGGCGTTCACGGACACTTCCAATTTGCTATGGGTTAATTTGTTCTGAATGTTTCATTTGAGGTTGTTATTAAAAGTGTTTGATGGTTTGATGAAACCGAAACCATCTATCCGGCAACTCACCTGATAAGCAGCTGATCGATGTTCTGCAGAGTCATCATGATATCCTGTCTAGATGCCGGATACTCCCTGTTATCCTGACTGACTCTGTACCAGTTACCCGGATAGAACTGGACAGCGATGTTGTTCTCTTTTCGGGGATCAAGGGGAGGTCCTTTGAACACCAGGGTGTAGTTGTTACCCTGAAACAAAATGTTAGAAATGTTTAGTTTTTTTAAATAGTAATAAAAAAAAATATAAATATAGGTAATCATTAATCAACCCTTATTAATTAATACGGACGAACAAGATTCAAGTTGACAGAAAATGCTCTTTTTCATACATTTTCTAAATTTTCTTCAAAAACAGTACAGTCGTCAGAAAGATTTACCAAGTCGTTCAAATTCAATTCAACAAACTGAATACAACGAAATGTACTACTTCAGGGCCATATGAATACGACTTGAGCATAATGAAATAAATTTAACAGAAAAGCGCTTAGACTGTGTATTTCAGATTTTTGTTACAGAAAAGTACTGAAGTTGTGTAACCAATCCGATTTGCAGTAGATGTTTCCTGTAATACAAGTATGAGCATAAAAATTACAATTAGAAAGTTTTTTCTGGATACATTTCCTCTCTGGTACTTCCTTTAAGTCAAACATTAACACATTTGGTGAATGAATAATAAAGTTTTCTCAGATTACAGAGTTTTAAATGTAAATTAATACATGCTACAGAGGCTTACTGCTAAAGTGGCAGTTTTTAGTTTTTCTTTTCTACCTCTGTGACAAAAATGAAAAGTCCCGTTCAAAAATGGAACCCCATATTTTAAGAATTAGTAGAAATTCAACAAAAAAATCTCAATAGTAAAAAAGTGCTGCAAGCAGACATATACTTACTTCTATAATGTAATTTTATACAGCTTTGGAATGAGTTGAAATAACTTACAGAGAGGATGATATCAGGTATAGGAAGTGAGCTGCCGGTTCCATCAGTTTTGACAGTGTATTTGATGAATCCTCCGTAAGACTTGAGCTGGTTGCCATGGTAGTTCTCTGGCAAGGCAAAGTACGGATAAACGGGATTGTAGTATGAAGATTTCAGTTCATTGTCTGTCAGTGAAATCTGAAAAAATAAAATAAATGTACAATACAAACTATTTTATAATCTTTGGGGGGTTTGAAAACTGCTGCAGCAAACCTGCTGACTAAGCAAACTTCCATATATATTCAATATATATATATCCATAAACACAAGTAAACTACCAAACCACAATCTTCAAAGTAAAAGGAGTGCAGCGCCGAGTGCCGTTTGCCTAAACACTTTGACGAGGGTCATTTTACAGCCTGAGACTTGGCAGGCTTGGCGGGGCGAGTGCCGGCCAGGTATCAGACGGTGTGACGGGTATGGGGGTGGAAAGATCGACCAGGGGAGGGGTAAGCAAAATTTGTTTTAGGGATAAAATGAAACTTTTATTACCAACCTACTAACCTAACCTAGCCTAACCAAACTTGCTGATTAGGAAAAAATTGAAGGTTTACTAATCAAATCAATATTAGGGTAGCCCATTTAAACTGTACCTGGTCTCCGTTACATCCTGTCCACTACAACCCCTTCCACTAATACCCCTCCCCTGAATCACTTATACGCACTGGGGGGTCAAACGGTACTCGGGCCTATCTGACGGTTTTGACAGTTTATAATCCCCACGGCAAAGTTTAATAACTAATTCATGACTCTATAGTTATGTGTTAGCTGTTAAGGATGAATACCTGGAACCCACTCCTTCCTGAAGGATGGATGGAAGCCTGGAACTGGGAAGTCTCACCTCGCCGGATCTCTATGCCTCCTGAGGAAGGAACGTAGACATTCACTATCCTATAGACATCCAGGGGCGGAGGCAACTGCGGAAAGAAGTGGAAGTGAATATTGCGGAAAGATATGTGGAAGAAATGTCCTTACAACCAAACTACCAAGTACGCATATTACTCTACCATTAAATACTGTGATAGAGTGCACTTCTGTTTAAGGCTTTACCTTACACATTAAATTTGAGCGCACACCTAAAAATATCACTTACAGTACTACTAATGGAATATAAAATTTACTAAATCATAAACTGCAATATAAATCTTAAAATCCTTTTCAAAATTGATAGTTTTACAAGTCACAAACGTACCTGGTAAATATACAGGTCGGCACTGCGACACTTAGTGGTGACACCAAAGCAGAAGCAAGGAATGCACTCGTCAGGTCTTGTAGCCAAGTCATTGAACGAACCTTCGGGACAGGTCGTGTGAGACGGTTTAACCACGAGTATCGTGTCAGGAATGGCGAAGGTCGACCCTCGGTTGTTGAGGGCTTCACAACTGTAAGCGCCTTGGTCCGACTCCTGCCAAACATGTTGAAAGTTTATTTTATTTGGATTATGACAGTTTAAGTTCATTGACACCAACAATGGTGGTACTTAAAAGAGTGTAGAAGTTGTATGGTAAAATGAAGGATATTTAATTAATTTAATTAAATTTCATTTTCCAAGAATATGGCTTTGGAAGTTTTACATAAAAAACATAAGAAAACATTTATCATAAGCATAACAGAATAAGTGAAATGTTAAGAACAGTAAATATCTTTTTTGTCTATACAACGAGGATCTTTTCCAGAGAGTGTTGTATTTTCTTGAGTTTTTCATTATATTATAAATTATAATGATTTATTGTACATTGAAGCAAAACTACAAGTGAAGAAATGGAAGTCCTGCAGCTTAAAGACACACTAATAACTTGATGATCCAACACAACTCTGATAGTTTAGGACTTTTCCAAAGATTTTTGAGAATGGAAAAACTATTCTTATTCTTATTTACAATAAATATTCAGTTAAAAATAATTTTCCAAATTATTCACTGGATCAAAAAGTAGTAGTATGCATTTGAGAATTTTGATAAACATAATCAAGTGTTATTGTTCCGAACCTTAATATTAGGGCCCGTAAGCTCCACACATATCTGCATCTTAAAACTTAAAAGCAAATACATTCTATGAAAGTTAGACAACAACATGATTACGGGAAGCCTAAAAAATAGTAGTATAAATTTGAGAATTCCAGTACATTCATGTGATTGTCCCCTAGAAGGATTAAACATTAAGGAATGGACACGCTGTAGTTTCGTTGAAGCCAGCGAACTGAGGAAGGGGGGGAAGCAGCGCTACTCTCCCGCCCCCCTCTCATACTGCGCTGTATGCGTTACTGGAAGATTTGGTAACAGAAATATCAATTGACTATTTAAAAATTAGACTTCATCATGCTACGAAAATTAAAAAGTTAAATTCTAACCGTAATATTAGGAACCTATTAAGAGGAAAGTCATATTTATGAACCAATAGTACGTTCAAAGGTGAGTAATTTACACAAGGACGACTTGTATTTTAGAATTCGTTGTCCTTGTTTTTATTTTTTGCCATACTTGTATTGTGTATTATTTATAATACTCTAACCAGAGCGCGGGACTCCGGTTCATGGGGTCCCGGGTTCAAATCCCGCCATATCACCAATGGATTTTACTGTTCATAAATTTAAACTCAAATCATAAGTAGTACCGTATGTGTATTTGAACATTTTCTTAAAGAGAAATAAAATAGGTTTTAATCCTTTAAAAGAATGATAAACGCACTTTGGCGTCAGAAGACGCGATGATTGTTGAACATTTACACTTTTTACTCAAAGTTTCTTTGGGCAAACAGATCAAATATAGTTCAATATGATATTAAAAAAATCAAGAATTTGATTGCCAAGAAATTGTTTTACTTTTTATGATTGTAATTTAATTGTAACGGCTGTTGGTTTGAAAAAAGTTAGAGCGGCTTTGCATTTTTTTCTTAACTTTGGCTATTTAAAATCACCTGTCTAGCACATCAATGACTTAAAACTAGTAAAAAATTATATTAACAAATCTAGAAAACTATGAAAAATGCAAATTTAAAATATATTTCACCACCCGAATTAAAATTTTCATTTTAACCTATTATTAGTAAGATTGTTTTATAAACTGGAAAAATAAAAAAAATTATTGTAATTATTTTTATAAATACACTTTTAAATATAGGTAAATATATATTTTTTATTTCGAGAAACTTTTAAGGAACATGAATAAATTGTTAATTTGTGTAGATACATCATATTTTTTTCAAAAATGTAATTATAGTAATCATATGTTCAAAGTCCAGGTAAATTCTTTCAACTTTGATCTTCAATAATAAATAATAAATAATAGTTTTTATAGGAATGATTGACACCGTTCGATAGGAAATTTAATTTACTTTAAGAATGCCATCGGTGAATAACACGGGTGTTTTAGTTTAGCGGCAATTTTAATTCGAAACAGCGCGCGTCGCGTTTTCCCCTATCTCTCCCATGTTATAGCCGAGGCTTTTTGCCACTCTACGGCTCCGCGTGCCCCTCTAGTGTTCTGCTAAAGCTGGCTTCACCGCAACACGTGTATTCCTATTCGCGTGCCCTCTCCTTAATGTTTAATCCTCCTAGATTGTCCCGCACCTGAATATTAGGGCAGGTAAGGACACCGTAGCCGTCTCTACTCGTGGTTTGACACTTGGAGGGAATGTGTCCCCAGTTGAGCCGCCACACCACCTCCGGGGTAGGAACGCCCACTGCCGTACAAGTGATGATGAACGTCTCACCAGGCTGTTTCACCACCATAGAAGGCGGTGGCTTCTGAATTTCCGCCTTTGCTGTGGACCAACAAGAGGGGATTCATTGTGGAAAAGAATCAGTAAAGAAAACATTAAGAAATATATTAATGTACATGAGCCAGTGAAAGAGAAATAGTATAGATAATTATTTTTGATAAATTTAAAGTTCTGATGAAATATAATGTGTAAGGGCCATGTTGTAAGTGTTGTCATGTGTAAGTGAGGTACAAGTCATTCTCCTTCCTCAAATTGTATCTTTGAAATTTTTTTACTAAATCAATATGTAAAAATACTTATGTAAGTAATTGTAAATGTTGTGGAGGAATTGTGGACAGCCTCTGCATCCACAAATTGTCGAGTTGATGAGGTTTTAGTGAGTTTTTACTGTATATAAAATTAGAGCAATAAATAAAATAACCACACCATTCACATTTGTAGCAAACTAGTTACTTACAACAACCAAACTCATCGCTGCCGTCTTGGCAGTCTACCTCCATGTCACAATGGAATGCTTTTGGAATGCATTGGTCTCTCCTGGCACACTGGTACTCATTGTATTGACAAGCAGAACCTAAACAAGGTAAGAACATGAATTATGACCAGCCATAAACACATTGGAAATTTCTTACATCAAGCATTTATTGGGTTATGAATCTATCTTTCAACCGACAAAGTAAGTTAAAAATAAAACTGCTGATCATTGGTAATCATCATTGGTCAATGAAATAGACAGGTGAAACTAAATAATAAAATTTAATAGAATGTAATCAGAGTTCTTAGTGTCACAAAACAAATGGGGAACAGAAAGAGAACCATTCAGAATTCTGGCGGGAACATAAATAGAGTTTCATAAAGAAATTACTCAGCAGAGCTAGATGTTCGAGTAATAATGATAAATCATGAAAAAACTAACTTTACTTCTGGTTTTTCAAACAATCATTGACGGTAATTATTATCAATTATTTAAGACATTGGCCCACACTTTATTGTGGTTTTTAAGCTGAATACAATGCAACTGAAGTGTAGAATGGATCAGCTGTTTTATTAGTCAAGATAATTTATTAAAATCCCAAAGATCAAGGACAGATAGCACAAGTTTTGAACCATCAAAATGCTACTGACTTGATTAAAGGATTAAAGTGGTAACCTTTTGATCTCCAGGTGAGCACTAAAAACACTCATCTACCTATCTATGGTATAGAACACCATTTTACAAACTATATTCTTACAATATAAAAAAAATACAGATGAATTACGCAAAGACTGACCTGGAGGGCTCGGTTCACAGTTTCTCTCATCTGAGCCGTCACCGCAGTCGTCGTCTGAGTCACACCTCCAAGTCTTCTGGACACACTTCTTGTTGTCACAACGGAACTCATTCGGCTCACACCCGTGCGGATCTGTGGAAAACACGTAACCAATTTTTGTTCAAAATACTGCATCTGTTTTGTATTATGTCCTTTTTGACTATGTGTAAAACATTTGGGCTTTCTTGCTTACTGAAATCAGTGTAGTCTAGAGGTGCTGGTGTTTTTTATACTAGGATAAATAGTTAAAATTAAGTCATAGTCCACACCCTTAAAAGCTTCTAATGACATTACCGCTCTCATTGAACCCAATACTGAAGTATTGGCTTAAAATACCTACTTTGTATGGTCGCCATTTGATTGAAAAGTATTCAAAAGTATTGTCCCAACATTTATCTTAATCTTCTCCCCGGACCTCCATCAGTTTGGCGAACTCCTAGTCTGAGCCTTGCTCAAATATAACTCCTCTCCATAATCACATTGCAACACCATTTTAATCCTGTCAATGAACGAGCCTCCTTCTCTACAGCCGATAACAGAAATGTCTCCAACGTCACTCAAACACAGGAGGCCGTAACCTCGGGAAAAGATGCTGGAAATTCTGCAGGATCAACGGACTTGGCAGTGCCAGTTTTAATCCAGGGATTTAATTTATGTAAGAAAAACTTTTTACACACAGTGAGAATACTTACTGCATCTTATCTCATCTGATCCATCAGTACAGTCGTTTCTCCCATCACAAACACGGTTCTTAGCGATGCAATCTCCGTTTGAACATGTAGCCTCGTTGAATCCACAAGCTTTACGAGTTGGCACGGCGATTTCATCAACTGCAAAAGAACAAAGTCTTCACATTTTATTTTCAATTAAAGTTTTTCAGATTATTTGATAAACAATTTAACCATGCAACCCAAACACAAATTTGGAAAGTGTTTCACAATTATTGAAAGTATAGAAATTTGAATGTATTGAGTAATCTAATCTGAGTACTAAACTTTAGAGTGATAGTTTGTTGTTTTCACATTAAAATGTTTGTTTGAAATTTGAACTTTTACTTTTATTCACAGAGAAAAATTCAAATTTAATTCAATGTTAAATAAATTTTTAATTAATAATAATAATAACTTTCAGTAGTTTGATGAAGGTAATGTAATGGACTCGAATCCAAAAATAAATACTTAGGGAAAAGGGAATATTGAAATTATTTCAACTTTGTACTGACTGTCTTACGTTAAGTTTGAAAAAAAAATGTTAATCTTAATACCTATGTAAATAAAAACTAAAATTTTCTTTTGTCCAATGCTATATAAAATATTAAAATTATAATGGTTTGGAATTTGAATAAGTTTTATACAAATTCTAGTATGTTCAGAGGCTAATTTCTCTAGTTATTGTCTAAAACTATATTTCAATAAACCTAATAATAGCATGCTGGGATACTCTTTACATAAGTGTTCTATGTAAATAATTGGATAAAGAATATCACATTAAAAACTTACCACATATTCAAGTTTAGTAATGCAAGCAAGAGAAAAAAAAGTTGAATAAGCCAAACATCAATATTATTTTAACTCGATAAAGGTTTTTAAATTGTAATTATGAAGACAAAATACTACCTGCAAATTCTGCAAACAATGTACACATCCTAACAAATAGATACTAAAAACCTAAAAGTAAGTGTCAAATAGCTATTACAATTTTGGACAAGATCTAAGTCTGACTATGAAAAAATCTAAATATGAAATACTAATTCTAATAATTTGAACATAAGATTACACTTAGCTCAAATAAATTGTCAATACTAAGGCTATAGTTAGTTTTGAAATGGAAAATGCATGAGAAATATTTACTAAAAACTTAAACAACAACTACAGTGATTTACGTAAATCTAAACTGCAGACTTATCCTTTCTATGCAAATTTCCAATATGTCTACAACTGAGTCTAACGTAAGCAATAAACACTTTTTTGATACCTGATCCGAAAGTATCCAAGTCAGTGTCAGTGCGGACACCATACTTTGACAAAGCCACGTTTTCATTCATTTTTCCCAGTGGTTTAAATTTCCCAGCTGCTTGCAAAAATGTCAACATGTCCATGATACAGAACAGTAAGTAGGTTTGTGGAATCTCAAACACCATTTAGTATAGCGATTGAAATAGTTTCTTCAAGGCAGAGTGGATTGGTTGTTCCGTAGCATGTAAGTTAAAAAATTATCTTTGTTGTAAACAATAGGATATATACAAATTTGCCTGGCTACCATTAAGATTTGAGTGCTTTGTGTTTGCGGTGCAGCCTGTGTTGTGTTGTTTCATGATTCAAGTGAGGCCGGCCTAGCGTTGACTAAAAATATTCTTTTTGTTTTTAAATGTGAACTTTACGTTTCTATATGTAATTTTTGATGAAGATATAGACTATAATTTGAGATATGGCCATGCCATTATTATATCCACTTACAACACTATAATCATTGGTAGTAGGCTTACTTAGCAGGAGTGGTAATAGGTTTCTGTAGCAGTTTTTAAGGGCCTTTTTGAATTCCCGGATCATACCCAGTTATGAAGCCAATAGATGTAGTATTCCTTATTAAAATATGGCCAATTAACAGTAATTACTTTACTTATTGTATTAGTAAGAACGAAAGGTGGAAATTATGTGCGATTACACTAGTGTCTAGTCTTCAACTGGTCGTCTGCTCGTCTTCAAGGGTGGGGAATATTTTCAGTAGTATAGTCAACATCTTACCTTGATTCTACGATTACTATTCACTTCTGTTTACACATAGGTTTACTTTACTACAGTACGTTAACCATTGTCATGCAGATACAGAATGTGTCTAAAGATATAAGTTTGAAGCATTTCCAACATCTTACATGGTTCTACTCTGAGATATACAGAAGCCCTGGAGCCTGGTGTGGTAGGAGAGAAACCAATAGCCTCACAGATGTAAGTTCCGGTGTGCTCCAGCTGAAAGCAAAACATGTTTTAGTCTAAATTAAATCAAAACCAAAGCACAGAACTTTAACAAAAATACTTAAAAAAACAGCATAATACGATTAAAATATATGAAAAAGATTAGGGATGAACGGGTCCCGAAATTTCGGGAATTTTTCGGGAAAAAAATATTCCCGATTATCGGGACGGGATTACATTTTTGATTCGGGAATTTTTCGGGACGGGATTTGGTCCGATCACCGGCGATTTTGCCGCTTCGCGAGTGCCGATGACGCCGCTATTACGAGCGATAGGTCCGCGAACGCAGAAGACGAAGTCGTTTTGACGAAGTCGTTTTGACGATTGCGCCGTGACCGCTGAGTCATAACGACGATCGCGCCGTGACCGCGATTATTGGACCGACGATCACGCCGTGACCGCGAAGCCATACCGACAATCACGCTGTGACCGCGGTGTCATACCGACAATCACGCCGTGACCGCGAGTCATACCGACGATCACCCCGTGACCGCGGAGTCATACTGACGATCGTGACGTGACCGCGGAGTCATACCAACGATCACGCCGTGTACGCGAGTCATACCAACGATCACCCCGTGACCGCGGAGTCATACCGACGATCGCACCGTGACCGTGAGTCATACCGACGATCATGCCGGGAACGCGAGTCATACCAACGATCATCCCGTGACCGCGGAGTCATGCCGACGATCACGCCGTGACCACGGAGTCGTACCGACGATCACGCCGTGACCGCGGAGTCAAACCGACAATCACGCCGTGACCGCGGAGTCATACCGTCGATCGCGCCGTGATCGCGAGTCATACCGACGATCATGCCATGACCGCGGAGTTATACCGACAATCACGCCGTGACCGCGGAGTCATACCGTCGATCGCGCCGTGATCGCGAGTCATACCGACGATCATGCCATGACCGCGAGTCGTACCGACGATCACCCCATGACCGCCGTCATTTTGACGATCGCACAGTGACCGCAAGTCATTTCGACCGCGAGTCACAAGTTTCTATAGGTACCTGTAAATTGTTACCCATTTTTTGGTTTTTATAGATCAGTGCCACAAACGGTAAAGATTGATTTCGTATGCCTTTTTTGGTAACTGCAATACTCAAGACTTTCTTTTAATGCACAGAAAAAAATCTCGTCCCGTCCCGTCCTGAAAATCTGGAAGGAAATAAAAATCCCGTCCCGTCCCGTCCCGAACTAAAAATTCAATCCCATCCATCCCTAAAAAAGATGATGAGGAACATATGTGTCTTTGATAAAGAATACATCGTTTTGTCTGTAAATCAATTACTACTGACCATCGACTTGTTGAAGGAGATTTTGAGAAAAGATTGTGCATAAAAAAATTAGGTGATAAAAGGTTATTACAACGAATCTACTTCGAAAAAGGCACTTCTATTTATATTATCACTTGCAGAAACACCTGGATAAAATTTTCATTTTTCTGACTTGTAATATATAATACTGTTTTTATGGATACAATGAAAAACTTCAATCAACATTACCAGATATACTGATACTGATATTTTAACAATTCTAAATTTTAACCAGTCACACCGGTATACTACAAATACATAATTTAATTTAATAACAAGTACATAAACTGCTTTTATTTCAGATTCAGACAAATTAAACTGTTTATTACCTCAAAGAGCAAAGTGAATTTTTTAATAGTCTCACGTGAATGGTTAATATTTTAAAGCAGTTACATACCTGAATGTTTGGCATCTCGAGCCGTCCCTTGATATCCCGTGAGCCGGGAGGTAGAGGTTCGTTGTTACTACGGATCCACCTCACAGAAGCCCTTAGTGGCCCCTCGTCTCGACACTGGAACACCACCTCCCTGCCTAAAGAGCAACACAACACATAATTAATAAACCTTCTTTAGAAGTCATTCTTGATTTTTGTCACCAGTAAATAAGTCGATCTACATCAAGGTCTGCATACTGGGTGTAAACAGACCAACAGTGGCTGGGTAAGGAAAATGCTTGATTATCAGAAAAAGGACATCAAATTAAAACCAAGATGTACTACAGTCCATTCTATTTTCAATTTCTCATATTATCATTAACAACAAAACATCATACAAATTTGTAAATTTAACCAATCAAAGAAAGTACTTTTCCCCCAAAAAAAATCAATGTTATGGCACTGCTTGACATTAAGTGGCTAGCGCAGGTTATCAAGTACTGTAGGCCTATGCATAAATCACGTCTCCAAGACTCAATGTCTGCTAAGACACAATACGTGGTGTAGTGGGGCGGGCGTGTGGGAATGGTGTTCCTATTCTGATTTTCCCAAAAAAACCTCATATTGGTAAGTGACCTATATTCTTGACTGCAACAATGGTGAGCCTTCCCACACTGGAAAATGCTAACTACACCAATGGACTCGATGGCAAAAACAGTGTAAAGACAATGCAATTGAAGCTACTAATTTTGTAGTTTGCCGTAGCAGGCAGAGTTACCAACAAATAATACACCCGAAATATGGTTTCAGAGGAACATAGGAAGAATTGTGCACTGAAAAGTCTGCACATTAGGTGGTGAGTTTGTGGGACTTAAATGTATTTAAAACTAAACAAATACCAAGAAAAGTTTGTTAAGAATTTAGTAGAATATTTTAAATTATTGAACTGCAAATATGTGTCAAAGAATCTACACTAAAACTCAAAAGTTTGAATCTTATTTGCTTGCTATGCATAATGACACAGTGGTACATGAACAAGAAATTATTTGTTTCTTATTGCTTCATGAAAAGAGTTTATCAATGCCTCTCACCTTATGTAACAACTACGTTCCCCCAATTCATGAAAAATTAAAAAAGTTATTTTTGAAAAAAATGTTGTATGAAAATAGCTACTGACTACTACAGTGACTACAACCCCATTTTTACATTCTACAACACTGCAATTTAAATTCCAGGTGCAAAGTCATTCTATTTATTAATAATAATTTAAAAACTGTTCTTCAAATTAGTTGATATCCCTTTCTACAATGCTTTGGAAGCTACATGAAATCCATAAAAAATATCATAACTAATCAAAGACCAAACTGTGAATGTTCTGTGTTCAACAGAATGATCTGGTCTTACACTGGTTTCTACACAACATAAAACTAGCAAGAACAACCGTTTAGAAAGTAACTAAGTACAGAGAAACCATTATAAATTAAAAGCATTTAAAATAGAACACCTAAGCAAATGATGTATAGTAAAATCACAGCCAATTACATTTTAGAGTATTTAAGGGGGTGAATGTGCAAGGTAACTAAACATAAGTTGTAAGTTGTAATTAAACTTTTCTTTAGCCTAAATACAAATTACATGAGCATGAGCAAGAACGACAACAAATAAAGCTTTATAAATCATTCATAACATATATAAATATGTCACAAACATTTCACTACTACTACAGCATTAAATTTGGACTATAAAATATCGAAACATTACAATATTTAGGGATTACCATTTAAGATCAATGATAATTGATTACAATAATAAATAATTACTATCTTAAGATTGTAATAAAAAAATAAAATCATTTAAGGGCACATTTAAAATTGTTTTTCGAAATTTGTAAATTAATTTTTACAAAGATTTGAGGAAACGAAGAAATAAACCTCTGTCAAAAAGAATAATCATATTACTCTTTTGGTACACTTTTTCTCAAAAAAAAAAAAAAAAAAATGTTATCACTATCAGGTATGTCCAATTTTCAAATATTTAATCAACAAATCTTTTCAAACTGTTGGTTTTACTTTTCTTCAATGAAACTAAATTGAAATTCTCATTTTGAGGAAAATATAATTCATAAGCTGACAAAAGATCAAAGTACACATTTGGTCCGTTTGCTATGAAATCAGGAAGAATACAGAATAACATCAAAACATTCCATGACATTGTCTTACCTTGTTCAGCTATCAGGAACAGAAAGTGAAAAATAACAAAATATTTTGTTAGAATGCAACTAGTCTTAGAACTGTAGAAAGTTATAGTTGTAAATATCTATGAATAATTATCAAATTATTTAGTGTTTATAAACCACTGAGAATTAACCTAATACCAATTTTATATCCCCGCTTAATTTTGGAGTGAATCACTAGAAACCTCTTTTATAAAAAACAAATACCATTGGATTTTCTATTTATAAAAATCACTAAAATATACAGGGTGTTCATTTGAAAACTTTCCATATCTGTTGTGTGCAAAGGTGAGGCTTTTTACACTTGTTTGTTCTCATTTCCCCCTAATTTGGACATGCCAAATTTAATAAAATTATTTTCAATTTCGAAAAATGCCCCAAAAGGGCCTAATTTGGGGGGTAGGGGTGCTTTTTGAGAAATTTTCAAATGTAAACATGGGTTGTGTGATACATCAATTTAAAGGTCTAATCACCCCGACTGTTTTGGTGCAATAAAAATGTAATTATCTTTAACCGTATTTACAGGGTGGGTCAAAACGTTTTAAAAAAGGACTTTGAAGTTAAGTACCGCATTACCCGAACTACTGAACGGAACAGCGCCAAATTTATTTCCAAGCTTATTCTTGATCTACGCTTTAAGATAACATATAATAAGGGAATTTTCCATGTTATCTTCTAATTTTTAAAAAATCTCAAATTTTAAGAATAAAAGAAAGCTGAAAACTCAAAATTCTTAAATAGCAAGGTATTACAAATTTCATACCACGTGAAAGGTCCTTTTTTAACAAACATTTTACGTATTTAAGTTTTCTTTCTATCTCTTACCGTTTAAAAATTGCAGTAGAAAAACTGAATTATCCATAGTAATATTGTAACTAGTTTTCTAATGAAACAGCCAAAATTCGTCTCTAGACACATTTAATGGTGCATTAACTGAAGGAAACAATTCATAATTATTGATACCCTGCTTGACAAACAAGTCATTACGTTTTAACTTGTGAAAAACAAGTCTTAGCTGATGAGGACAACCTACATGTGGGCCGCTTTCTGTAGTACCATTGACTAGTCAATGGTAGTACTAATTTCAAAAAGTACTATTTTCTGTAGTATCTAATCGAATATGGTGTACACTTAAAAAAATAGACTTTATTTTTACTTATTGGGCAGAACAAAAGTGTTTCAGGATAACTGCAAAGTGTTTAACAATAAATATCCAGGTAAGACCCTAAGTCATAAAGCTGTAAATGATGTAGTTAAGAAATTTCTGAAACTGGCTCAGTTACCAATGAGAAAAGAACAGGATGAAGGGCCCAAGATTAACTGACACAAGTAAAAGTAGTTGATCAATTTGTAATTAATCATAATACATCGTTGAGCAAAGTGCAATGTGTTTTGTTAGAAAACTCGTTATAATTTTACCATAGAAAATTAAGTTTTTCTACTGCAATTTTTAAACGGTAAGAGATAGAAAGAAAACTTAAATACGTAAAATGTTTGTTAAAAAGGGACCTTTCACGTGGTATGAAATTTGTTATACCTTGCTATTTAAGAATTTTGAGTTTTCAGCTTTCTTTTATTCTTAAAATTTGAGATTTTTTAAAAATTAGAAGATAACATGGAAAATTCCCTTATTATATGTTATCTTAAAGCGTAGATCAAGAATAAGCTTGGAAATAAATTTGGCGCTGTTCCGTTCAGTAGTTCGGGTAATGCGGTACTTAACTTCAAAGTCCTTTTTTAAAACGTTTTGACCCACCCTGTAAATACGGTTAAAGATAATTACATTTTTATTGCACCAAAACAGTCGGGGTGATTAGACCTTTAAATTGATGTATCACACAACCCATGTTTACATTTGAAAATTTCTCAAAAAGCACCCCTACCCCCCAAATTGGGCCCTTTTGGGGCATTTTTCGAAATTGAAAATAATTTTATTGTATTTGGCATGTCCAAATTAGGGGGAAATGAGAACAAACAAGTGTTAAAAGCCTTACCTTTGCACACAACAGATATGGAAAGTTTTCAAATGAACACCCTGTATAATATACTATACACTAATATACTATAATTTTCATTTTTTTGCAACCAAAAATTTTAATAAAAGGACAGATATTGAAGTCAATTTTGTTAGTACAGTATTACGAAAAAAGGGACAGCATTGAAAAGATGTTGCAGCTATGTAAACCAACTAGTGTCCACTGAGCTAGTTAATCCTAAGACACTTTGGCCAGAAATGTTCTACTGGTAAATTGTAAAATGTAAATATAAAAATTATTATTTTTATAAAATATACTTATAAACAAATAGATTCATTGTAGTAATGGCACATAATTAGCTCAATCTCTTAAAACAATTAAACATCACTAAAACAGCACATAAACAAATTATGGTTCCCACCTTTGACCTAACCTATGTTAAATTTGCCAATGTTGATTCTATAGTTTAGTCTTATAACCATTTGTTTACACTTATTACTTTTTCTTTTCAGACTATCAAAAACACAATTTATCAGTTCAGTAGTCTAAAAGTGACCTACTATGAGCCGCTTGACATCGCCTATAGCCGATATCACTGGAAAATTAAATTTTTTAGGTGTTGAATTTTTCACATTAGTTTGGATTGTCATATAGACTAAACTTACTTTCTTTGATGATTTGATCTGTTGGGTAAGTTTTCAAATTGAGACCATCTGGATTTCCAGCTGCAAAAAAACCAAGAAACATTGAACAACTTAAATAATTCATACATTCAAAAACAAGTTTGCTAAAAAGAATTATCTTAAATAAAACCACTATGTTCAAAATCAAGTACGAATTCCCATAAACAAATTTTGATTGTGATTGTCTCCTGAATTTGCAGCAACAATCGTGAGCATAAATATCAGTCTGGACAACACTGGTGATCGGCCTTACGATTAACTAACTTTTCGGATGACTGGACTGTGGATAATCGATGCCCTACTTTTTTTGTCTTAGGACTCGATCTTAGGCACGAGCCCGGCTTTATCACTTAGATAAAATCCGGTGATTTGGTGGGATTTGAACCCGGGACCTCTTGGACCGAAGTCCCGTGCCCTAACCACTAGACCAGCTCGCTCCCCACTATTAGTGTAAATAATTACAATTTATTGTAATATATAATTATATACAGCTTAGCTGATTGTTATGTTACAGTATACAGTTTGTATGGTGCAAAAACCTTTTAAGAGATGAAACAATTTGTTTTCAAATTGCCCATTCTAAATTCATTAAAATTAGTTGGGCCAAGTTCCCAACCAAGCAAGATTTTATTTTCAAAAGTTCTAGGCTGTGATAAATTTGTACCATAAGATTTATAATTTTTCATAGACTTTTTAGTTTTTTGAACTTCAATCTGTGAGTTAAACTCATTCAAGTGAATAGTCGGGTCCAAATAAATTACAGCAACTAATGGCTGTAGGTAGTTTGGATGTTTCATATCTGTGTGGCTTACCGCAGTTTGACTCGTCGGAGTAGTCTCTACAGTCGTAGTTGTTGTCGCAGTGAGTGGACATCGGCACACACTGGTCTCCCGAGGAACAAGCGAATTGTCCGTACGCGCAGCTCACTCGGTTGTCCGACACTGGCGGCGACTGGGATGCAGGCACACCTGCGGAAAACAAATAACTTAAATCAATAAATCATGTACAAAGATTAAGTTTGTAGACGCAAGAACCTACAATATAATTTGTGTGGAGAACTATTCTTCATCAAAGAATCATAAAAAGGAAGATAATTGGTGGTTATGCACAACACTTTCACATAGTGTCTTTAAGTTTTTTTTTTTTTTTTTAAAGAATCTTTTGGCTTTACAGCTTACAGAAACCTTTTGTTGTACAATTAATTGTGAGATGTAGGGTTTTTTCCTTGAAATATTGTTTATTTCAGCAGCCATCTATTCCTTGAATTTTAGACATCACCTGTCCCTACCTTTTTAGAATGATCTATTCCTAACAAAAAAATAACAGGAAAAATACCCCTTGATTTTAGTATTGTAGTTTTTTGTGAATTATAAAAGATTTTTATTTCTGATTCCATGAAAAACCAAATTCTTCTTATACTTCAATAAATCTTGATCAACCAACAATACCTTGGATAAAATGATAAAATATAAAATCAATAATTACATACTCTCCCAGCTAATCAAAGCGTAACTACAATGTCTAGATGGAAGCATATTTAACTGTGTAAAGCATACATGTGAAGAAGAAGATGATGGTGAAGAAGAGGAGGAAGAAGAGAAATCAGAAAACGCAGGTAAATTCATACGCATAAAGTGTTCAGTAATTTGCAAGAAAACAAAGTAGATAGTATAAGCCCAGTGCACAATCAGTTTTGTTAAGTTCCAGTGTACTTGGTTTCTGTATGGTTAGAAATAAAAGTGACCTGGTGAAACACCATGTTTAGGATTCAAGTGTGCCTTATTAACTTAATCCACATAGCTATGGTAAACATATCATTGTTTTATTGAAAAAAAATCCCTTAAAGGTTTATCACTCTTATGGATCAGAGTCAGTTTAGTATTAATAATATTCAATAATTTCACGGATTAAAAAAAATAATTTTACCAATGGTTAAACCACTAACAGTTCTGTATGTCTGATTCATCCACTTTAAAGTGTTTTGTAATGTAAAATGTATGTGTTTGTTTATTCACATTCTTGTGTGATTTAGGTTTTATTAACATCGAACTAGATGAAGAAATTATATTTGTGTATCCTAACACCTGTTATGCTCGAACAGTTAAACATGTAAATGTCATCCAAAGAAAATGTAAGACAAAGTAATTAGCCAAAGAAATTCTCAAAAAAAACTATTTTTCTACCCATTGCTAAGAGAAACCATTGTAACTATAACACCAGTGCATTTTGTGATTGAGAATATTCAACCCATCTGAGGGATAGGGGTTCAAATTCCCCATTTGATATGCCCATTGAATCGGACCTATTCCTTTAACACCAAAATCTAAGATGCTAAACCACCCTGTGTGCGACAAAACCAATCTACAATGCTCATCGGACGTCCACATTTTACAACAGGATGAAAAGGCTACTTGCAGTATATCCAAAGTTTATTTTTGTTGTTTTTAAACCAGATAATGTAAGGCGAATCTCATTTGAAATATGTGATATGTCAAATCTTACTTGAATTGTTAAGCTAATTAAAAATATATTGAATGGGGGACACAACTTACCCATCACAATTTTAAATATCCCCGCCGCAGCAAACCTGCAGACTAAGCAAATTTCCATTTGCCTGAATTGATTTGAAATGAAATCTATTTAAATAACATTAGGTTTAACGAGTACCTAGGTTTCGCTGCTAAAGGGAGGCTAAGTGTGGGTTTTAGTAAAATATTAGTAGCTTACTATAAAATTAATAAATTTGCCAAGTTTATTCAAAATATTTCCATAAACAAGCAAACTACAACATTTTACAATATTCTTCTTATAGGAATTTAAAATTTGCAATTTTTTAATTTTCTCCATAACCAATAACCGTACAAAAACACTTTGGTATAGTAAATTATTTGTTTTTTTAAGTTCTTTAAAATGATCTAGAGATGAATTGGGAAATTTTGTGTTTTGAAGGTAAAAAAAGACAAAAACCATTTTTACCCGATAAAACCCCCCGTAAAACCCTGTGCCCATGGTCCGATCATGCTGGTTCCCGAACTCATTCAAGTTTATCTTGCCATACATCTTCAAAACAAATTTCATCAAAATCGGAGAAAAATTACTCAAGTTATCGCTTTTACGGACGTATATATATATACAAATTTGAACGAATAGTGTTTTTGGCCTCTAGCGACATCAAAATGAAAAAGTGTATTGGTCCCGGCTCCAGGTCTTACCATGCCACCTACCGTAAAAGCTACTTCCCAATAGGTAAATTTGCTGAAATGAAAAGTTTGTCAGTGAATTTTTAACTCTATATCAACAAGGGGCCTAATCATTCACAAATTAATTATTGTCCCTCCCTGAATTTTCACTTCTCTTATTAAAAAATGAGGGGTAAGAACATACTTTTCCACACAGACATTACCTATATCATTTTTGCTAGCACAGTATTCACCGTAATATCCTCACACTGAATTCAAATCGTGAGTTCTCTCAATTTTAAATATCTAACCTAAATATAATGAATATTACTACCACAATTTTCCATATGCAACTACATGTACAGTGATCTTCCCTATATACAATTGGAGAAATAACTCTAAACTCTAAAACCAGGAATCTAATCCAATTACACCCAAAAAACTAAATTGGATGAAAACCAGCAAAGGAGATCCCAAGCGTAGAAAATACAACTGTGAAATACCTCCTTCAAAATATTGGCGACAATATTGTTCGTCGCTTTTATCGTAGCAGTCAGTTCTGTTATCGCACTTTAGATATTGTGGGATGCACTGACCCGAGTTACAGGTGAAGTAGCCCCGGGGGCATCGAGGTCGGGCTGGAAAGTGTAAGTGGCAAACAAAATTTAAATGTGAGTAGGCTACCGTAAATAGAATGTAAACAATGTATCACATAATAAAATAGCTATTGCTGAAATACCAGATACACCACAACGGGTTTTTAGGGTTTCCATTAGAATGAAGAGTCTATTCTAAATTTCAATCTTCTTATTGAAGATGAGTAGGTAGTTTTCTTAGAATTCTGTATTATGGTCTAGAGTTGAGCTTGTATTGAAACAGATTCAGGGGCGGACTGGGTACTCTATTAGGGCGTAAACCTTGACCAGCCCGAAGGCGCCAACCGGGGGGTCTAGGGGGTATGGAATACCCCCCTGTACAGAGGGGGGTCCGGGGGTCCTCCCCCGGGCCATTTTTAAAAAATTATACCTGTAAACTCGCATTTTTAGGCAATCTAGATATCTGATTAGCAATCTAGATCTGGCATTAACAGTGGAAAATCAGAAATCTGATAACTGACACTATTGGTTAATGTTTGGTTTACAAAATTTAGACTATTTACCCACACGACTTGGTGCTATTCTGACAGTAAATATCCTAACAAAAATAAAAATACAAATGATTTTCTTAGGTTCTTTCGTATTATATTTGTGTATTTTCTTTGTTTTCCCTTGCATGGCTTGGCTGCATGCATACAATATAAATCATTTGCTTCCTGTTTACAGCATGAACTTGCAACTGTTGTATTTTTTGGCACTGTAAATAACAGAAGTTATATATTTTAGATTTCTATGAAATTATTTTAACACAAACAATATGCTTTCACTGTGAACAAAACCAATTTATTGACTTAAACTTTTTAGCATTACATTAAGTCAAAACTGTAACCCTAAAGTAGGCCTACCTAACCTATTTCTACAAACGAAATAGCCTAGAGAGAACTAAGAAGGTATTTTAGGCTGGCTATCTGTAAGTAAAATAGGAAAGTTGACAAAATTAGTGTCATAGTGCATATTGAAATAGTTAATTAATAGGCTGTAGCCACATATTAAAATACTGTTTACTGTTTAACCTTTACTGTGTAATGGTTAAGTTAACAAATAAATACACTGTCACTAAATATATTTAAATTTTGTAAAAGTAGTGATTCTACAATACTGCTTTCGTTCATGTTTCCTGTGTAGGTAAAGAATATAAAAATAAATTGAAGCTTTCGACACAGAGACACAAATCAGACACCCACTAAAGAGAGACACATTTTAATTGGCACTGGCAGCTCACACTCTTTATTTATTTATTACATGCACGGCAAACGCCATTTTACAAGAGAGTTGAGTTGATATTGATAAAATTAAATGTGACTTAAAGTGAAATAAGTGAAATAAGTGAAATAGTTATAGTGTAAGCAATAATTAAATATTATAACAAATATGAATAATATTAAATTATCTTCACTAGTTGTTTACCACAGACGACATCGTGACACCGACCGATGTCGGATGTAGTCGCAGTCACGAATACTAGAAAAATACCGGTATGGATCACACACATAAACAAATGACGTTGTTGGCCCGAATCCTATACTGAGCATTGAACATATGATTTGGCAGTTCCATTTAAGCAATGTTAAATAATGTTTATTTTCGGGCCAAAAACGTAATTTGTTTATGTTTATGATCCATACCGGCATTTTTCTAGTACTCGTGGTCGCAGTGCAGTTTTTTTCGGGATCGGCGTAAAATGACGCGGGAAGAGGACAGCCACAGACAATATAATACTATATTGTCTGTGGGACAGCTGTTTGCTCAGACCACAGAGTAAAGTAAGTGCCTTCCACTCGGAGTAGGCCTACACGTACGAGAGAGAAGAGCTGCTTTGCTCTCGCTTGTCGACAGTGTCTATTCAGGTCTCACACCCGACTTTATGTTTTGCTATTCACTGCTGAAACTTTAACTCTAAGTTTTTCCTCTTGCTTTCAAAAAATACATCTCGTCTCATTTTTAAAATTTTTTTTATGAATTTTTCCTTTAACGAGGGCGCAAATATTGGAATGTTGAGAAGGCGCATCGGCCCTCCGGCCGGTGGGCCGGCGGGCCAGTCCGCCCCTGAACAGATTGATTTTTTGCAGTATTTGTTTAACTTTTCTTATGCTGATATTTTTTGCAAGTGACTGTAGCATTGTGATTATAAAGATGATTAGTTCTGAACTTCACTTACCACAGCTGAGTTCGTCAGTGTAGTCAGCACAATCTGGGTTTCTGTCACATTTCTTGGAGTTGTGAACGCAGCGGCTTCCGTCACAAACAAACTCGTCTGGTCTGCATCGGACAGCTGGTGACATAAAAATGAGTTTAAGTGCTGTAAACTAAGCACAAAAAATAACTGTGGCTCTATAGTAAACAAAACTAACTCAGGTTTCAAGGTAAGCAAGGAAATTTCAACTCAAATTCATTGTAATAGTGTTGGAACTGCAGTGTAAGGAAATTTCAACAGTAGTTCAATCATGGTCTTAAAGAAGCTTGTGAAAATTTACCAAGCCTGCCTGAACTGAGCATAAACACAGATACAGAAGAAACATTCAATGGTACACTTATTTGGTGTCTCGCACTAGTGCTGGTATTTAGGATCAAATACTACAACGCTCACGGTGGAGGAAGACCCTATGCCCTGTGTGATAGGGATTTCCACACAGTGCTCACCGCTTTGGCTCTTCCTTGCTCGTCACAAGTATATTTCTGGCACAACATACCAGAACTGAAAGCTCACAGTTGTCCTATAAGAGTGTTTCCTCTTTACCCTACTTCTCTATGGCACAATAGAATTGAACATGTACGGTTGCCCCTGTAGCTCTATCATACAGGGTGGGGCAGGGAAATATCCCTACTTTTAAGATGGCACTATGAGTAGTGGGGGTGTGCTGGAGGAATGGGGTTAGGCTCAAATGAAGCTTTTGTTTTGGGAATTTATAAGAATATAACTTTCAGTAGTAGACATGGCTTGTTCGAGTGAGCAATGTGCTTCTGCACTTGAGATGTATTTTATTCAAAAATCAGTCTACTGTTGCTGTGCAGCTGCCGTTGGCTGCGAACTTGTTATCGTGTGGCCTATCGCAAAGCTGTTACAATTTAGTGTGGGTGAATTACTTTCGTGTATGTGGTGGTGCATTGCGAAGGATATTTGGAGCTCAAAGAACCGTCCGGAGTCCTGAAAACATTGACCTTGTCAAAAGATCGATTTTGCAGTCTCCTCAAAGTTCTGCTTGTAAGCATGCATCCGCGCTGGCGTTGTCTAATCGTACTGTGCCTCATATTCTCCATGAGGACCCACACCTCCATCTATACAAGAGGGTAGTTGCTCAAGAACTCACACAACGGGACTGGCAACAACGAATGTAGGCATGTGAAATCTTAAATTGCGGGACTACCTCATGCTGCTCGGGTTTGGTTTAGTGACAAGGTACACTTCCATATTTCTGGAGCGGTAAATAAGCAGAATGTGCTCTATTGGAATGGTGCTAAGCCTAGGGTAGTTCAAGGGAAGACCCTAGATGCCTTGAAGGATGCAATTCACCTTGAATTTTGCCGCATTCCACAACAAATGCTTCACAATGTTATTATGAGCTCTAGAACCAGAATATAGGAATTAGGAATATAGTGCATTTAAGATTAGGGACACCACTTGCAGAATATGCGGTTTAAAATAAAGTTAAGTTATATTAAAATAAACTCCCAGATGTAACCTTTTAATCTCAGTAAACAGTTTGGTTCTAACATTTTTGGTTGTCTTTTAATGTACCTTCAAAATTAGGGATACTTCCCTGCCCCACCCTGTATATCCAAGCTATATGAAGTGAGCATGTCAGGTTTTATAAAAGGATCTTATGGCAATGATGGCACTACTTCCATTATACTGAAATTTTATTCATGCACATGAGAAAAGGAAAGGAACTATAGTAGATTTAAAAATATTGGAATGTATAATATTCTATTCTTTCAAAGAAAAAGTTTCTACTTTTACCCAGAATGGCGATATACGAATGTCCCACGATTATCCGATAAGAAAAAGAGGAAGGTATGACATTACTGCCTGCAGGCTTATTTTGACTCCCTTGAAAGACTGCTGGCGCCATACTACCATGTAGGCCTACGTCGGATTGCAATGTTCAGATTATCAAGGGACAACTTTAATTTGTCTCCCTAAGAAATCAACCCCTGATCCAAATACTTACGACAGTTGCGCTCGTCCGCTCCATCTCTACAGTCTGGTGTTCCGTCACATTTCAGTTCCTGTCTCACGCAGCTTCCGTCCCCGCAGGTGATCTCATCTTGACGGCACGGAACAGCTGTTTAGGTTGGAAATGCAAATCTTTATTAAGATTATCTTTATCCATTATCTATTATTTATTGAGAAGTTATTTAAACTTCTTCTTTTACATAGGTACTTACTTCACAGTATTACGTTACCGGTACATACTTTGATTATAAAATTATACATAAATTACATAATTAATTTTTTTGGACAAACTAAACTGGGTACTTTGGTATTATCCGGACGCCACTCTTATAACCCTGCGACAGTTATGTTAGGTTGGGTTGGGTTATCATAAATATGTTTGTAGGACTTTCAAATCCTCGTTTTATTATGAATCAAACAATACCAGATGAGTCATACTTTCGCTCGCCAAATCTCCTCCAAGTAGGCCAAGGTGCTGAGGTTGATGACCGGAGCGTGCGCATCACCTGTCACCCTGTATCTGGTGTGGCAGCTAGGGGCGGCAACGCATTCAACTCCTCGCCGACATCGCTGCCTTCTGAGAGGCAGAACTCAAAGGGCGCTAGTTGTAATCACATCAAATTTGGACAGTAAGTCGATTAAAATAGTATGTTCTTTCCATTTATGATAACCCAAACTAACATAACCGCCGCACATAACAGCGCGCTGTATAAGGGTGACCTCCGGATAATACCAAAGACCCTAAACTGTCTTGAACCTTACAAAAAAAGCTTAGTAAACTTAATTTTTCAATTAAGTTTCATCGAAGGTCCACGTGATGCAAAATACTTACGGATTTATAAGCCAGGAGTGTATACATTTAAGTCCACCATGTAATATAGTCCATAAGGCTATTAATATTAGTTAAATAAACAAAAAAAGTAAAAGATGAAGTATACCTAAAATAAGTTAACTTAAAAATGATCCAAACATATGGACGTCAGAGTTTTAGAGACCTAACAGTGTAGCGAAATTCCGCTATTGATGGACAGTAAATACTAATAATATTATGATGAATAATAATGTATCGTAACCACAACTAGCTGGATGGACAAAATGAGAAAGTTTTTCAATTCACATCAACATTTTAGTCTTCATAACTCATCCTTGTCATCACTAAAATGATGAATTGACGTTTTGGTCTCATTGCAGATAGCAATTTTCAGTACAATAATACTGCAAGAGGTTAATCTATTACTGGTTTGAGGTTCAAGATTTTAGGTTATACATTTTAAAAAGCTGAGGATTCTATCGCCAATATTCTATTACAAAAGGAAATTTTGCGGTGGAGGTGGTGGCCTCATATCTAGCTTGGACCATCAATATACTTTTTTACAAAAGAACGTGCACAAACAGTAGATAAAGCTGAATCAATGTTTTCAACTTGTGTGGCATGCACAAGTACATATGTTTTGATCTTATAGCTTCTGCATATAACCCAGCCAGCCATCTGCAATGAGTCTAAAACTTCAGGTGTAAAGTTACTGATACAAGAGCTTCGGTATTCGGTACGTTCAAACCCTGAAGACAACGGTTAGGGCCTATGTAACCAGGGCATCTATAAGAAAGAGAGAGGGAGATTTATCAAAGGTAATGAAGTTGAACATTTTCATAGGCAACATACAACACATTTTTAGATTTGAAATTACATAATAGAATGGTGATGAAAAGGTGCACACCTAACCTATTTTTGATGATAGTAAGTACATGTACCTTATAACAATGTTTGGTTCTGATTTTTACAAGATGACAGGGGGAGAACCCAAAATATTCCTAAGCTGTTAAATGTTAACAAACACAAAATGATAATTAGGACTAACAATTTTTGGCTCCTGCATAATTTTATAAATCTGCAACAAAGCACACAAAACTCCCCAAACATAATTTTAAAAATCACCAAAAACACACACTTACGTCCACAATTAAGCTCATCGCTGCGGTCCGGGCAGTCAGTAACGTTGTCACAGCGGTAGACAGCTTGTATGCACGTTCCATCGTTACAACGGAACTCGTTAGCCATGCAATGTACAGGGTTCCCTGGTTATGCGACACACAATCCAAGCGGTAAGCGACACATTTACCACACTTACTGCTTCCTTATTGAATGAAATTTATGATAGGCTATATGGTAAAAAAATTAGTACAAAACCAGGATTGTACGCTATCACTGGTCTTGCTTTTAATTTTTAGTACTTCAATTTATAAGTCATGAACAAATATCTATGAACTCTGATACAGAATTAGTTTGTGTGAATTTTTTATTTAATTATCTGTAGGCCTACAGCTTAAAAATACAAAATTTGGCTGTAACAAAAGATATATCAGACTACTGATTCATGTAAAATATTACAAAACAAACTCAAAAGTAATAAATCACCTTTTAAGGTATTTATATAAAAAAAAAAATGAAAATAAATATGTGTCAGCAAAAACTACAGTAGGCCTAATTTGAAAGTTATTCAAAGGTATACAAGGCTTAGAAAAGTGAAGGATGTAAAGAAGCAGTGCTTGGGCTAAATCAGTAAGTATACACACAGACAAACACAGACAACTATGAGTCACAAGATAAGCTTTTCTCTATTTAACACATCTAGGCACTAAAAGCACGCTTAATATCTAGATTTCCATTTTATATTAATTCTAAGATAAAACCATAGCCTTCTCTAACACTAGGTTGGTGTGTGGCAATGTCATGCCTATTGCTATGATAATAAGAGAAATAACAAAATCAAAATAGTAAACATTTCCTATATACAGTCCCATTATAAATTAGTGCAACAGGTGTTTCGGTTTGACGGGACAGCAGTGTCGCCGCGGCCTTGTATTAGAGGAGGCTATGATAAAACCTTTTCATCAATGAAACTAATGTATGTATGACTGATTTTCTGACATATTCAAGAATTTGTTTCGTTTAACTTAAGTGATCGCTAAAGTAGGCCTAAAAGTTCTTTTTAGAAGGGTAAAGCATTTGGCAAATTAGTAATATTTAACCTAGACCTAAGAAGAGTATAAAATTGGTTGCATGGAAAGATAAAATCATCTACTTAGTACATCTTGTTGACAAAACTCTTTTTAAAAAATTTCAAAATTTATTTGTTTCTTATTTGGTTTCAAATTATATAGTAATAGGTAGGCCTAAATAATGGTTCATGAACGAAACAAAAGATGCCTGTTGAGTATGGAAATTTAAGAAAATGACCATATCACAGAAAATCTGCAGACCAGGCTTTAAATTAATCAGTTGCTCTCTTAGAGTGTTTAGGCCTATTCTAAAAAATTTTTAATAGGCCTAAATAAATTTATATTTGAACCCATGTCTAATCAAAATAACGTCAGTTTCACAAGTATTTAAGCTCACTTAGAATTTTTTTATAACTTTCTTTTGAATCATCTTTTTTGTTGTCAAAATAAATGGAATTTTTCAAATTAAATATAGGTATGAACTAAATGCAAATATAAGTGCTAAGATTCATTAAAATCTGTGAAAAGTTTAGGGCTACAGTTTAATTTATTATTTCAAGTTAATTTTAGTAAAGCAATGTGGATTAAGTAGCCAACAGTATCATAATTAATTTATGCTTGTAATTATTGGTTATGAAATTTGATCATGGTTCCTTACATTATGAAATCCATGATGCATCATAATTTTAGATGAATTCTATAAGTTTTACTTAAATATTACCGAAATTCAATAACTAATGAACTAATCACACATTTATTTAAGTTAATCATAGTAAACAAACAAATGATATTGAGGTTATGTTTTTTGTTGATTTCTTTCTGCTCTCAGCTCCAGCTGATGGATGTCATCTTTTAAGCATAGAGTACGAAATTATAATCTCCAATAGCCTCAGTTATATACTGTGGTCTTCATTATAATATAAGACATTTTGTACTAGTTTTTCATTGACAATAACACTTTGAATCTCAATGAGGAAAACACATCAATTGTGTTGTTCATTCAACAGTAATGCCATAACAAAACATGTGGTGCCAATCCCAAACCCCACATAATATTTTTTACGGTACTTTTTACTTTTTTAACCCCAACATACCATTTCAAAATACCCACTATAACTTCATGGTAGAAGGAAATAACTTCGCTTCAGAAGGATTATTGTTTTATGAAATAATTGGAGGTGCAATTTAGAATTTTAATTTTCTGTTGCCCTGACATGTGTTTCGGGAAAATCTGCAACAGGGAAACTCCAAGTATTATATAGAATTGTTATATGAGTATTAAGATACTAATTTTAAATATTTAATCTACAAGTATTTCAATAAAATCACAAAATGATTCTACTGTATTTTATAAGTACAATTTTGACTAAATTTTCACATTTCATCCCTCATGATGCATCATAAATCAATCAATTCTCAAGACTGAATCCACCATAATAGAAAATGGTCTCCTAATGTATTAAAGTAAAATTACCATCGCTACAATCCACCTCATCAAGTCCTTCGGGGCAATCCTTCTTTCCGTCACATCGCTTGTCCTTGGGAATACAAGAGCCGTCTCTGCAGGTGAAGTCAGACGACTGACAAGGAGCAAGCACGTCCTCTACCCGGCAAGCACATGTTATATACAAGCCAAGCAACACAAAAGCACATTATCTGCTGACGAAAGTGCGGCCAGAAGCTCCCGTAGCAACCTATCAGCAATGACTGTGGATAGTCCAGTAGACAAAAACCATTAGATATTTGGAGGAATACTTTTTGTTTTATTGACTGTTATATAATTTTGAGTATTTAAGGATTTTAGTAAAAATTTGTTTATAGGATATTAAACACAACTTATTAGTATGAAAATAGTTATTTGTGTAACTAGTGGGCAAAGTGGCACTTTGCTGCACACGAGAGCAGTGTTTGGAATGATCTCAAGTGCAGCAAAGGCCTTTTGCACTCGTGTTACACATTATATTTTTCCTACAGTCACTATAAAGCATATTAATTATTAGTCTTTCAAACACTATACAACACGTTTTTAGGTTCAGCTGGCAACACAAATGGTGCCCTAGAGAAAGTAGTACCCGCGGTCCGTATCACTCCGCTATTTTTCCTCGGTAAGAAATGTGCTCCGCGTTTTGAGAATATAGTTCCGTATGTTTTTGTATTTTGAAGTGGTTTCCGCGCCTAAAGAAAATGCTTTAAAGGTATTTTCTTGTTTATTAAGATCGTAGGAATGTTTTAAAAACGTTTAAAAGAAAAGTCCAGAAAGTTCAGGAATATCGAAATTATAAACACGAAATGACAGGTTAAATCGTAGTTATAATAGTCAATCAGCTGCTCATAGTATTATTATCTTTAAGTGTTGCCAACCTATTTCCAAGCGTACACGGATTACGTGCATAATAGAACCACGCTGTTTTGTGTTGTTTCGTTGGAATCCTGATGTGCGGCAAAGTATAAACCGTACGACAAAGTATAAACCGTACGGCAAAGTATAAATATGCAGCAATTAGCATCTTTCTGTACTATAAACAGTACAAGGAAGCCAACTTTGTCGGGTGACTGTAGGAAAAAATATGTTTATTCAGCTTTGAAAATGATGATGCTCTCAGGCCCAAATTATATTTGCCTTTAAAGGACAACCAAAAACTATTGTGTGAAAAATCAAATGAAGTTATCTTTAAAGAGCTATATGGATTGAATTGTAAATACTGTGTAATTTAGATCCTCTTCACAAAATGTAAGTGGTTTAATGGGAGAGTTTCATGGGTTCCCCCACCACTTTTTTAGGTTAATTACAATTATATGTATATTTAATTATATAATAATTATAATTATATATCAGCTGATCAGCTGTCGGCTGTTGTTTCATAGTAACGGTGAATTGGAAGGGATCGAATCACTTCCCTCAAACCACCTAATTTTGTGAATGGAGTATAGCATTCAAAGAGAGTAGGCCTACCATAGATTATCGATATGTTATCTTTTGCAAAGTACATTCTCCGCAGATATTTTTAACTTCAGTTAGACAGTTGGGGTTTTTTTACTTGGCTTGTCTACATAGATTATCCACAGTCAAGCCAACTAACTATGTTGAGTGTAATGTAGGATAAGTGTTTGGTTTCTATTTACAACTGTAGAGGTTATGTACTAGTTAATGTGATGAATAGAAATCATGGGAGTGGAGTTCATCGAGGTGAAATAGAAAGAAATCGTTAATATATGTTGAGTGTGAATTTCTAATGTGTATAGCAAAAGTCCCAATTGTGTGATCAATTTTGCAAATACCACTATTAGTACAAAAAGTTAGCTAAAAATATTCTAAAATTGCAAAATATTGTCAACTATTTAAATTTTGATTTAAAAGTTTCTTTTCATGTTCCTCGCCTCAAAATATTGAAGTTCTAATCATATGAACCACAAGTTGCAAAATCTTTAATTGAAAATATTTTTAGCACAGTTGAGGAGATTGCTTTGTATGAATTATGTTTTAAGAAGAAAATGTTAAATGAAAGTGTGCTGTTATGAGGTTATGGTTTTAAGATTATCTTTTCATGTGATGGTTATGTGGACATCTATTTACATGTGTATAATTTAGTTAATTGTTCAGTTTCCCCACCACATGGAGATGGAAACATTAATATAGAATCAACACTTTGAAAAATCATAAGAGAATGTTTGTATCACAGACACTGCTAATTACTGAAACTTGTTCACCCAATATAATCAATCAGTTGTTTCAAGATATGATTTTGAATTAATTTCTGTGATCAAGAAATAATACCATAGTTAGATTTCATATGAAAACTAGGAATTATCAAAAAGAGAGTCTAAACATTTCCAACAAATACACCAGCAAGGTGGAATTGATTAGTTGAGTTTGAAAAAAAAATATCAATCTAAAGCTTGGTAATATCTTTCAAGTTAATAATGAGGTATGTATGGGTGAACAATTTTTTTCCTTACAATAAGACCTTTGAAAAATGAGAAACCAAAGAGGCAAAATTATCTTAAAATATTTGTAAACATTGAAAATCTGAAATTTTTGAGAGTTGGACCACGCTCTTCATTAGTTATATATATTTTAAATATTCATTTTTAGTAATTTATTCATACCAAAATTTATGAATATCTGAAACATCTTTTGAATTAATGAAAGCATGAATGAACTGTTAAAACATTAATACTCGGTTAAGCACAATATTTACATATTTAAGGCAACAAACAACGACTCTTCAAACCTATCTCTATCAAAAGCACATTCGTCAAAAACACATTTTACTATCTAATTTCAAATGTCTCCTTCACTAAAAAGCGTAATTTTCCACTTTGTCATAAAGCGTTGTCGCCACTATGAAAGCTAAAGACCTCACAACCATGTATTCATATTTTGAGGGTTTAACAGACATAGATAGCAGAACATTGGACAGTAAGCGCTACCTCGACTCGAGGGCTCGAGGCGTATGCAGAGATATAAAGTGAAATCATACCACAGTCTTCTTCATCACTGGAGTCAGAGCAGTCTGGGTAGCCGTCACATTTCCGTGATTGTGGTACACAGTTACGATCTCTACGGCATTGAAACTCATACGGCTGACAGGTATGGGCTGGAAAAAGATCAAATATGTAAAGTTCCTGATCTAGACTAGATTTTCTATGAAAGTTGCAAGAGCTATGTTTTCTGCTGCCATAATTTAAAAGATAATTTACCCTTCATACCTTGAATCAAAACGAATAGAGAACGTTGATGAAAGTGACAACGTGTTTGCTAGGGAGAAAGTTATATACACGTGTTCTTAAATCTTAAGTTGAGTTCTTAATTAATTAAGTGCTGCAAACATGACAAATGTATATGTTTAATTGTTGACTTAACACAATCTGTGTATAAGTGTACGATACTGTTTGAATAATAGTATTTCGTTGCTAGTCCTGAAAATAGGTGTTTACCAGACGAGTATGGTTGTTTCCGTTTATGGTTGTGAGATTGACTTATGAATACGGTAATCAACCCATTTTGGCCGAGTGACGTACAATATTTTACACCATACTATTCTAAACTAATAAAAAAATACAAAAACACAAGTTCGTTATATATCCCCACCGACTTAAGGACCAATCACTAACTTCTTAGAGTACAATAGAGTGCGTAATCAAATCCCATTTGATTAAGCAGGTGGCAAGGACTAAATCCTTGCGTGGAAAATCCATTAAAACAATGTACTATGGAAAAAAGGATTTTTTAAATTTGAATCTATAACAACCAATCTGGTATGCCAACATACCGTTGGGACAGTGTATTTCATCATCTCCTCCGGGACAGTCGGGTCGGCCGTTGCAGAGAGCACTCATTGATAGACAATGGCCACTGCTGCAGCGGAACTCATCTCTCCTACACGAGTCTAGAACATGACAAAACACAGCCTTAGTACACAGCAGACATGGATGGTAAATAGAATATCTGTTAGAATAAACCAAAGCAAAAATACAAAATTTTCGGCAAAACATGGAAATTTACTTTTAAATGAAGTTCAAACAATATTACATATAAACTGTTTAATAGGTATCAAATAACCTTAAAATTAAAAACAAATAATTACAAATAATAATTATAATAACAAAATGTAAGAGGGTATGACAAGAGTAGAAAAATATTATAAAAATCCAAAGCTGTTAATCAAAGTTTGAAAGTGGAATACATGTGAAAATCTGAAGATACCAGTTAAGTCAACTTCTCTGCAAAAGAGTAGACCCTTGGTGAGCTATGTTTCTGTGCTGAAAGAAATGTGTAACAGAGAAGAACAAGGAGAAAGAGACAAGAAGTTAAGTTTAGGAAACTTAAGAAGAGCTCCTCAGAGAGTAGTTCAATCCTAATTGTGTAGCTCGTGTTTGTGAAATGGAAGAATAACATTAAAGCAGATCCACATGTAGGCTCAGAAGGAAGGAAGAACAAAGAACGTGACGTTCGACAACGAAGATGGACGAACACATTACACAGAACGTACCACGAGGACAGTTCAATTCATCCGAATAGTCTTGGCAGTCATCGACTTTATTGCAACGCAGATTCCATCCTATACACCTTCCGTTGCGACATTGGTACTCTCCTGAACCGCAAGTAGCATCTAAATTCACAAAACACATGCAGTATTAAATAAAACTTGAACAGTATTATTTACAGTTATGGTAAAAAATTATAAGGGAATTTTGTATGTGGGTCAATGGTTTCCAAATGGGTTGCAAAACAATGATCATGCAAAAAATGCTTGATCAACTCATCTAGTTAGAAAAGATGTTCACCAAACCAACAAATATGCAGCTAATTACATTACATCACTCAATAAACTACTCATGCTCAAAATTAAAACAAAATTAAAAAAATAGCTTGGAAGGTTAAGATAATCAGAAAACATTATAATCTGCCTGATAGTTTTAACATTGTTCAAAAAGCATTAAAAAATAATGTTTGTTATTTTAATGAGTGAAATTAGAGGTACCCAACAATTTCAGTCAACTAAATAAGTTGTAAGAATATTTAAATTCAAGCCAACTTAAATATTAGTGTAAACATGTCGATGAGTCAAATAACCCTAAAACAGTGACAAAGTATTTTTTTACTGCAACAATTAAGAACTAAGGACCTCGCTTTGTTACCTGATGCGGTCCTACACTTCTTTTACATCCATGAACATTTTACAATCAAATTAAAATTAAGTTTTTGCAAAGTAAGATGTGAAACGTACTACAGTTGAGTTCATCACTCCGGTCTTGGCAGTGATGGGTCCCGTCACAGCGTTGCGTAAGAGGAATGCACAATCCAGTTCCACAATGAAACTCATAAGGCTTGCACTCTGGAAACATGCGCTCAAATCTTGTACGGCATTCAACATTGCAAAGTAAGTGTTGTTTATTATTTGAAATTTAGGATCATAAGGTTTTCTGTGAGTCAAGTGAAAGTAAATTGACAATTTACGATTCTTTTATATTCAGTCATTGACTGGGACATTGAACTAGATATCCTATCCTTGCGGAACAGCTGTAAATTATATTTTTGTCATACTGCAGCAAAAACAGTCGTTTTTAATGCGTGCGTTGCTTTTCAACCCTTGCTCATTTTCCAACCTCGGCTTCGCCTCGATCGTAAAACTTTAGCTTGGGTTGAAAAGAGTCACTATAGGCCCTAGTGATAAAAATTTAGTATTTCAGCCTAGTTTTATTACTGTGGTGACCACTATGGTGTTGTGACATAAAAGATCAACTCATGCATGACTGAAATAACAAATTATTAATCCTCAAACAAAATATTATAACAAGGATAAACACATTTTCTATTAGGACTAAGCCGCGAACCCAATTTGATGGACTTTATTCTTCATATTGTATGTTTTGATGTGTTTTAGAAATTTCAAATAATAAACAACACAATGGTGCAGGTTGCAGGTTGGATAGAACAAACCAAAATAACAACCTTAAACATACCAAATCATATCAAAACCAAAATAATCAATACATTACTTGTGATCAGCATTAATATAGAAAACATAGCCAATACATGTTATTTTGAAGGTTTTGTTAGTAGTGAGGCTTTTGGAGAAAGTATGTATACTGAACAATGATTACACTCATGTTTGACATCCTATGTGTTGAAAACATGTGTAGAATGTTATAATGCAGATTGTTATAAGAAGAAGTTTACATCATAAAGCCTTTGTACATTATATAAAAACGTGTATTTTGTGTCAATACTGTATCGAACCTGTATCCTATCAATTTACGATGCTATCTAACAAAGGGTGACGTAAGATAGTCCAGAGTTTAGACTATTTCTTCACAAAATTATTTTAAAAAATGCCAAAGTTGTAAAAAACTTTTCTGGAACTAATGCTGTCACTTAAATTGGATTACATGCACAAAATATAAATAAAATATGCACACACAATACAACAAGCGAAACAATGTTAAACTACGATAGTGGAAAACATGCTTGGGAAACTACTAAGCAAGGGAGTAAAAGATGAAAAACATGCTACTAAGATTAGTCACATAACAATGAAAAATGTGATAACATATAACAAACACTGATAAATAATCAAATAACTTATTTGAAACCCTAATATTCGTATAACAACTTACACCACAATCACAAAATAATATATTTCTTTAATGTTTGTTTGAATATATACAATACAAAATTTCAAAAGCCCACTTTGTACAAATTCCATTTAGGTACTTTCTAATATATGTTTATAGATTTTTTAGTTTGCAATAGTGTATTAAATTGATTTTATACAATTTAGTTTTGAGGTTTTAAAAATTTAACATTTTCTTCCTAATTTTGTTTTAAAAATAAAAACAACGTATCTATTAAAGATGAAACTACATGGTAATGCAGTCTAATCAGTATATCAATAATCAAAGCATATGACACGTTTCTATCAAGCTATTTAAATTGAAAATCAGACATAAAACTCAAGGTTTCTCTAATCTATGTTAACTAAATATACCTTTACACAAAATATTTTTTATAAACAACACTCTGACTGTAACCACAGACCAGAGCGACATATAGGACACCTCCAAAAACACAGAAAGGGAGAGAAGAATACAATAAGAACTATTCTTGATAAACCATCAAGATTTAGAGAATCAGGAAACCCCACAGCGTCTAAAAACAGAAGAGCTTAGGAAATACTATCGACAATGAACAGGAAGAAAACGTTGAAAGAAGAACGGACGTCACATAAGAGTTTTGCAAAGAGGTCTGGACGGCACAAACGAAACATCTGGACAACTTACTGGTACAACTCTGTTCGTCTGAATTATCAGGGCAATCGACTTTGCTATCGCACTTTCGACTAAGGTCAATACAAGTTCCGTCTCTGCATCGGAATTGCGTTGATGAGCAAACACTAATAGCTAAAAACAGTTTTCAAAAATACACATTGTGGTTAGTGTTAAACACATAATTATAATAGGTCACATAAATAAATTAGTAAACTTTAAATTAATATAAATCAATATTTGTTTTGATACAGCCTAAACCCATTTTTTTACTAATCTGTGAACAATTATTGTTTTTTAATTTATTTTTGAAACAGTAAGATATAGTAAGATAAAACAATATGGCTATTTAGAAATATTTTAATAATTTATTTTGAATGATAATGTATAATGTATAACAAGGCATTTATTTATTGTTTAAACATTCCTCTCTGCAAAGTCAGTCTCATACAGATTAAAGTTTGTTTTAAAGAATTAGTGATTACTTTACTAAAATCAAACAAGAAGTTTTAAGAATTTTCTTAGAAGTTTATATTAAAATGTTTTAATGAGTGATTTCTAAGTGAAAATACGCAATACTATCACAGTAACTTTATAATGATGTATTTAATAGCAATAGGGTTAGTCAAATACAAAAAATAGAGCTATACAAGATAAAACCTCACCATGAAAAATAAATAGCTTATACAATTTATTTACACTTTTCATTATTAAAGCTTTGTTTCAATTTTGTTTACAGAAATGAAAACAATCTTGGTGAAATTAAATAAGAATAATATAAACATATATTCATTACCAGTAATGACTAAAGATACACCTTATAAATTGAATAGCCACGTTTAAAATGATAGCAAAAGAACACCATTAGATCTCAATACTGAGACAACATTTCAAACATAGGATTTTAGGATTACTGTAGATGAATTGAAGATTAGCTTTACAGGGTTTGAGATTCTAGAGGTACCACAATATATGCAAACTAATGCATAGTTTATTATAATTACTAGTCTATGTGAAATATTAAGGGAGTTAATCGGCACCATGGAAATTTATGTCAAAGTAACTATCAAATAAATGAAAAGTAAATTCTTTTTTCTTGAGCTCATGTATCATGTTAGTTTTTGATTTTGATTGATGTGTTAACATTTTCACAAAAATCAATCATAAAAACATCATCTACAGGGTCCATGGGCTCCAGCACAGAGAAGCAAAACAGTAGTTTTTCCTCTCTTAAATAGCTAGAATCAAAGAATATTGGTTGGATGGTATTAAGGTGTATCTATAGTCAATGATACCATTTGTATATACAACATGTACAACGTGCCCATGCTTAAACTACAGCCGTTCATCAATACTTACTGAATTTGTTGTCTTCGGCTAATGTCTAATGTTACTACTAAGTCTAGTTATTAGAAACAATCTTTTTTGACAAAACTTAGATACTCTATTTTCATCTAATCTCATTTCTCATTTAATCTACAGAACTTATGAGAATGGAAAATGTTATTTTAATCCGGTTTAACTAATGGATTAAATAATATTTAAATAATATTGCTAGCGTCAATTTTAATATTCTGAAACATAATACTTTATCCTTTGTTGATTTGACCTATAAGAATTGTTTGGAAATGTTTTTTTTTACTAACACAAACATAGTTTAAGGTCGGCCTCCCTTTGTTAGGCACTATAAAATATAAACAATTTTCGACTTTATGAGTTACCTACTACACTTTACAAATACAACTGCTATAGGTTGAACCAACAAATAAAATGTATATATGAATACATTTTGTGAATTCTCTACACATTTACAGTACTTACTACGCTCAGGACAGTCTCGCTCGTCCGCTGCGTCGTTCGGACAGTGCACCACGCCATCGCAACGTAGTCGGGCGTCTATACAGCTTTTGTCTTCACACTCAAACTCCCGGGAAGGATCACAAGCTAAGGGGTGAAATAAGCAAGTCAAAAACAAAATAAAACTTGAAATAAATGAAAGCAACCAAAAAACTCACATAGCAGTGAGAAAAATAAATTAAATGCAAAATAACTAAATATTTACTATAATACTACTATCACTTTTTTTAAAGTTTAAATATAAAAAATCATTACTATAATAGACTGCATCGATTTCAATATCCGAAATGTCTAATTATAGATATTAACAGTATTTATATATGTATAAAAAAAAAATAAAGTTGTTGAAAAGAAAGAATTTGTAGAGGGTGTAATTGTTTCCTTATTTGTTATAGGCTATTGGTTATTTTTTGTAGAGTTTAAAAGAATCTGTTAGATTTTTTACAAACCGATAGTACATTTCTGTATTTCAAAATTAAATAAGAATTGATCATACCACGTTATACACCCCCTTATTACATGTTAAAAACTTATATTTTATTTCCTTTTAAAAAGTTACCCTAGCACTAATTCAATGTTTCAAATATATCATTGATCTTTTTGTTTTACATCCTAAAGCATAAAAAACAAGGATTTAATTTGTCAAAATACATGAAATATCTGAATATTCCATTATAGGCTAGAAAACTCCTAAAAACTAATATGAAAGTAGTATTTTACTATAACAAATTAAGTAGAATAATAATAAAAATAAAACTAGTTACAACCAAAATGCAGGCAACCCAAAGGCATGCAAAATGTACATGCGAATGTGTAATAAAGGATCTATAAGCGCATTCAAGTAAAATATGAATTTACTTACCCAGAGATATTATAATCTACTAGTTCTTGACTATGAAAAAATGTCAAAGTTCATTGAAATTTATATTAACCAAACAGGTCAAAATTATACCTTTTATTCCTTGACTTACTAAACAAAATTAGGAAAACCATCCATTTTGTCTTAAAAGAAGATGGATAAATTAACTCTTATGTCAGACCAAAGTCAATATTAATTTGTTTTAACTAATAAAACAATTTAATTTAATATATGTAACTGTTTATAAGTTTTACTCTTTTTTAATTTCTTAACAATAGTGAGAACTGTTCCAAAGATTTTGCAAGTCATCGCCAAAGAGTAATTTATGGACAATTTTATTTTGAAAAAATACATAGTTTGACCTGGTTAATATTGTTAACAATCAGAATTAGAAGGAAACAATAGAAAAAAAGTTCAACCTATATTAGTTTGACTTGAATTATTTCTACTGTTACAGTTTTAACTCAAAATAATTTACTGACTGATAAGAAAAGGAATGAGTATGATTGTTAAGTAACAGTAAAAATAAACCAGAAAAAACCGTGAAATAGGTATTTTCATTTTACAAAATTATGGACGGTTATAAAAGCTGAACCGAAGTTAAGAGTAGTGTTTTTATCACAAAGAAAATGTTATTTATATTATTATTACATGTGAGGTTAATAAGAAAAGTAGGACTATTTATTATAAAGATGTTTTTAACTCAACCCAAACTAACAGTATATACAGGATATTCACCGTTTTGGAAAAAAAGCTCATATTTTGGCAGCATTGCTTCCCATTTCCTCATTTCTATGCCCCATATCATATTCTTTAGTTTATTTCTGATCAGCTGATATGCGTTTTTGCATTGTTTTCTACAGTACACGTTATTAGGAATTATTATGAACTAGCTGTGTGCCCGTTCTACGCACGGGGATCTTATAGTAGTCAGTTGAAACCTTCTTATATTAAGATTAAGAACAGCAATTAGTTTGCATTTTTGCAGATATGCTGGCAAAACTATTATATATAAACCTTCGCAAATACAGTATCTGACAGTTCAAGCCAAAATAAATGCTTCGCAATTAAATGTCACCCGGATCGTGTTGGTCCATATGTCCAATGATTAAACTAAAAAATGTTTTTTAGATCCATGAAGCGTAGCCCTAAAGTAGGCCTATAATTGAAAGTTACTTTCCACATCGGTTAACTTAAACGTATTTAAAGTACTACCTCAACCTCACCATTTAACACTTTATTCCGGTTGACATTTTCAGTATCAAAGGTGCTCTTGTCCATTCCGTGAAACAGTGAGAAATAAGGACATTAATGCGTTACCAACATACAACAAAACAACACAATACAACAATCCAACAAAGGCCACGAACTATTGATACATAAACAATATAAAGGCGTAAACAATTCATGATGGTTTGCCCAACAAATGTTTTACTCAAATAGGTTATCATTTTCTTAGCATACCGGGTAAGCTAAGATTTGGAATCCAGACAGAAAAAGCAAAACTTATACAGAGTTAAGACATCACTTAAATTGAATACGGACGGCTCTAATAAATAAGGTGCAACACCAACGATATCAAATTTGTAAACTACCGGTTCTAAGGAAAAGAACCAGTACCTACGTAAGAACCTACCTAAGAACTATAGTAAATCGGACCAATTAAATACATTAATATCTAGTCCCGAGGTTATTGATCTCTTGCTTTTGGATTTTCTCGTAAAAAGTTATAGCGTAAACTTATCGGTGTCAGTTTGAAAAAAAAAAACAACCTTACCCAAACAACTTTTTGTTATTTAATAGATTACGCATTCTCTAAACAATTATTAGTATATCTATAAACATTAGAAGGAAATGTGACGAAAATCACACAATGTTGGGGTTTTGGTCATTTGTAATTTTATTTTTTAAGTAGGTAGGCCATGTATTCTATGGAAAAGTACCGGTATCAAGGATCGTCGTCAAAAAGGTTGTTATGAATAAATATGTAGGCTTACGTACCCAAGATATGAGCTATGGGCCTATTGGCTGTATGGTCCAGCGATTGCATCACACGGTGAGTAGAAACAGAAAGTGACACATTGGAAAAGCGAGTTTAGCACTTCCTCTGTTAAACCTCTGTTACAATCACCCACTGCAGTTGTGATTTTTTACTTTACACTTTACACAACCGCCATTGAAGCGCCGTCAATGAGTGGAAACCTTTTTTGTAAGCTATTGGCGACGATCATTTCAGTGTCACAGCCCTATACAACACTGATTCAAGGTCTTCTTCTTTCTGGTTGTCAAAACTCAAGAAACATTTTATACTCAATGAATTTCTGGTTCCAATTTGGACGATGTCTAGTTATTTAATTTCATTTACGGTTACACTATTAGACTATATTATTGCACTTGCGATTAATTAAATCCGTTATGTAAGAAAAACGTTTTTAATCTCACTTGGTTGGGATTTGCTTTCAAAACGTGATTCGAAATAGTTGCGGTATTTGTAAACAACATTTGTAAACATGTCATTGACAGCTAGAAAAAATAATCTTGATCCGAACAGCTGTTCGTTATTTCATAGACGATTATGTGATAAAAATTGAACGAAAATTTGACAAAAATCGCACAAAACTGCATTTTAGAACGTCCGTAATTTTATTTACAAAGTAGTGAGGCTATATTTAAATCACTAAAGACACTCTCGCCAATCCAGTGAATACATTAAAATGACTTGGATCTTGATAAGTACTCTGGTTTTCACGGAGAAGATTGCGTAAAATGCCATCTTGAGTGTTACAGACAAAGGGACAGACAGACAGACAGAAATTGAGATAAGACTCGTTTCTGCTTCTTTAATGTATAAAAATAACCTAAAAGTATATAATTCTGAGCAATGTACAGACAAAACTCTAATTTTATTTATATAGATAAAGCCCAAAATGGTGTTTTCACAAGATAAAAGATTATATGTAGTATATTATGTACCTATATACAATAATAGCTATTTACCTTACAAGTGTAGTAAGAGCGTTTTTACATCACGCAGGTGAATGTTGTGCAACGAGCGGAAGCGAGTTGCATAATTTACCGAAGTGATGTAAACACGCTCTTGCGTAACGTGTAACGTACAAGATTTTACTTGACCCGACAATATACAGGAGGTTACGAACAAAATTTTTCATTATCCATTTCACTCATCTTCTAACAGTAACGTTAATTTACAAACAAAAGCTAGGTTAGGAAAATTCTTCAAAACATAACAATAAAATTCAAGCGCACAGCTGATTTCTAGCGTTGAACGTCGTTGGCTCCATAGAGGTATATTTTTTAAGTTAATCACTCAATGTTATTTAAATGGGTTTCATTACATCACCGAGTGAATTTTTTTCAACTTTACATCACTCGAGAAGTAACGAAGTTGTATACATCACGCTTGGGATAGGGAAGTTTAACATGGCGGGTTAGGTAAAAGTAAATTATCCATTTTATGACAAGAAATGTTTGCAATTAAGTTTGTAGGTGAGATTCCAGTACCCAATAAATCGACTAACTGTAAAGATCAAAATAATACTTATTTTTCGAATACATGCATTATTAATTTGAAACATGGGTCGTGCTTTAAAGAAAAACCTGTGGATGAATTCCTAACAAAACATCAATGCATATCAGCTGATCAGTACCAACCTGTGATCTTATTTCGTCTCTAAACAGTGACTCCCGTACTTGTAATTTGAGCTGTGTAAAAAAATCCTTGTATTATTTACATAAGAGTTTTGGTATTTTACGTGAGAAGATATTGTGCCATTGTTAAAAATCAGTTAACAATGATTTAAAGATCGTATCAAATACCTTGTACAATTCACGAGAAACTTACAACATCCAAGTTCGTCAGTGCTGTCATACAAGCAATCTACGACTCCATCGCACCTCTTCGACAGGGGAACACAAATCCTGGAGACTGAGCAGAGAAACTGGCCCAAAGGACATTGATGGATGTCTGGGGGTTAGTCAAGCCAATGTCAAAAACCATACCACAAACATACCAATACATACCATTCGTCCATACATGCCACACTACTAATACCATGTCTTGTATACATGCTTAAACCACTACAGCTTTGGATTCTAAGGAAAGTCATTGGCTAAATGGAATTTTTGTAAGTGAGTTTAGCTAGTTTACTTATCAGAGAAAATTAGAATCCAAGGGATAATAGGTTCATAACAGGTCACAAAATACAACAGTGATATTTCCTCGATACATATGACTTGTTCAGAGGTTCATTTTGGTTTAAGAGGAATGTCTCTCTTCAAAAATCTTTCATAAATCTACTCTCTGAACAAATCTTTTTAGGACGAATATATTACTGTGTATTTAAAACCTGGACACTAATTCTCTAAGGTAAGCTAACTAATTCCACTCTTTTACACAGGATTCCTACAGCAGCTTAGGTCCATTTTCCATTGGCATTTTAAAGGGAATGTCAGCTAAAAATGAGAAATGCATTTTATAACATTACCATGATTATAATTTTGTCATAACGATCTTTTTTATTTCTGGTGGAAGCAATATGTTTAACCAATGTTTTGTGTAGTTTGTGGGTAAAAGGTGTATCAAGCCTCGAACGATAATTCATTTACACCTCACACCAAAGCTTTTTGAAATCATAAAATATACTTAAGCATGATACTTCATCCAAAAACCCAATGACAAAGCAATATAAACTTCAAATGTTTATAAACCAACCCAACTCATAAAAAAAACTGAATATGGACTATGGTAGTTATTCTTATACATAAATTTTTTAATGCTTATTAAATATCAGAATTTATCATATTTTAAGCTTAAGAATAAGTCTATTAGATCAGAATTATTGTATTATCTTGGTCAATATAAATTAGTTTATATGTTATCAAATTAGACAGATATGAATATTAGAGAAAATTATTTTTTTTACTAGATAAAGTCTTACCAATTGTAAGTGCAGGCAGCAGTTATGAGGTATAGGAGGCAGATTCAACCATGTAAAGAGTACTTCTAATTTGCATACCACTCAGGTATCATGTATCCCTCATTTTATCCGAAACCACAACAAAAACACACCGCATATCCAAACAGAATGATTTGAATAACTTCCTAAGCAGTGATGTCGTTTGGAAAACTCAGAAAACTAAATTGCAGAACCTAAATTATATTTCAACATATTTATTTTTCTTACAAGTAATTCTTGTGTATTATTTAAGTTAATTATCGTACCCATGAAAAATTTATAATATTTTAAAATTATTATTACATGCACAATATTAGGGCGGTGTTAAAAAATTATGCAACAGGCTTTTCAAATTGATTTCAAAATTATGCATGTAAAAAGCATTATTTATAGTTTTTCAATTGTAAAATTATTGTTATGGAATTTTTCTCCTCTAGGGATTGCTGTTTACCGATGTGAAATCAAATTAGGAATAACTAATTAGGAATAAGGTCGAATCACTTAACAATTATGGTTATCAAGCATTCCCAATGTTTTCCAACGGAATCTGGATCATGTTCCACTTTGGAGAAGTTATTAAAACAAAAACAGTTCTAGTTTATCTTAAAGATTATACTAGAACAAAAACACTAAAGTAAATTTGCATCTCTATTACTTCACTACTTAGCCATGTCATGGCCAGACATTAAATAAATACACTAAGTTCAATATGGTTTAATTATCTGTTAAAAGAAATGTTATGAGTTTTCCCAACTAACATTTTTTTATGTCACCGAATTTATAATATATGCAGAGCTTTAACTTTGCTTCATATATTTGAGTTTGGTCATTAATATTTTAAGGTACTAAATAAATAAACTTAAAAGACTAAAAGTCGATTTTTTAAACAACATTTTGTTTATGAAAAACTTAAATATAGGATAGGTAGTTTAAATTTTGTTAGTAGATAGAAATAGTAGCTGGTCAAACCTAAGTCAATAAATCAAATGATTAAATTAAAGCCCAAACCAAGAAATAATTCCAATCAAATGTGTACTTCATGCCATAATACAGATTTATGCATAGAGGAAAATTATCATATAGACATGCCAACATGCTCAACGCAATAGAAAGTATATAAGCACTAAACTACCCAGAATTTTCCTAACAATACAGGGTGTTTCTGAATGAATATAGGGGGTTTAACACTGCATTGACTCTACAGTTATAATTATCCATGAAATTAATGATAACAGCTAAATTTTTTTGTTTAAAAAAGTGGCATAAGATGTTAAGTTGTTTTATTTGAATTCCACTGGGTCCACTTCGATCACCCAAACTGTTTTTTTATCTAAACTTGGGGGTTTGAAAAGTTATTTATGTGTGCGTGCCTCCAATACTATTCCGAATCTCATGATTAGGTAACAAAACCAAGTATATGGCTTCAAAAATTATAATTGAGAGACAAAAAGTATAGAAAGAACTCACTTATTACTTGCCCTTTGATCAATGGTGCTCGAATAGAACACTTGTAGGGTTATGGACAGTCCTGTTTGAAATTATTTTTCATTTAAAGTATTATCAATACCCTACACGTTTACTATTTTTTAACTTTCACTGTCTTGAAAACTATGAGAAGTGTAATAATTTTGACATTAGCACACTCAGTGTTAATCAAACGGTTAACACGGTTAACGATTAATCAGTTAATCAAACGGTTTTATTTTAAGTGAAAAGTTGCGACTGGTAATCCATATAGAGTGAATGCCATAAAGTCTCATAGAGTCAATGGTTCAATGTAAAACCAATTATAGCTTAAAACAAAAAAAATCCTACATTCATTTAGTAACACCCTATGACAGTTACTCAACATTTTCTACCTTCATATCCTAGGACGCTAGGTTCTAGCCGGGAACTGTTTTACACATTCAGGCTAGTCATAGAGGGTTGCGGCATTATCACATATATAAAATGCATTGGTGATTGGTGGGATTTGAACCCGGGACCTCGGGCTCCAAAGCAGATCATCTTGGTCCAAAGTTATTCAACCTTACTAGTATATATATTACTCTCCTCTACAAGAACTTATCTCTAGTTTGCATTCATTACTCTATGCTCTACCTGGTCTGGTGTAGTTACAGTACTCCTCATCACTGTAGTCCCGACAGTCCGGGCGTCCGTTGCAGTAGCGACTACGGTCGACACAACCACTGCCATCTCGACACTCAAACTCATCATGTCGGCATGCTTCATGCAAACACATCGACTAATCAGTCTACAGTACAACAACTATGCTACGAATACATATAAAGTTACTACAACAATACTAACTACAAAAAATATACTACACGAGTAGAGAAAACACTTATTATGATAATCAGTATAAATATAATTTTGATTGACGGTTTCTTAGAGAAAGTGGTACTAGGACAGACTCTAAGCTTGATTTTTGAAACAACTGTATGTTTATGTAGAAGGATGAATTTACACATGAAAGATGGATTTACTTGGAAAACGCTGTAATAGCAGAATTGATTGATAGGAGTAAGGATGGATTTTTATAGGAAAAATGAATATTGTTTACGAAATACAGTAAAAGTTTGCTGAAGCAATGTTTTTATTTTTTTAGTTAAAGTGGAGTCTCTTGAAAAAATTATATTTTAATAGAATACAAGATCTTTCCGAAGGCAGAATGTTATTTACGTTTCTCAAGAAACTAGCAGTTTTCTAAGACAATTGTGATTTTAGAAAGAATTTCTAAAAATAAATAACTAGTTAAAAGTATGAAGTATCGTATAAATAAAGAGTTACTACTAAATTGAATGCTTCAAAGTGAAATGTCCTACAAAATTACACATTTTTAAGTAGATAGATCGAACAAGATTTGTTCTACAGTCTCCGATTTCTAAATCCATTTTCTATCAGATAAGAGGCCTACTTATCTCTCAACACTAAACAGTAAATACTAAGGAGAAGAGTGATATTCAACAACATAAACACACAAAAAGGCTAATATGTAACACGAGTTTATGGGCTACTCGTGCAACTAACAACTATAGTGTTACCGGTAGCTCTCTGCATAATTGATGTTAGAACTGTGTGACAAAATTTCTAGGAAATGTGAGCTAAAACCTAGACACATTAAAATCAAAACTAAATAAGATGCACCTATATTTGTATTAGGTTTGTTTTGGTGAAAAAAACATTATTTTAATATGCATGATATGTTTTGTAATAGTGATAAGTATTCTTGTCAGATTTTCTTATAAAATATTGGTAGCTTCCCCACATAGTCAGAAAGAAAAACATTTCCATACTTCCCAACAGTAACAATTTTGCAAACTAACAATAAACTCGACATTCTCAGGAGGAACATAAAAACTTAAACAATCCAAACCAAAGAAACCCGGCTCTGATTAAAACTTTCAACTTCAATTCCCATGATTAAACCTGCAAACGTCGCAAGTTTGTTCACCAATCATCATATAATAAACCACACATTGCGTCCTACCATTGCACGAGATCTGATCAAAAACGCATTGTGGCGGCGAACAGGGCAATGAAGGCATTAGCAGTTGCTACTGTAAATTTATCGGCCGACTTACCGACCACATTACAAGTTTCCCCATTGCCAACTTAATTAAATTGTTATAGGGGCTTCCAACTGGCAAAAACTTAGTTATACTCTGTGTAAATTGCGCAAGACGACCGCCACATCCGTCTCCTCTTGCGCTGTATTTATCACTTGCAAGTTTCTCCATTACACGTACAAATTGTTCTGTTGCCTCCTCACCGTTGTTTATGATTTTGTTTTATTGTTTGGGATTGAATTGTGTGATACGGAAAGGTTTTATTTGAGCGCAACTTTTAATAGTTATTGGTTTTTTTTGTGTCGGATGGAGAATTTAGATAATCGAAGACATAGAAACAAGTTTCATTTAGATCAGTATTTAACAATTCTAATTTTGGAGCTGCATAGGGGCATGTGTTATAAATGTATACATTACTTAACATATTTTTAATACAAATTATTGGTTAGTAAAAAATAATACTTCACATACAGTAGTTTTAACTATTATTTAATTGATCTAAACTAATTTCAAAATGACTATTTGATGTTTTGCTATGTATCTTTTACTGCTCATTATTACGGGTTTATTATTAGTTATAATTTTCCGAGGTAACAAAATTAGTGTATTAATTATTTTTATTTTAAATTTGTAACAGACAAATCTATGCTGGGGCACAGACGATCACGCAACAATATATGGCCTAAACTCTAATATCCGTGGGTTCACCAGTCTATAAAAGTACTGCAGGTTGCATCTTGTAGCTCGATTGCCGTCACGGGAATGCAGGCGCGCTCACGATTTCGTTAGCAAGCATCAAGATCGTAAGCTACAAAGACCATCAATATTTTTGTTACATAGGCATAATGACTTAACTTTTTAAAGCAAGCTACACAGACCATCAATATTTTTGTTACATAGGCATAATGACTTAAACTTTTTAAAGCGAAATTTTCTAACTTTTTCATGGCAATTTGTTTGATGAATATTAATTTTAAATGGCAATACTGTACCTACCGATCTTTGTTTATTATCGTTAACTACCGATAATAATTTAGATTTATAGTATGTTTTTTTAGTTATTACAAGACGGTGATTTTTTTAGCCCGTTACAATATTTTAGATTATACTGTACGTCAAAGGGTCGGTATGAGAAATTAAATCACTTTACTTTCTTCCTCTTGACGATTTAGGTGATTTTTAACAAATTAAAATTTTAGTGTTATTTTATTAATTTAAAACCAAACAAAAACCAAACACCAACCCCAACGGATTGAAGTTTGTTGGTTTCAGACATATCTACTTTCTTATTCGTATGTTTTGTTTTCTTCTTAACAATGAAATCTTATATTCAGTTTTTATTCGAAAACAAAATAAGAGTATTAGGAAGAGGGGTAGTTTCTCTAGCCATTAGTAATTAGAGAATTTCGTATTTTTTATTGGTTTTTATCTACTTTGACCAACAACAAGATAATTCGGACGTTAATTTAGACTGTTACCAAGTTAGGAAATTTCGATTCACCCAAAAATGTAGCATTAAAATACCTATACTTTTTTGCCCTTACATTTGTTGTTTTTACATCGAAAGTCAGGAAGCTCGATGTTTACATAGAAATAATTAAATGCCAACCGTGTTACAAACATAGCTTAAACAGTATCAAGCCACAAGTAAGTAAAGCTAATTAATATTTTTACATAAATTTTCTAAATTTCCTAAATTTCTTCCATAACCCTGTAGTTTTCCTTTCCACATTATTTTAACACCCGTCCATCACTCATCCTCATTTAGGAAGAAACGCCCTGTTTTATCGTAGGAATGGAATTTTATTTTTTAACAAATTAGTAGTCAAGAATCATTGCTAAGAAAATATTGACAACGTCAATCTGTTTTCTTTAATACAGTTTTATCACATCATAAGACTTTTTCAGTGTTTTGCGATATAATTTTTTAAATGTTGCTATTTCTACTCAAAGTTTCCCTAGATTTGGCAACCCCCCCCCCTCTCAATCTAGACACCAGCTGGTGTTTTAGGTTCCTGACCTCAACCACTCAAGAGGCGCTATCTGCCAGACTCCCGCGGTATTTCAAGAAGCTGGAGCCAAAATACCCTCGCAGACGGCGAAAAACAAACTCCCACTCAATCCTTTGGAGTTGTTGAACATCAAAGTAATAATGTGGACATAATACAAATAAAACGCGAAAAAAAACAGTAGAATAATGTCAGACTAAAATGTGATGAGACAAAACCCTACCAAAAATTAGTTCCAAATCCATTTTTTAATTTTTGGTTTTCAATCAGGTCAAAATTTTCAAGGAGGTAAAAAATATGTAAGAAACCAATTCTTCTGTGGACAATAAGTTTTTAGTCACATTACAACAATGAATTATATGTAATTAAGGGATACCATGATAGCAACAAGATTAGTGCCAGTCTAGAGGTATGGTACTATTTTTACTATACTCAGGTATGGCCTCATTATCACCTTAGTACCTATATTGGTAATTGAAAAACAAATTTCACCAACAGTTTTAATAACTATGCAGAGAGCTAAGATTATTAAACGTCCATTCATCTAAAAAAAAACAAAAAAAAACATACTAACTAACAGACAAAAAGCCAAAACACATATTGCAAAATAATAGTGCGCGAATGAATGAAAGGTACATTATAAATTTTTATTTAAACAAAACCGGGTACATACAAGAAATATTGTATATTCATCCAGAGGAGTCTATGGCAAAACTCTATGGTTTCATTCACAAATTCCCCTGCTAAACATGCTGCTAGAATTATTTGATTTTTAAACACTTAACAACCCAAACACAAAACCTTACGAAATTTGGCAAATTTTTAATACTATGCAATACGTGATTTGGCTGAACTCTTACCTGAGAAAATTTAAAAGTACAACTCACAAGATGATGAAAACCACCAAACTTTGAGAAACCCACACTTAAACTACAAACCTATCTACATACTCACAGTACACTTTGTAGAGTGTTTGAGTCCATTTTTCGTCTTACCTGCAAAGAAAAATACATTTAGTCTCATTTTCATAGCAATATAGAAATCCAAGCAACCAAACAACCTCAGTAGCTTTAAAACAGCAATCTTAAACTTCAAATCTTGATTTTTCAAACATATTTATTTCCTAATTTAAAACGCTATGTTCAAGCACGGAATCGAATTATACATATACACTACTTCAGACTAGACCTAAAGTGTCGCGGTAGTATCACATTGCTCGCTAAGGTAAAGTAAGGTTAAGTACAGTTTTAATGGGTGCAAAATCGTATGTTGTTTTCTCAGTAATCGTGTAGAAAATCTCCAAAATTATCTCCCAAACAACTTTTACTTCCAAATATTATTTTTCCATACACCTATGAAATGGTTTATTATAGGTAAATATTTTTATTATAAACGAATTATTTCAAGCATTTTCCCTAGAAAATCTCCTTCAGATCTCAGTATTCACACTATCTCTAGGCTTGTGCATCTCATCATTAGGGCCTACGCCATTAGTAAGGCTCAAAGTGGCGGTCGACGACGAAGCCAATTTTTAATTAAAACTAAAACTCTGTCCGATATAAACTGTTAAGCGATATGCAAAGCGCCTGCGGTTTTTATGGAAGGAATAATGACAGAATTATGTGAAACCCGAGATAAAAGCTTGGTA